AGGAAAAGATAGTATGTAATGTTGGAGAGTTCCATATAATTCTGATGTTCTATCAATCAAAATAGGAAAGTTCTTAATCTACATAACTCTAACGACCCATTTTTTTTTTCAGATTAGGGATATCCATAAAGTTTATTTTTATAAAAACATTTTCTAAATGCTTTGTGGGGGTGGCCGAAATTTAATAGAGAAGCCTAGAAATTAATAATCATGGTAAAGGAAATTAATTAAGAATGAAAAAAAAAATGTGTTCTCAGCCTTCAAGGGAATACAGGAATGGTGAGTGGTTTTCCCCACTGAGAAAATTAGTACAGGCTTATGGAATAGTAAGCTTCCAACAGAAGTCAGTTCCCCTCAAATTACTTTCATTTTCCAAAGCAAAGCCTCCCTTTTGACTCTTACTCTTAGATGTAATTTATTAAGTTACCCACCCATTCCCCATTTTGATAAAATGGAAACAGTACAGTTTCCTTCACAGAACAATAATTCAGCAAATTCAACAAAACATGTAATGCAATTAAATCTAAAATATATCTAGTTCTTCTGATAATATGCTTTTAGATTTAGAAAGATTGATGGTTTTACCGAGAATCTTAGATATTACCGAGAATCTTAGATATTTGACAAACAATTGCTTTTTTTTTTTTTTTTTTTTAGAACTGAGGATTGAACCCAGGGCTACTTAATTACTGAGCCACATCCCCAGGCCTTTTTTAATATTTTGTTTAGAGACAGGGTCTGGCTGAGTTGCTAAGTGCCTCAATAAGTTGCTAAGGTTGGCTTTGAACTTGCAATCCTCCTGCCTCAGCTTCCCAAGCCACTGGGATTACAGGTGAACCCCCTGCGCCTGGCAACAATTGCTTTTTGGCATGTAATAAACTAGTTTTGAACACAGCATTAAAATTTTGCTTACCTGATCCTTGTTTACTAAAATAGTAATATCACAATGTGTGGMTTCTCCGACAAAAAACAGAAATGGTAATCAACTAGCCCAGGTATCTTCCTCAGCTTTCCTATCACTTCCCACTCTATGAAAACAGGCAAGTAACTTTCTSGGGGTAAAAATAGATGAATTAAAAAAAAATCCTAACTGTTTATTTTATTTTTTAATGATGGGGCTTCTAACATGCTAAGCAAGTATATTTTACCACTGAGCTACATCGTCTCCCAAGAAATACCTTACTCTTAATTAAGAAATTTCCAGGGACTGTGACTCAGTAGTAGAACACTCACCTAGCATGCTTAAGCCCTGGGTTTGAACCACAGTGCTGCTTAAAAAAAAAAAAAAAGAGAGAGAAAAAAAATCCCAATTTATTCCTAATTTATATATAGCTGACTTATATAAACTTTTATAGCTCTGACTTTCTAGAAATACCTACTCCATCCAAGTTCCTGGAGTCATGAGCGSTCATTCTTCCTTCCCAGAGGTGTAATTTGAAACTTCTGTTTTTGTTCCTCCTCCAAGTCACCCCACGCATGCTAATCCAGTGATGGAGACTGGGTCCCCTTTCCAGACCCTCCCCCCTGGTCTCACTGCACTGCTGATACTGTGCTGACCTATCAACACTGGTAGGGCGAGGGATTGAGATGGGGATGAAGATGGGAGGGACATCAGCCCCAAATCCTCCCTACTCCTCTCTGTCCTGATCCAGGACCAGGCTTCTACAGAAGAGCAATGAGGGCTTTGAGGAGGCTGCAAAGGCTTGCCTGGGAACCATAACGAAATGACTTTTATGGGAGAACACAGGYCATAACAACCAGCTTCTAGAACACAACCTCTATAAGAGGTTACCTATCTTTAAGACTTTTTCTGTAGCCTCTCCTTTGCCCTAATTTCTCAGGAAGCAATATAATTAAGGGAAAGAAATTCAAGCTTTGTTCAGTGTCTTTGTATATTGTTTTTACTTCAAAACACCTGTGCTTTAGACTTATAGATCAAGAATCAAAAACTGGCATGTGACCRTGGGAAAGTTACTTATGCCTCAATTTCCTAATCTATAAAACACAATTATTTAGAAGGTGAGGTGGTTTAGATGTAATAAGGAAGCATGTAGTAAAAAACTCTTGGCACATACCAGGAACTTAGAAAGTTACCTTTTCTTTCACTGAACCTCCACACCTTCTATTGGAATGAATACTAAAACTATAAAAGAAAGTTGCATCTGTATTTTCCAAGAGTTACTATTGAGTCTTTATTCTTTCCTGAATTGTTTAGTTTCTGTAATATTCAGCCTATGAGTAAAAGAACCCATATTCCATGAACAAGGATGTAAAGATAGCCTGGCATTCAGCTTTGTCATTTTACATGCCCCCTGGCTACTACTGCATAGGGCAAGACACAAGACACAGTATAACAGTGTTCCTCTTGATTATCCTACTGGACAATGGGGAAGAGGTCTGAAGTAGCCACTCTGTTAGTAAGACCCCCACCCCAGGGAGGTTACCCTTCCTCAGGGTGACTCAGACACAGCTACTCATAGGCTTTATCTTAAAGTCAGCAAATCATTTGCTAAAGTGCTATATCCCCCGAGTCATAAGCCATTTTCCTACAGTGGTTGGCAAACTATTGCTTGACAGCCAACTCTGAGCTACCTCTTCTTTTTGTGCACCTGGAAGCTAAGAATGTTATTTACATTTTTAAATGGATGGGGAAAAATGAAGATTTCATCACATACAAAAACTATAGGAAATTCAACCTTGGTGTTCATAAATAAAGCTATATTGGAACRCAGCCACATTTTTCATTTATGTACCATCCCCAGATACTTGTGGGCTGTAAGAGCAGAGTAGTTGCTTCAGAGAGGATATGACCTAAAATATTTAGTATCTGCACCCTTAAAAGCTTGCTGCTCTGGGTGCAGAGCACAGACTTTGGAGTCAGAGCCTAGCAGCAAAGCTCAGTTCTGTGTTCCTTCCACTTGGTTGTCTTCTTTCAGCTCCTCTGTTCTTCAACTTCTAACTGAGGATGATAAAAAAAATAGCACCTATCGCATGGGGTTTTATGAGGATTAAGCAAATATGTAAAATGCTGTATGTGAGTACACACACACACACATAAAGTACATATACATGTATGCATATATATGTGTACACACACACCCACATACACACAAATATGGTTTGTTGTCATTAATTGCCACAGATTTTTTTAGAAACTAAAACAGCAGCAGCTTAACCAATTTGTTAGCAGTATAAGAATTTATACTCCATTAAAATACAATTCTTGGCCTGGGGGTATAGCTCAGTGGTAGAGCATTCCCCTGGCATGCACAAGGCCCCAAGTCTTGGCACTGGGTTCAAGCCACAGCACCACATGCAGTGCGCAAGCCCTCACATAAACACAAGTTGGATTCTTTAGTATGGGTAGGTAGGAAGATGTCTAGACTACTGAAATGACAATTAGAACAGTCATTTATCCATAAAATAATTCTGTATTACTTACCAATATTTTACATGCTATACACTTCTTTCAAACCTGCATACTGAAAAAGAGATTAGACTCAACTCTTGAGTTTAACCCAGATCCTCTGTTGATTAAAGCTTCAAAATAGGGGCCAAAGGGCTCAAATCACCTAATTGACTTTGATGATCACCATGGTATTTGAAAGCAACARTCTACTTCCTGATTCAAAGATAACAAAGGCAACAACATGCTGAGACAATAAGAATTTTTTCTATTTGGAACTTTCATTTTTGGAGCTTGTGTGTCCAAAAAGAGAACTTGGGAAGGAGGTTACACCTGAAGGGAAAACAATGAACTTAATGAAGGAATTTGGAATGGAGGAACCCCTAGGACCAAGATGAGAAGTAACTTACTGGTCAGGTGTTCTTTAAATGTTGATGACTTTTTCAGTCTTTTAGTGCAAACTTCATAGCAAATTCTGTGAGTCTTGCTTATTAACACAGTTCTCAAAGTCAGAAAAAAAAAACATTGTCTAGTCCTTAACAAAGACAAGTGAGCATTTTTCTGAATTATCAAAATTACATAAAACAAAACCAAACTTAAATCTCGTGTCTTGCCTCTGACTGTTCAATTAGATGAAAAGAAAAACTGTGTGGAGCTGAGAAATATTTTCTGAAAAACTCAGGTGAAGGACCCATCTGTCACCTTCCTTAAGGTCAGGTCTGCCTGGGCAGCACTTGCTGCACCTAGATTAAGCCTGCTCTCCACCAATCTAGGGTTTGACTTGTTACCAACTACATGGCCGCCCTGTGCCCTTAGTTTGCTCTAAACTTTTCTTGTATAAAATATAGCTCAGCAGTTACGGGAAAAGGGATTGGTTTTACTAGAATCATCCAGATAATTCATTTACTGCATGAAAACATTTGATTTTCCTAGGAMCGATGTGGGTGAGGCTACTCTCCCCAGAAAATACTCTGGTCTTCCCTAGTTAGCATCTGAGCTGCGCCCAGCCTAACCCGGTGATGATTTATCCCCATGACAGGGAAAAACGCCATTGTTGTTCAACGACTTGTGCAAACGCAAGCCAAGTGCCTCCTTGCACACACAGTTCCAGAAGTTTATTCCTGTTTTCCAAAGGCGCTTCCTTAATCTTTCAACGCCCCTTCACCCGCCGGCACCATAAAGTTGCTCTAATGCATTCAGGCCCTTCCCCATAACGCTGCTCATAGCGGGYCTGCCCTGGCCAATAACGTTATTTAAAATAACAAATGTGCCAGAAAATAGCCAAGTAGGAAGGGGGGAAAAAATGAATTCCCAGGGCGGTGCAGTGGTGTTGGAATGTGCCATTAGTTTCGAAGGGAAGAGAGTCCCATGTGTGAATTTCATCGCGGATCTTAGGTCACCACTGGACCTTCAATTATTCATAGCCTTGACGTGAAAATGGCAAAGAATTGGAAGCGCGCTAGTCAGGTAGAGCCCGCGACGAGGAGCACCCGGGAGACCGAGGTGGCAGCAGCGCGCGTCCCCCGCTGCCCGGCGTGGTGCGCTCGGGGGCGGCCCCGCGCGCGGGGCGGGGAGGCAAGGCGCACTGGGCGGCGGCGCAGTCTGCACCATGGCGTACCCGGGGCACCCTGGCGCCGGCGGCGGGTACTACCCAGGTGGGGTAAGTGCTGCTTGCCCCAGCGCGAGCCTGGGGTTCCGAGGACGCCGACAGGCCGTTCTTGGAGGCGCTGCGGCCCTCGGGGAGGGGACGCTGCCGCGCGGATCCCGGGGCGGCTGCCCTGACTTCTCCCTGCGCGCTCCCCGCCTAGTCTCGGGCCCCTGCGGTTCTGCCTCTCTCTTCATCCATCCCCCGGTCCCTTCTCCTGGGTGGCCCCGTGGGACCAAGGCACGAGTGAAATGGGATCCAAGAAGCCCACCCTGTGACTCTCGGATACGCGACATGAAATTGTGAAAGTGGGGTGTTGGCTTCCTCTTCCTCCCTCTCGGTTTTCCCCCAAAGCAACTACAGCCATTTTGATCTAGAATGGTCCTGAGATCTGTCTTCATCCCTTTAAAAGAAAGTGTGAGGGAGGATGGCAGGAGGGCGGAGGTCAGGGAAAATTTGTGAGCATAATAGTTCTGGAGGAAGTCTACCTGGCCAGGCATCAAGGAAGCGCATCCTCTAGGGAGCTCCTTCTGAAASTACATTGCCCTGCCTGAGAGACAACCTGTCCCGAACTCTTCCCTAGGCCACACCTGTCTCAGCATTGTACCAACTCCAGCCATACCTAGTACTTAAAACACTTTTAAAACACCATAAAAGCTATACAAACAAGGAAAACAATTGGAGCTCTGCCCTTGCCTAGGTTATATTCATGGCTGTAACYTGCAGTTTAAAAGGGCTATCACTTTCATGAAAACCAGTTTGGGTCCAAGTCACCAGTCCTTAAGTTATAAAAGGGTGAGAGTGGAAAAAAGAGGTGGGGTGATTGCTGGTTAGAGTGTGCTGGTGGGGGGAGCTAAGTCATGTGAAGGGCAAGCACACAGTTGCCTGGCTTTGCACAAAAGCTSTCTGTGTGGTGAAAGAATACAACTTGATTCAGCGGAATGATGTGTTTGTGTTTCCTTTTGCACAGTATGGAGGGGCTCCTGGAGGGCCTACGTTTCCAGGACAAACTCAGGATCCACTGTATGGTTACTTYGCTGCCGTTGCTGGACAGGTTAGCTTTTCCTTTTAATATTAAAAAACTGTCAGATTCACATTTGTGTGACCTTTTGATATAGTGACACAAAAATGAACTTTGCCCTGGAAATGAATCTCTTTGCCTGTATAAAGGAAGATAGAAAGAAAGACAGTTGTTTGTTTGTAGTACTGGGAATTGAACCCAGGGGTTCTGTGACTGAATTATATCTCCAGCCTTTTTTATTTTGGGACAGGGTCTGACTGAATTGCCCAGGCTGGCCTCAAACTTGCTATCCCTACCTCAGCCTCTTTGAGTAGGGGGATTCTAGCTTCTTATTTTAGTTCTTCATTCTGAATATTCAGAGCAAATTAAGACAAAATAGTATCTGTACTTAATTAAGTTAGCTGAGTTGGAAAATAAGCATGTGACTGAATGAGGGTAAGATTGAACAGTGTAGGGATTCTAAGTATACTTGAAGATATCTGTAAGGTAGAAAATGTCTTTAGAACTGAGTTGTGAGTCCAGGGTGGTTTCAAGAGAAGAAATTCAAGATCTGATGTACATAAACCTTGGTCTGTACAACTTAAAGACATGTATTAGTAATTATGTAGCCAGATTCTAGTGAATAGTTTCTGTTGAATTTGGTGGTTAATTTTTACCTATCCTTAGGAAATAGGTATGTATGGTAAAAACCCATAAGCTTCTAAATAAGAAACTACTACTCTCCCTATCAGGAAGTTAATCCTGTGAGCAGTTTTCTTTCTCTCTGATGCAAATGCTGTTACTAGGTCACCTCTTCCACATCCTTATTAGGTGTTRTGGCCTATTGACCCAGAGAAAGAATTCAGGTTAACTCCCCAAGATCCACTTCTCTGCATTCCCAAGTTGTATGACAGCTGCTGGGTTACCCCAAGGGAAGACACTTACCTAGCTTCCAGGGTCACTGAGTATAGTAAATATACTGTTATGTAACTCAGACACACCCAGAGGGGCTGTTTATTCTTATGAATTCAACTTAATCTTGTTTTGGTAAAAAAGCTAGAAATAGCAAAATCATAATATGAAAAAATGCTATATCATATTATGGATCACCTTTTAAAGTAACACTCTAAGAAATACAACTTTGAGAACTTGAATGGAAAATTGAGTCTAAAACTGCAAGACTTTCCTCTTGAGTATCTGCTTAATCTTTTATTGATCTGTATCTTTGAAACCACAAGACAGGGCACGCCTCAAGACTAGCATTCTTAGATTGCTGGAGTCTCCAGTGTGTAAGTGACCCTATCTGCTTAGCTTTCAGCAGCCCTGGCCTGTATTCAGCATATTCATCATCAAATCATTACTCTTGCTCCTTATTTGTAACCTATTATACTCAAAACTTGAGGATTTAAATATTCTATTTTAAAATCCCTAGAAATTACACATATCTCTAGTTCTGACCTAGTAGAGTCAGTGAGCAGGTAACCGGGAGCCTAACTTATATTTTCTAGGTCTAATTGTGCTCTTTTACAAAAAAAAAAAAAAAAAAAAAAATTCACTAACTCATAAGATGATCAAAGAGTCTCTTTCTGTTTGAATCAGGCCTTTTATTTACTGATGTCTGCTGAGTACCCTGCTCTTTCCCCCTAAAAAGAAAATAAAAATTTTTAAACAACTCCTTAAATCATTTTATTTTAAAATGCTTACTTTCGGCAATTTCCTAGCTCTGACTGAGAGAACAAAAGTTGCGAACACAAGCTCTCTTTCGTCATTAAATTATGTTTGGAATTAGGATGAGGAAAAGATTGCCCACTTTTGGAAGACATTCTTTTTATTAAAAAAGAAGAGGGGCATGATAATACTCATTTTTATTTGTTAGTATTGCTGCATTGAATATTGAGGGTAAACAAATAACTTGAAAATACAAATTACAACTGTGATCCCTCTTCCTGTTTTTCATAAAAGGATGGGCAAATAGATGCTGATGAATTGCAGAGATGTCTGACACAATCGGGCATTGCTGGAGGATATAAACGTAAGTTGACAAGTTCCAAAGTTTCTCTTAAAGTCCTCTTGTTCTTTGTACATTAGCTATTACATGACATTATAGCCTTTAAGGAAACTGAGCTATCCTGATTCAACCAAGCTTAGAATTGCAAAAGCTAACTTTCGACCATTATTTCTAAATGTTGATTTGGAAACAGTTAAGTAAGTCATTCTATTCTACCTAYCAGGTTAGTGGGTTTGGAACCATTCAAACTAGTGAGACAATTTGGGTGGCAAAGAGGACAAGTTGAGGTACTGAAATGAAATCTGCTGGGTCAGGTGTTATTAATGGTAGGAGCTAATAGTCATGGCTGACGAGCTTACTTTGTTTATGCCTGATGGCACTTAGAGTTTTTAGTGGCTAGTCCTGCATTCCTGATCTCTGAGCCCTGGACAGGCTGTTGGCCACATGAACGTTTATGTGATATCCCGGGGGTCTTTCCTCTTTTGTTTCAGAAAATGTATTCAGGCCAAGTGGAAAGTACCCTTTTTACTTCTGAACTCCTTAACTAGTCATTCTTGTCTCCCTTCTTAGTTCCTCAAAGACTGACTTTGCTGCCCTGTAATTTTGTTTTTCCCTCCATTTCCTGCCTTTTGAGGTCTCTGCTACAAGTAGTAGATGGAGAATTACTGCAGAGATGCTACATCCTGATCAGGCTTCTCATCATCCCGCATACGTACTGTGTACTTAATTTTCAAATCCAGTCTTGACCATGACCAATTTCTAGGATAGATTATAGTGTCTTAGTTCAAGTCCATTACCTGCCAACTTTTTTTCCAGTTGGTAATTGAGACAGAACATCAAAATGAAGCCTTGGCTTCATTGTTTTTAGTATCATAAGGGGCTTGATTTCAGTAAGGGTAAGCTATGAATTAAAAATACTCAAACTAGAATTCACACCTGAGGATTTATAGTGGCATTTTTTGACTCTTTGACATGACATATTTACTAGATGGTTCTCTTTGAACTACTTATGTTTTTATTGTTAGTGTTTCTTCTTTTATATGACCTACTATTTCCTAGGTGGGAGATTAATACAAAAGAACTTTTTAAATTTCTGTCATTTAATCTGGTCCTAAACAAAAGAAGCACTTTCTAGATTGTTTTTGTTTGCCTGTTTTTCCTTTTTTTACTGTTGTAGGCAATACATTTAAATGGTTAATTGTTAACTTCAAGTAGTAAAGCTGGTGAACAAGGCAGGTCTCATAGCAGTGACAGCAGACAGACATGAGCTGTGGCAACAGTGGTGTAAGGGGACAATTATATACACTGGGCCTACTATGCTGACCCTCTTCTTTTAAAAAGTTATTTATCTGTGGCCACTCTGGCCTCCTCTTGGTTTAAGTCAGTAGAATATGTCACATTCCTCAATAAATAACCTGTTATCTTCAGGAGAAATGGAAGCCCAAAGGTAACCCTGAAGGGGGACCTTTAGTGACCTTTATGCAGACCAGATTCCAGGACTCAGGAAGAGAGGACAATTAGAAGCAAAGCCCCAACCATAAAATCTATAAGAATAGGTTCCAATTAGAACCAGTCAGCAAGGACCAAGATGACCCAGAGTTGCCTTTGGATATTTAGCCTGTCATTATAATAGTAAAATTCCTCATCTATGGGATAACATTATGTATAGTGGGGACATGGAAGTCTGAGGCAATTTTGCTGTCGGTCAAAAATCTAAAGGTAGACCAGGGCAGGACTCTCTAGAAACTTCCCTAGGACTCTCAATAAAACTGGAGGACTGGAAAAGCAGGATATCCCTCTCCTCTTTGAGAGAATCCACTCTTTACCATGAGAGTGTTCCTTTTCCCCCTTTCCTTTCTTTCTGATAAACTCCTACCTGCTACTATATATGACTCATTTGAAATTCTTCAGCCAAGATTGCAACAAACAGTGGTCACAAAACCCTAGGATCACTTGGCTCCATGGGTAGATCTTATCCTATAACAGCAGGGTTTAACAATATGAGGTAGTGTCGTTCATGAAATATTATTCTATACACTTGTAATGGAAGAGGTGCAGCAGGTTTTAAAATCTAACAAAGTAGWTGATATATCCTTAGCTGTCCTTTTAAGAATTTTATTTGAGAAAACCCCATKTAATGATGGCCTTAAATCAGTGCATTATAGAGGACCTTTTGTGAAACATGAGGACCTTCTGATTTAGTTGATTTATTTAATGTCTTCTGCTGGCCTGTAATAAATCACCCTACTTGCCAGGTGGTTTTTTAACACAGAAATTGTACATCAATCTTTTAAGCCCARCTTCCAACCAAAAAGAACAGAACCAAGTGAGTGGACAGGCGGGTGGAAGGGATATGCCAATCAGGACCCACWGCCCCCTTCTGAAGTAGTTTAAAAGTGACTATAACTGTTCTAGGCATACCCAGAGTCATCTTGTCTAGATAAGGGAAGTTATAAGATGGTACCTCAGTTAGAAGGCAGGAAAGTTTTCCCTGCAGAATTAGTATCTAAACTGAGAAGAAGTGACAGTACAGCTGAAATGAAGCTGACCAATAAGTGAGTGGGGTGGGGAGACTGCCCTAGGCAGACAGAACAGAACATAATGAAAGACCCAGAGAGCTCATCATTCAGGGAAGGAATCAAAAATCTCCCTAAGCCTAGTGTCTGGGAATTGATGAAGATAAGACTAGCTGAACTGGGAACACACGTGCATGACCTTACTTACAAGTCAGGTAAGGCAATTGGCCTTTACCATGACAGCAGAATATACATTCAGGGTCTTATATAGGAAAGCACATGGCATCCTGGTTATAAGGTAAAGACTAGACCAGGAGACAGTGGTTCAGTTAAACAGAGTCAGGGGTGCACGTTAGAGTCTCCATGGAGTCATATAGGTTACAGAAATGCTAACTAAACCCAGGAAGTGACGATGAAACTGAAAATGGATCCTGAAGCTATGTAGAAGGTGATTGAATTTCAGAAAAGAGAATGGAGGACACTCCCAGGTGTCTGTCTTGGGTGAACTTTGAGTAGATGGTGGTACCATTCATGGAACCGGAAAGCAGAGAAGCTGTCTCATAGCCCCTCGGAAATCTCCATGTAAGCCAGACATGGTGACCTCTGTCCTGTGGTTCTCAAGCCATCTGGAGCAGTGGTTTTTAGACATTAGCAGCATCATCTTCTGGAAAGATCACAGAAAATCAGATTGCTGGGCCCCACCCTAGATGTTTTTTCAGGAGGTCGAGGGTAAGATGTAAGAACATCACTTCAACAAGTTTCCACGTGATATGGGTCCAGGTTGTCACTTTTAACAAGTTTCCATGTGATATTGGTCTAGGTTGGACCAGCTGCTTTAATGTGAATATATCTCACTGAGGATCTTGTTTAAATTCAGAGTCTGATTTTATTGATTGTATTTTATTGGGTAAGGGTTGAGATTCTGCAATTCCTTTTTTCCCCACACTTTTTGTTTTTATTAATGCATCATATCTGTACATAGAGATTCTGCAATTCCAACAAGATCCCAAGTGTTATTAATATGGCTGGTCCAGGAATCACACTTGAGTAGAGTATGGTCTCAACCTTGACTGCCCACTGGAATCCTCCGAGAAGCTCTAAAACACACTGGAACTCAGTGATGCAGCCCATGTTCAGGATTGTTTAAATTTTCCAGGTGATTCTTATAGGCACCAGAGCTGAGAATCACTGCTCTAGACTCAAGGGACTTTATACCTCTACATAATTTAAAAGTCAGAATGAAGAATTCATAAGATCCTTCCAAAAAATGTAGAAAGTGTTGACACATTCTTTCTTCTTAAGAAAATTGTATGTCAATCAAATGAATATTGAATACCAAGATAGAAATAGTTGCTAGTCTTTTATTTCTGGGAGAGAGTATGCCAAATACAATAATTCATTAAATATAGAAAACTATCATTTGTACTGCTTGGAGATGGTAATAATAAKTTAGCCCAATTGTGTTCTAATTTCCGTTTGGGTAGAGGAAATAAAAGAAACTAGCAAAAGCTATGGAAAAGGTTAGTTCTGTGTGCATCTTAAACTTGCAGAATTTATACTAGCTTTTCCCACTTGACACTGCAGAGTACTCTTACTCAAAACAGTTTTAACAAGCACATTTACTTGGTTTCATTTATAAACTTACTATATATGAAAAGAGTTCATAGATTATTTTACGTAAGAGGTTACTGCTCAGTGTCTAACATTAAATAAAAAAGAAAGAAAAACAAATGATTAAACATAAAAATAGTAAAACGGGCTATTTATGGTAATTTATGAGCAAATTACATGTGGTAACTTATGAACAAAGCCATTCTGCCTTCCCACACAACTATGGTGGATCTAATAATTTTGGTCCCGTATGGCTAATTGGACTCACTATATTATAGTTTTAAAGGCAAGAAAGTTTAACAGTGCTATATAGTACTTTTTAAAAATATTTGTTTTAAGATTGTTAAAATCAAATTTGTATTCTAGAAGAAGAAATCCTTTTATCTGGAAAAATCTACTTAGAATAGAATATAGTTCCACATAAACTGAGTAGCATAAAGAAAGCAAATAATCACGTCGCCAGTTAATCTGAAGATAGCTAATGTAATGTGAACTTTTGAAATTGTGTTTATATGTCTGTACTTTTCTTGATTTAACAGCTTTTAACCTGGAGACCTGTCGGCTTATGGTTTCGATGCTGGATGTATCCTTTACCTCGATGGTTTTCTAGAGTATTGTTTCTTGACAAGAAATTTCCTTCCTGAAGGAATTTATCACAKAATTAAAACACCAAGTGACAATCCCTGAAAAGCTTGGTGAAATAATTGGCTTTTAGGATATGGTTTGGTATAAAAATGGGAAGGAAGTTTAGTAAACAGAATGTCAGTTGTTTAAGAATCCAAGGAGGCATCAAAGTAGAATAAGTGTGGAGACAAGGACCAAAAAGCTTTTTCCCTTTAGTGTTGATGGCTCTGCAGGATCCACACCCGACTTTCAATGAGGGGATCATACACACCCCAGGTGTTGGACTTATTTAAATGAAGTGCTGTCCATTCCAGTCCACCTTCCAGGGGTGAAATCCTTAGGTCTGGGAGAACTTGACGAGAGAGGACTCCAGAACAGAAGGGTAGACAACATAGCCTGGGCTGCCTAGGAAGTRCACACAATTCCAGAACCAAGACTACCTTTTACTTAAACCATTTAGTTTTCCCATAGTAAAAATAGGTACTAAGAGCTTTTTCTCCATAGGTCCTTTTTATTGAATCTTTGTGTGCTATCATCAACCTTTCTATTTTATCATACCAAGAAAAATGTACAATAACTTTGAAATATTTTAGCAGAAAGAACATTGAATTCCCCCTACCCCCCCCCCCTTTTTCATTTAATCACTTGAAAATGTTACAAAATAAAGAAGCTCTGATCCTTGATTACAGTTCAGAGAGACAGGTCTGGCACAATGGGGTTCAATGAGTTTAAAGAACTCTGGTCTGTACTGAATGGCTGGAGACAACACTTCATCAGTTTTGACAGTGATCGGAGTGGAACTGTGGATCCTCAAGAATTGCAGAAGGCGCTGACAACCATGGGTGTGTATGACTAACTGGAACTCTCTGTTCACTGGTAGGTACAGTGGGGTTTTTTTGTTTTTTCTCTAATAGTAAGTGCTATTTGAAGATCGTTTCTATTTTCTTAGAAATTGTGTGTGTTCATAAGTAAAGTCCACAATCTTAAAAATTGTGCTCGATTATTTTTCAGTGGTTTTTCTTTTTCAAACTTTTAATGGATGACTTTTCTGCCTTTCAGGATTTAGGTTGAATCCCCAAACTGTGAATTCAATTGCAAAACGATACAGCACCAGTGGAAAGATCACCTTCGATGACTATATTGCCTGCTGTGTCAAGCTGAGAGCACTCACAGGTGTGTTCTGTGAGGTTTGTGGTCATCAAGAGCCACAAGGATACAGTTGACATTTTATTTCTCAGTGCTTCTGAACTTTTATTCTCCCCAGTTTTTTCTATGCTTCAGTAGTTGYTTTAGTCAATTTGTGACATTGCTTTTACACATACGTAGTATGATAATTTTGTTTTACAKAATTTTTTTTTGGTTAGTGGGTAATCTGCCATTAAAATAATCTTAAATAAGTTTTACTAAAATAGTCCAAAACATAATGAGCTAATTTGTGCTTTACTTCTTTTCTTTTTTGTTCTTGTGATTCTGGGTATCAAACCCAGGACCATGTACATGCCAGATGAGTGCTGTACAACTGAGCTACATCCCAGCCCTAACCTGAGAATTTTTATTGGAGTGGGATTATGAGTGATTTCTCTTTAGAATGTGAAATTTTTGAAAATTGAAATAAATTCTTTGTTTTGTAAGTGGGCTGAAATGGGTGGGATATTTTATCATAGCCCATTTATCATATTAAGAACTCTAGGGCTGGGATTGTGGCTCAGTGGCAGAGCRCTTACCTAGCATGTATGAGGCACTGGGTTCAATTCTCAGCACCACATATCAATAAATAAAATAAGGTCCATTGACCACTAAAAAAAATTTTATATAGGTCTATGTATATATATATAGACATAGATAACATATATATATATATATATATATCTTTAATTCAACAATATCTGTTTTATTAAGAACTCATCTATTTCTTTAATTCAACAATATCTGTTTTATTAAGTTTGAAATTTTATGCTTTCATCACAATTAAGTAAAGATCTTGGAAGTTGCACAGCTTTTTAAAACTCACTTTTAGGTATTTCCTCCAAGTTCCACAAAAAAAAAAAAAAGACAGCTGTTAACTTCTGCCTATGATATCACTTTGTTGCATAGTAAATCTTTGCTTTGGCCTTGTTGACAGTTTGTACAATTTATATGTTACTATAATTTCATCCTAGTGTTAAAATAATCAATGATGGTGATTTTAGAAAAGCTGTTTAAAAAAACTATACATTTTACTGTGTTATTTTACAGATAGCTTTCGAAGACGGGACACTGCTCAGCAAGGCATGGTGAATTTCTCATATGATGATGTAAGTCTAAGTAATTAAGAGCTATGTAGWTGGATACAGTGCACAAAAAATGGGCATCCCTTTTGAATTTAGATGTTAAGAACATCTTAAAGATGCCAGAGAAATCAGAGATTAAGTGATCAGAAGGAGTTACCATCTAAAACATATTTTGTTTATTTTCTATGTGGTGCTGAGGATCGAACCCAGCACCTCATGTGTGCAAGGCAAGTGCTCTCCCACTGAGCTACAACCTCAGCCCTAAAATATATTAATTTCATTTACTATTAGTTTTTTCTATAGGTTGGACCTCTGATTTGTATTTAAAGACGTGGGTTCAAGTCTAGCGTGTTGCATTGATTAGCTGCATCGTGTCACTTATATGGTTTCTTAATTGCTTTGAAACTTTTTGAATAAAGAGAAGGATGTCATTATAGTAGTACCTCTTTCAYTGGGCTGTTTTAAGATTTCAGTCAGAAATATCCTCAAAACACATGCTGCAGGTATTGTGTCTGATTTTCCCTTCTACAAACAAACCATCTCAGTGACTGAGAAGTAGCTTTAATAGCTCAAACCTGCACTTTGCACAACTATGTTCTTAATTGAGAACAAAGAGCAGGTGCCAGCTTAAATAACAATTTAAAGGAAGTTTTTACTGAATAGCCACACTAAACAAGAGAGGATGGGGCCAGTGTGAAATAACCAACTGCCTTCTCTGATACCATTCACTGGATGTGTGTAACAAAAGTAAGGAGATGCTTAGTTATTTCATGTTTTTGCTTGGCCATTGATTAAAAAACAAAGTTGCTTTGAGAATTGAAATCACTGTAATCGCTGAATATTCTAAAATATTTCTAACAGTTACTGTGGTTGTCAGTGCACTTTGGAAAGGCATAGAATATGTGAAAGTATAAAATGCTTCTTTCTTCTATTTAAGGGTGTGTTCTCTTTAGTGTGCCTTAGCTTAGCTTCTCAGTTGACAGTCCTGTCACTGCATTAGAGAGCAAGGGCACTGGGGAATGGTTTTATTTGCATCTAGGTTTATTTTAATAAGCAGATTTTAAAGGGACACATTGTTTAAAAATACTCCATTAAAGTAAAGGGGGTCAAACTGCAATTTGGAACATGATATGACAGTATAAATTCCAGTTATTTGTATTAGTGGGCAGGTACCTTTGARCGTGACCTTTTGTAGAATCTTCAATATTATCCAGGATTTAAATAATYCTTTATCAATTGAAGTAATGTCTTATACCAGTAAGAAGTAAGAACCCCACTGGGTATTTCTTTTTCTTTTTCCTTTATACTAGAAATTGAACCCAAGGGTGCTTCGTCACTGAGCTACATCCTCAGTCTTTCACTTTTTTGAGAATGGGYCTAAGTTGCTGAGACTGGCTTTGAGACTGCCTCAGCCTCCTGAGTCTCTGGGACTACAGGTGTTTACCACCATACCTGGCTCCCATTTTTTTTTTCTTGGTACCAGTGATTGAACTTGGGGCATTCAACCACTGAGCCACATCCCCACCCCTATTTTGTATTTTATTTAGAGACAGGGTCTCACTGAGTTGCTTAGTGCCCCACTGTTCCTGAGGCTGGCTTTGAACTCAGGATCCTCCTGTCTCAGCCTCCCAAACCACTGGGATTACAGGCATGCGCCACCACACCCAGCTTTCCATTGGGTTTTATAGTAGAGCATTTCCATAAAAAAAATGAACCTTTCCATTCATGATGTACTCATATATTAGAGGTTGTGTGTATGTGTGTGTGTTAATCCTTAATTCCAAGTTGGAGAACTAAAATGTAARCTGTTGAAAAAAATCAGCTCTAGTGAACTAAGTGTTTTGTGGTCTGTAGCATAACACTGGCTTTCTCTCTTTTAGTTCATTCAGTGTGTCATGACCGTTTGAGAGGAAGCTGCTGGAAGTCAATCAACATTCCACCTGGAGTTCGCATTTGCTTACTCTTTGCCTTCAGTACCGTGTGTAGCTTACATGGCTACTTCYCCCGACAGCTCTTGTAAAGGTCTACTACGTTACACACAACTGAAGTTTTGGTTTTAGTTTTGATAATAAATTCTTTGGAACTTAGTAAGATCAAGTGTGTTACACCACCTAGAACTTCCTTGAGCCAATATCAGTCATATCTTATTTTCCTACTAAGCCTCTTTTATTATAAATTTGAGTATGCAAAATGTTTAAGGCACATTATTTACTTTTCATTATGAGATATGAAACACTTAATCAGGCTACAATTGTTATCTTTCCTCTCCTGAAGAATGTGGTTGAAAGTTTTGTGTGGAACATTCTTCGGTAAATGATATACACCCACTTGAATGCAAAAAACAAACAGTAATCCATGTTAGAGTTTACCTTCCTAGAAAGTTAGCAGCACAGGATTTAGACTTACACATATTTTCATGGCCTTGTGAATGGACAGGGAACATTGAGTGATTATTTTCTGCCTTTTTAAAATGTATGGATAATTTGAGTGGCAAATACCAAGTCCCTCTTTGTCATCATCCATTCAAACCTTTGTTAACTATACTTAAGAATCTTATATGCTATAAGCTTAACTATGTAAAAAGAAAGTTCATAGAAAAAAGACTAAGGGAATATATGAAAATACTAACTATAGTTATTTTTGGCTAATGGGATGCTTCATGACTAATTTTCTTTATACATTTCAGTGTTTTCCAAATTTTGTATAAGATATATGCTTCCATTTTAAAGTCAAAGATGTGTTGATTTTAAAAATATTGATGCATCCAATTTAGTTATGTCATGTGTTTATGCTTTTAAAAACACACAGCAAAAACACTTAAATGAGTGTCCTAAAGTGTTAATCTGGCATCAGGATCATGGGTTTGTTTTCTTCCTTCCTCCTACTTTCCCAAATAGTCTCTAATAAACAGGTATTGAATATATAGATCAATATCAATTTAAACAATAATATTTTTAAACCATGCGCTTTCAGTAAGATCTGGATTCTAATGCTGGCTGCACCTTTTACTGTGTGGTTTGATCATTTTAGATAACCCCTAGTGTCTTAGTTTCCCGTCTTTGAAAAGGAGATAGCACTTACATCTTGGTAGTTCTGAACAGAAAAGGTGTGTTGGTATAACAAGCAGAAACAGCATTTCTGATTCTTAAATTTAAAACTGTCCTGATTTGCCTTTGTTTTTTGGGGGGAGGGGGTTTTGTTTTTTGTTGTTGTTTTTTTTTTTTGCAAGAAAGCTTAACAAATTAAAAAAAAAATGATGCTATTATAGTTCCTCCTTGCTGGCAGTGTATCTGTCTTACTTGAGGGCACAATGTGAGCATTACCATTCAAATGAATTAGTTATCAACTAATGAAAATAAAAGTTTTCTTAAGTCTCTTTAGCCTCATTTCACTAATGTGTTTTCTAAATGCTAAGATATATATTTCATAAATACTTTTCAACCCTAATTTATATATATAATATATATATATATTAATAATATATATATTATATATAGGGGAGAAGCTTAGATAATATTTATTTATTTTAAAACACCCACATACACAGCAAACCCATTGTCCCCCACTAGTACATATGCATAGTTCATATTAGTATGTAACTAAATTATATCCTTGTAAAGGGAGAGTAAATAACCATAAACTGAAAACAAAGATTATTTTGGTTTAGTATCTACAGCCCCAATTTGAAAAGTCTTTTTTAATAGTTTTGCCAAGGTTCTAATCAGATATGATCCTCAAGTCTCAATAAAGACTTGAGTAAATGATTCTCAGTAAATATTCACAAGATATTTAAATAGGCAAAAGATACCTAAAGCAATTACAGAAATTAGAAGGTAATGACTTAGACCCTCAAAAATTGAGCTAATATTTTCACACTTCTSTTTACATAAACATAGCATTGAAATAAGCAGTTGTTGCCACTTGACTTTAAGTATTGTCTGCTTTATATGCTGTAGTCTGTTGGCAATATTTTTCAAAGTAAAAATAAAATATTAATATGAATACTATTAATGCTGACATTCTAATTTTTTTTTAGCATTTTAGCCATGCTAATCTAGTCAAACACCTGGTGGGAGGTTAAAAATAAAGCTTTTAAATCAAAACTAAATATCAATTTAATCATCACCTATAGACTTATATGTTGGGACCCTTTATTTTGCTTCCTTTTGAATGTCCTACTCTTTTGAGACCCAAGTATATAAGCTAAGAATTTCAATATTAAGTTCCTTAGGAGTAGTAAAGAAAAAATCTAGTTAAATTCTTGGAATTAGTTCTAGTCAAAGGTTTTTAGGAAAAAAACAATACACCATTAATTGGCTAAGGCAAAAATCCTCAAATTCTGCTCTCTTTAACAACTGTTCTCTAAAATGATAAATGCAGAGCAGGCTGGAAACCCAGAAACCAAGAATTTGGAGCTAAATTGGTCTAACCCTCCCACCTAAAGGACTGAGGACCTGCACAACATGTGGAATGTGGGAAAATGATGATGCACCTTGGGGAAGAGCTTCATGGAGGCCTAAGCATTTGAGGCAATTTATATGTGAAGTAGTTATGCCTCAATTACCTGTTAGGGTGTGATGGTCCTGCTGTATCTTACATAGTAAGTCTAGGTTTCATCCTAGATATATTATGTGTGGCCACAAAGCTTCTCTTGAGCCTGGGCTGCCCAAAAATGGGCCAAAGGGTATCCAGAGGACAAAAAGGCAGGGACGGTCCTTAAAGAGTTCTAGTCCCTATTGTTCAGCTAAACCTCACCAGGATCTTGAGAACATAGTTCAAGGGAAGATAAATTTTTGGGTGATCATTTGCATTTAGGTAAAAGCATCCTTGCTAACCCAAGGTCACAGCCCTTATTTGAACCACCTTGTTGCTTTTATGAATCCCAAGATGTGCTACATTTATCATGGTTCTGAATTTGCTTTTGGATAAGTGCTAAATAATTATAAACCATGCTTCTATATCAATTAATTCAATTTTAATTATTGATACTTCGAAAAAGTCTTACCTCCTCTAATTTTGCTGGTACAGTTTGTTTCCAAAAGCTTGGCATGGCGCTTCCTCTTCAGTCTGTGTCTGCTGTTAAAAATTTTCCTTCTCCTTGATGGATTTGAGGTAGCCATCCCCTTTCAGTCAGTCTTCATTACAAAAGAATCTTGTGCTCCCTTGTTTCTATTTTATGTTGGGTTCTGTGCTTCATTTCTTTGTATACTTCCAGTGTAGCCTCAACCACTTCTTTAAAACTGTTTCTCAGTCTGTTTGATCTTCTATTAAAGCATACAGTTGGGAAGGGTAAAGCTGTGAACTCAAACTTGAATTCTTGGAATTATTGGGAGAARTAAGTTCCTCAGATCACTCCCACTCAGGGTTGTATTGTATTTTGGAAATGTGTGCTTCAGTCTTATGGTTCAAAAGATTCATGAATTACAAAGTCCTCATAACACATTTCACACAATTTTCATAGAAATGTGGCTGCCAGAGGCCTGGTACTTCCTGGGGACCGGCATAGATTTGCACCACAGTAGTCATTAAGTTAAAACTCACGCTCCTACTGAGCCAAGTTGGAGTTGAGACTCTAGCATGATATTCCAGGTGGTACCATCAGCCCCTGAGGGAGCATGTGAGCTAAAACTTCTCTGGACTAGACTTTGCTTTGCCTCACCTGAGTGCATCATTGTTTCAGTGCTCATATAAATGAATTATTATATGCTTCAAACGTGTAAGTAATGGAGTTCTATGTGATCACCATAATTTTTAAAATCTCATAATAAATATACAAGCCCTTCATCAACAACTCCCTTCCATTTTTCTCACACTGTAATACAGACTTGACTACTTTTTTCTATGCAGACTAGGAGCTGAAGGCAAGGAAATTGCAAAGCCAGTGTAGTGACTGGTAACTAAAATGGCTGTGTGAGAAGAGACGAAAAGTCTAGAGTGGAACCATTTGTAGGCAATGAACTCGTGAACCTAAACTGAACCCAACCAAGACTCTGCTTTAGAAGGCAGCACAGGTGAGCACCACTGCCTGGGCTGTAGGATAAGGTACAAGACATGAATCCTCATTAGGGTGAGGGAAAGTGTTTAAGAAGCAAGGCAGTTGGGGAAGTAGAGGAAAATGCTCAGCAAATCTGAGCACCCAGGCTTTACTAAAGCATTGTTCTATTTCTTATCAAGTTAATGATCTCTTCTAGGACTGTGTAGAACAGGGGGGAAAAAAACACCCTGTAACAATATCCTGATTAACCTGAAAGAACATCTGGCTGGGAGAAAAGAGATTAAAGGGAGTCATGCATCAAAATAACATAAATCTTTTATTGAAAGTCACTTTATTGATGTTACAATGAGAGTAACATAGAAAACTGGTATCTTATTAGCTTCAGAAGTGAATACTAATAAAATTGCGTCAGAAATTTGAACCTCAAGTTACAGTGACCTTTAAAAACAGCAAGATTTTGTTTACCTACAATGCAAGAACAATTTTATAACTTGAATGGCCATAAAACAAATCACACTTGCCCAGGAAAGCAGTCACCATATACATTTCAGTTGGTGTTTGCCAAAACCCAGTTATTTTTAAAATAGCGTAAGAACCTGAAGTGCAGAGTAGCAGAGAGAATGTTAAAATGATGCAAATCTAAATATATACACACGAATACCTGGTTACCAAAAGTGAAGCCGTGCTGCTAGTAACACTTCCTCGGAGGGTGACTTCCATCAAGTGCAGATGGAATCACCCCTCAAGGATGGCAGATGTGGAAAACACTAGCACAGACCTAAACAGGCGAACATAAACTGCTTTGATTAAATAGAACACCCAGTTTCTGAAAGATGTCGGTTGGGGATTCTAGTTTAGAGGGACAAGTCTTCTTACAAGTTAAAAAGGAGCAYATGCTTAGTTATTCTGAAAGATCCTTTTGTTAAGCTTTTGCAGTTAGTGTTAAGAAAAAAAAGTTCCCCATACAAAACAAAGGTGTTGGGTCATTTTTACCCATTAAAAAGACTGGTTGTAGAATCACAGTTTGATTTTGTGCTGGATTAGAAAAAAAAGTGGGGTTTCTAATCAGGCAGTGATTCACATGTATAATTTAGCAGGAATTCTTGTCTTATTACTAAGTATTAATTCCTATCAGCACTCTCTGTATTGTGTTATCTGATATAACTTAGCACCGCTATATTTGTAGACTTGGGGAAATTAGTGTTATTTTAGAGCTTAACCATCAAAACAAATCACAGACTGAAACTTCATAAAATAAAAGGCTAAGCCCTCAGGTGAATGCGGATTAGTGTGTGCATGCACACACACACAAATAAAGGGGAAACTAATTTTCTTTGAAATTTTATGATGGATGGTTTGTATGCACATTATCTTAACAAGACGGGGTACTCTCATTGTATGCCTTTTTATAAAATGAAACCAAACAAAACACACAGAGCCAGGCATGATGGCGTACACCTGTAATGCCAGTGACTCACGAGGCTGAGGCAGGAGGATCACGAGTTCAAAGTCAGTCTCAATTTAGCAAGGCCTTAAGCAACTTAGTAAGACCCTGTCTTGAAATGAAAAGCGAAAAGGGCTGGAGATGTTTCTCAGTGGTTAAGCACACCTAGGTTCAATTCCCAGTACCAAAAAAAAAAAAAAAAAAAAAAGAACAAAACACACATTTTGCTAAGTTTTGATTCTAGGGAAACTTGGAACATGAAATGATGATGCCTCTCACCAAAATCCTGCTGCCCTTGAAGCACCTCTCTGTCGTGTGGCAGGTTCTACAAATAATGCAACAGGGACATCCCACTGGACCAAGAAGCACTTACAGAGCCACCACTGGTGAAAGCTGTAAAGCACACAAATCTGCCTTGGGCTCCCACTATCTCTTTCCCTACCACATGCCCAGAGACCATTTAGGGCTTTTGTGCCTGCTTGGCTTTCAGGTTCTTCTAAGCCAGGACTAAACAAATGCCCCATGATATCACAAATCTTACTATTACTTATCTCCTCCCCCATTTTGAAATTCACACCCTACGGCCTGTCTCTCAGTGACTTTCCAAGTTGCAAAATCCATGCTAATGTGTCAAAGGGAGGCTAACAATGCCTCCCACCCCACTCTGCACCCCTGGTGTCCTTTCAGTCTCCACATGGAAGTACTAGCCTCCCTGACAGGGAAAGCTAACTAGGAGGAAAGTGCTGCACAGCTACTCAAGGGGAAGCTACTTCAGAAACAGCAAGGTTCTGAAGCATCCCTCAGTCCCCTAGTGAGGATGCTTACTGTGTGTCAGGCCATGGATATAAGGGGCAGAAATACTAACTAGGCAGGTTTTTGTTTTGAATATTTATTTTGTTGCACTGCTTACAAAACAAAGATGTTCCATGTTGATTCTGACAAAACCATGAATAAAATGTGAACAGAAATAGTATCTTCCATTTTCTAAAGCCTTAACCATCTTTGCTCTGCACCTGCAGGTGTGGTAGATCCACTCCTCTTGGTAGTCAAAACACCTGCCTGACAGCATATGCTGTGAGCACATGCCAGCAGTTCTCAGCAGGTTCACTTTAAAAGCTCCCATTCACACAACTTGGAGGGGCTCCTGCACCAGGCAATTGCCACAATTGAAGACCAGGTGCCTCACAATGTAATAACCAGAGAAAGACATTTATGAAAGCTTAGTTCTCCAGTGCAAGGAGAAAAGATTTTGCTGCATCCAAAATCAGATTAATCTTATCCATTCAGAAAGTATCTCAGAAGAGGAAAATAAACATTTGAGTTTGAAATTAAACCCTATTCCACGGATATGTTGCTTTTTAAATCTTTTAATTTAAGCTGGTAGAGAGAGAATGAGAAATTTATCTCGACTCCATACATTGAAGGAGGGATATGTATTTAGGTGACAATTTTAAAGGAAAACATAAAGTTAAGGAAAAATAGATAATTATAATGCAAATGGGAGAGTGTTTCATGGAAAATTCATGCCAACTTACCAACTGGAAGAAGATATTTACAATACGCCCCATATTGTGGCATCCAGTGACAGCAGTGAACAGCTTCCAAATCGGGCTGTGAGGGCAACTGTCTTGCCTCTCTTCAGTTCCACAGTTTGTTCTCCACTCCCCCCATACACAAGCCACTCAATAACTAGCCTTCCTTTAAGATAAGTAAAATAGTCTTTTCTTTAGATTAGGATCTATTATCATGTTGAATAACAAAGAAATAAAGTTTGTGCATACGTGCGTGCATGCATGTGTTTGTGTTTGTGTGTGTGTGTGTGTGTGTGTGTGTGTTTAAGGTAAAAACGGAACACAACAACAGGAAATAAATGGATGACATAAATAAATGAACAAACATGATTTTGAAACACTGAAAGAAGCGAACAGAAATACTATTATTTCCTCTGGCTCAAAGGTATCTAAACAAAAAAATACAAATAAATAAAATCTGAAAAAAGGTAACAGGTAAAGTGTCCACAAAAGATCTAGGGCAGGATAAAATGATGCAAATATGCAAGAGCTTCAACAGAAAAGATTGAGAACTGTAAGCTTGTTATGGAATTCAAACACAGTCTCTCCTTAGAAGCCCACAGAATATCTAATTTTATCTTCACACTAGCTTCTTTTAGAAACCATATCAATCTCACATTCAGAAATTCTATGCTGAACTGACCTTATGCACAAAAACAATTCTCAAAGCCTTTGAAAGCAAAAGGGAAAAAGAGGAACTGCAGTATCACTTAATAAACACCATATCAAACTGAAAAATAGGCTTGGAATTTTAACCCTATCTTTTATTTATTAGTCAATTGGAAGGGATTATGTGGGAGGCCTGAAACTTGCAATACTCCTGCCTCATCCTCCTGAATAGCTGGGATTATAGGCATGTGGCACTGCACCTGGCTGGTCAATTAGTTTTTATAACAATTGTTAGGGTAGGTTATTCCTAATTGAGGTGCTGAGCTTCTTTAAAAATACAACTTCACTGGATGTGATGGTGCATGCCTGTAATCCCAGAGGCTTAGGAGGCTGAAGCAAGAGGATCCAAGTTTGAGGCCAGTCTCAGAAACCCACCAAGGCCCTAAGCAACTTAGTGAGACCTGTCTCAAAATTAAAAATAAAAAAAGCTGGGGAATGTATCTCAGTGGTAAAAAGTGCCCCTGGGTTCAATTCCCAGCGCGCGCGCACACACACACACACACACACACAATCACTAAAGTAAGTCTGGGAGCCCTCATTGTGATGATCTGTTGGAGACATACTGACTTTTTCCTTTTCACAGACTGCATATGACTGAGGGTCATTTTCTAGCTTGGTGACTCCAGAGGAGGATTTTGCTTCCTATTTTAGGAAATTGGATGAGCCAGATATGGTGGCAAGTAACCCAGTAGACTGCAGCAAGAGGATAGCGAGTTTGAAGCTGGCCTAGACAATTCAATGAGACTCTGTCTCAAATTTAAGAACATAAAGGGCTGAGGGTGTAGCTCAGTGGTGGAGCACCCCTGCGTTCAATCCCTAGTACTAGGAAAGAAGGCAGAGTCGGGAGGGGAGTAAGTGCTGGATGCAGAGAACAGTTAGTCTAACTAATCCACTCTTTAAGGGGTCCCTGTCATCCCACAACTCCCATGTTGACTCTTAGTGGAGACATCTAGAAGTCTTTTTATATCAGAACTGTGATGAATATGGATAAATGGAACATCTCAAACAGCAGGGTTATCAATCTGAAGTCCTAACTATGCACAGAACTTCAGAAAGTGGGGGGAAAGGCATACAATGGAATGTAAGGGTCAAATAAATGCTCTTTTCAGCTTAGTAACAATCCCATGTTGAACTGGGGAATACAAATATTAGTTGCATGATATGAACTGCAATGTGTCCTCAAAGTTTCTCTCCAAAATAAATATTTAAAAAGATATAATATCTGTGCTTTTATTTGGTGCCATGGATCCATTCTGTCTACCTCAGTGAATGAAAAGTCATAAATATTTAGACGTAATGCTCTAGAACATCAATCATGAGTGTACATGTAGATACTTCTTGAAACTATCCATTGAGGCTAAAATTTGTCAAAGAATTCCACAAACGGTTCTAGAATGTTTAAACACGGGAGATAGAGTAGATGTTCAGCACAGAACATTGAAGCTCTATTATATTTCTAAAATCATAATCTCTGCAAACAAAACAATCACTTTTCACTCAGTTTCAAGAGAAGGTTATTACCAATGAGTATGATTACAAACTATATACCTCTAGAACAACCATATCTCCCAAAAGGCACATGATAATTATTTTCTTTTGGAAATAATAATTTTCAGTAAAAATAATTGAGAAGGTGAAAAAGATCGATAACCAATGGAGTAGCTAGCCATTTGTGGATTCTTTCAAATAGGGCTTATGGAACTATAACTAGGAAGGATATTTACATGAGGCACCTAACATTCAAATCTATAAACTCTTTTGTAGTCAAAATAAACCTTATTAGCCTTTTATACACTCAATACCAGAAAACATTCAGTGCACATTTAAAATGATCTTGGTCAAGTCACCTTATTTGCTACATCTTTTAATCTGTCTGCCCTTCTGTCCTTGGCTAGAGCTCTGTGGCAACACTGCTCACCACTCACACCAGCCTTGGTCTGACGGATTGTTTTATTGAGGTATCAACAATCACATCATTTCCTGTTGTGAAAAACTGCTATTTTCCACAAAGTTTAGACGATTAAATATATAATTCTGGATGATGAAACCACTTTTCAAACATTTTCAAAGACTTGCAGAAGAGAGGGTTTCTACAGAAGACATGAACCAGGATGAAACACAGTCTTCTAACTGGAAGTTTGGGCAATTAGGGTGATTACATAGGGAGATGAAGTGGATTTTGTCCATGGACATTACCAGAAGAAATAAAAGTTAGAAGGCATTCCTGATATCTTATCAGCTGATTCCCTTCCTCTCAAGCAAATGTAGAAAAAAAATAAAAAGAGGAAATCAGAAGTATACTTCACAAAAGATCACGATTGATCCCATCAATTTCTGACCTCACTAGAGTGCCTTTTTTTTAATTTTTTTTTTTTTTTTTGGACTGACAGACTGGCCTTATAATAGCTATCGAACTTTTGGTTTAAAAATAGGGCTTTGAACATAAAATTCTCATTTTTCTATGGATTAAAGATGACAGGGCTCAAGACATCAGATTCTTTCTGCTGCTGTTTGTATAATTTTCCAGTTGCTGCATCTTTGTGGCTTTAGATTTCATTTAACCCTTTGTGCCCTGTTACGGCTTCCCAGCTCAGACAGCAGAACCATCCATCATCTTGCTCAAGGGTCAACACAGAATGACCTGTTGGGACTCACATCCCAGTGTTAACACATACCCTTAATAAACAGTGTAGAAGTTGTTTTTGTTACAACAAGTCATTCTTTCACAGATAAGGGTGGCTGAAAAGTTTTGTCAAGGAAAAAAAACTTCAGGCTACACAGAAGGGTTAGAGTATTGGCAAGATGGAAGCTACCAGTTCACCAGCAGCTTGTGGTCTGGATTGTCTTTGGTTCACCTGCTTAACCTCAGCAGAACACACTGCTGGGGGCTCATGGCCTCCAGGGTGAGACTAGTTGATATGCTCTGGAAGTGGAAGAGAATAGCTGCTGCGGCAGGCACCATGTACCCCCAGAAGAGAAGTGCATGGGCTATCGGATGGGGGCCCAGAGAGCAATCACCAGCATAGTCTCAAGGCAGCAAGGCAGCCACACTACTGGACTCCTGCTTTAGCAAGCTATGGAGGCCAGAAGTTTTGCTGAGCATTTTGCTTCTTGATGACTCAATAAAACTGCCTCCAGACTACACACAGTTTAAAGGGATATCACATGTTTTCGACAAATACCAATTATGGAGAGACACATTTACTGCATTGACCACTATATTTACATCATCTGCTTATACTCTTTGAAGACCATTGGATGGTAGGACGATGATGTGATTGTGACTGACTCTTTTTAGGCATTTGGCAAAATACACTTGTGTGTAACAGCTGCTTTTTTAATTTTAAAAATGTTTACATATGTACAATTGTCCTTGAATGCTTATATAAATATGAAAAGTAAAAAACAAAAAATAAAAATACATGTTTAAAGTTAGCATATGGGATATTGGCCTCTCAAAGCTGTAAAGTCCTGCAGAAAAATCCTATATGCCGTAGCCCTGCATGCTAGTTTCTATTATGGGATGTTGTTTCCTTAAATATGGAAAACAATAAACAGAAGCTTCATGCATATAGCATTACTGTATACAATGAGGATGTGCTTCAGAATGTGAAGTTCTGAAACCACTATTGTCCCTTAGGAAACTTGCTACATTTGGGGTCATGTGAGTTAATTTTATTGATATTTCTACATATATCTGTCATGCGGATTATCCATTAACATACCAGTACCCTTATTGTTCCGTGTTATAATGTGACATGTCAGTAGTTCTTTTCATGGTTCAGTTAAATCCTAAGCCAATGACAAAAAGAAAATGGTATCCAGATGTGAAACAGCTTCCTCTCCTCTGTGGCATCTCAGAGGGTTTTGGTGTCCTCTGAAGAGCAGATAGATTTGCAGTGATTCCGTGAGGCTGGGCTTCTATAAAAGTTGAAGTAAACAGTTTTGATGTGTCACATGTAAACAGTTGATCTCAAATGGATGTTTCCCATAGCTGCACAACAGAGAAAAGCAAAGTTGTACGTTGTAAATTAGGCAGGAGAAGCAGACATATTCTGAGTTAAGAAAATGAATAAGTTGGTGATTCCATCCATAGTTACATGACTGTGAAAACACACTCTTACAATGTCTAGTGCACAGATAAAATAAACACTTCAGCTTTTAGCTCTTTCCCCTAAGCCTGTGTCTCAACCTTTTTAATGACTATCACTTTTCAATTAAAAAAAAAACTTTACATCTTCATTTAATTTTACTCAAATTTTTGAATAAATATTTTGTCTCAAATGAAACAAAAGACTGTAAAGATATTATTTTTAAGCTACACATGCTCAGGATTCTCATCCAGCCACCTAGAGCAGTGTTCTCACTCACAGCCATATTTTACATTGATCTAGGAAATATTTAAAACTTCCACTGCCCAGGCAGCACACCAGATCACTGAATTATAACCTCTCTGGGTAGGACTTAGGCTAAGAATATTTTCAAAGCTCTTCAGATGATTCCAATGTGCAGTCAATGCTAAGAACTGCTGACCTCTGGGAAGTGTGATTCCCTCAAACACCACCACCACCCACTTAGGAATCACTGTCCTGGGCCACAGCCACAGGACCAGACCACATACTCTGCAATTTCGTCACTGTCCTCTCAGGAGCTGACCCTTCAGTGAAGAAGGATGAGTGCAAGGCAGGAAGTCCCTTCCTTCATTCCCTCACCTTTTCCCTTTCTGTGCTTCTGTCACCAGCTCTATACACTGAGCCTGATCAGATCTCATTTCTACTATCTTCAGCAGTTGCCTTAATGGACCACAAACAACTTTAGCACTGTCAGATGTGAATGTAAATCAATTCACCAGAGAAGGAAGGTCAATGTAAAAAAAAAAAAAATCTAGCTGATGAAACATATTTTCAGGCAATATGATGTTTAAAACTTACTATAAACATGAACAAAGAAAGCCTATTAGGAGAGTGACTTAAATGACACCCATTTCCATCCAAATTCCATTTTTACTGGATACATGGGGCATATTATGGTATACACAATAGGTTTCTGGGAAAGAAATGGAAAGGAAGCAACTATGAAGATGTTTCTATAGGTTACCTTAGGATGTTCTTTCAAATCTTCATGGAAATCTTGTTCTGAACACTCATGTTGGCTTACACCTCAAGACTGTGATAAAGCCTTCTGTGCTATCTACCTCAGGTTGGCTTTGTATGCCCTTATCATTAAAAAGACACCCATCCTCTTGTTCTTGGAAACCAAAAGGATTTCTCTCAATTATGAGTATCTTCGGGAGTAGATGACATCTAATGGTGGAGAGTTTAATGGGGCTGGCAGGGGTGTCTGAGGCAAAGAGTATCTGGTCAATACCCTGATAATGGTCTGTAGTTGTAAAGAGACAACACTTTGGATTCAGAGAGCTGAAGTATCTTTGCATATGGTTATGAATATTACATAAGAAAGGAGAGGAACAAATGAATGACACTGAGACAACCTAAAAGTCATGATTATCCCTGTGAGGAAAAAAGGAGAAAAGACTGGCCAAGACATCATTTTTATAATAGGCACAACTTTGCCCAGACCTGTGTGGCTGTGCCAGAGGGGCTGCTGATAGGAAGGTCTGCTTATCTGAGTCTCCACAGCCCACAAAGACAGCCCAGCAACAGGGGCCGCTTATTCTGCAGGACTCGTAAAGGTGTGGTTAATCCATAGTGAGAAGAAGAAATCAGATCTTTCAAGCAACTCTCCCAGCAGCTAGTCTTTTTTTTTTTTTTTTTTTTTTGGTAGTTATAGATGGATATCATGCCTTTATTTACTTTTTTATGTGGTGCCAAGGATGGAATCCAGTGCCTCACACACGCTAGGCGAGCGCTTTGCCACTGAGCTACAGCCCCAATCCCCCAGCAGCTAGTCTTTACAGTCACCCTGCTCAGCCCAGGGAAGGGGCATGGGCCAGCCATTTTTTCAGAGGAACTGTCATCTCTAGTAACCCACACTCCAGCATAACAACAGCTGAACAATGTCCCCAAGTTGATGCAGTAAAACAGAGAAGTAGATGATTTAATAGGGAAAAAAATGGGATGCTGTACTTAGACAATTCTCCTAGGACGGGAGAATGACAGCAGCCTTAGATTTCAATATCATGTATCAGAAATGACTGTCTATCAACAAGTCTTTTTTAAGGCTAGAAAGCCAAGTGCTGGCAATCTGAGTTGTTTTGCTTACCACTTTCCATATTAACATAGAGAGGTATTTTTTTTTATGATTAACACGACAGTTGTTTTCAAAGATTTTTTATTATTATAAAATATAATGCATATAATGATTTGTGTTTTCTTATTGGATGTGGATTGACTGAGTTCAAATTTGATCCATAATTATCTTGAACCCCATAATTTAGGTTGAAGAGCAAAGAGTCTCTTAAATATCTTTGAAGACCCAAAAAAATCTAGCAACCTAGTATTCACTAGCAGATACATCTGCGAAGGCTTTTAAAGCTTCGTTTCTTTTTTTTTTTCCTAATGTTATCTCTGAGAAAGTCAACTTTATAGTATTAACTAACCACAACAGGGCTGGGGATGTGGCTCAAGCAGTAGCGCGCTCGCCTGGCATGCGTGCGGCCCGGGTTCGATCCTCATCACCACATACCAACAAAGATGTTGTGTCCGCCGAGAACTAAGAAATAAATATTAAAAAATTCTCTCTCTCTCTCTCCTCTCTCACTCTCTCTCTAAAAAAAATAAAAATAAAAAAAATTCTCTCTCTCCTCTCTCACTCTCTCTTTAAAAAAAAAAACACCACAACAGAGTCTGAAAATCTATAAAGATAATTATTCTTTGGTAGTATCTTTTATTTAAACCTCTAAAGGTTGGTTTGCCTCTCTAAACTGTACTATATTTCAAATTTCACATAATGAGTAAGGTTCCAGGAATATCATAAGAGAGTGGTATATGATTAAAATGCAAAAAGAGATTTGATAGCTAAATAAAACTTCTTGTGAATCATTGTGAACAGGATAAATATTTTCATATTTTTTAAAAAATTTTTGATCTCTGGGGGGCTGGGAGCAAGCTAAGTCATATACTTGCCAAACATGAATAAGTCCCTGGGTTTGATCCCCAGTACCTAAATAAACAAACAAATAAATAAATTTGGCCATACACTGCTGTATTCTTTCAATAGTACCGATTTTTCTGAACTTTTCTTTCTTGTTTGCTTTATTTTTGGTACTAGGGATTGAACCCAGGGATATTGTTTCCACTGAGCCATATCCCCAGTCCTTTTTATTTTGTATTTTGAGACAGGATGTAACTAAATTGCTGAGGTTCTCACCAAGTTGCTGAGGCTGATCTCAAATTTTCAATCATCCTGCCTCAGCCTCCCTAGTCACTGGAATTACAGGCATGTGCTACCGAGTCTGGCTAATACTATAGATTTTCAAATCCCCTTTCCCAGTATCCAAATTCCACTCCCATCCCTAAGACAATAATCTGAATTTCTGTCATAAGTTCCTGTTTCTAACAATCTACTGAGGAGTTAGCCAGTRAAAGGGCTGAGCAAGCAAATTTGCATAGAAAAGTGGCTAATTTATTTGGTCTCTGGCATTTCCAGGAATATTAAAAAACTGATACAGCAAAATATATCCTTTGGTTTTATCTATTCCAGGTTTTACTATATTAATTACAATGAATAATAAACAATTTAAGTATATATTAATGACTAATACGCACCAAATATCTCCAGCAGATATATACCAATGCAGATTAAATTTATTTGCAAATACAAATCTGAACCCCAAAGCCCCAAGAATCTTCTAATTTTCATATTTAACTTTCTCATGAAGAAGGAAAATATACCTTTTACACTGTGAATTCACAGAGAAGTGCTAAGGACTGATTAGGTAAGGTTATGGAGAAACATTGCCACATACCCTGGCACTTTGTCGATTCACTTTCTTCTCCTCATCCGGAAGTGGAGGCATTGGATAAGGGTACTTTCTGCTGGATGCAATGGACCCAGTTGATGAAGAAGGAGACTTGGCAGGAGATAAAGTCCTGAGACGTTGAGAACATATGAAATAAATAGCAGGCGATTGCTTAATATCATTTTCAAATGTTTGAAAAGTGAGTTCAAAACAAACCCTCTGACTTCTACTTCCATAAGCTCTTACTCCAAAGTTTAACTACTGGGAAGATGACACTGGGAAGATGTCATCCCMAAAACTGGAATGCTGGAATTTTAGCTTTCTAATTCCATGATTGCAATGAACCACTTAAAAGTTAGTACATAGAATCATACTTTGCAACTAGAAAGCCAACAATGAAGTTTCCTATAGAATAATTAAAAAGATAATATGGAGAAGGGATAAAATTATTCTAAGAGCTCATAATGGTAAATGAAGTATACAACATATTCATATTCTGCCTTATTTTTGCCACTTAATGTAAAATTGCTTCTAAGTATAATAATTCCAGTTAAGATCTTACAATACATTACCAATGATATATTAGTTGCTAAGTCACATACTCATTTACACAAAACTCATGCATTCAGAGGCCAGTGTGTTAGTTGTGAAGGAACAAAGGCAAATACAGGGATTTTAATAATAAATTAGTAAACATGCAAGCAGTAAGGAGTGCAGAGTTCCAGCCAAACAAAGTCTGATGAGAACATACAAAAATGGTCTGATTCATCCCTACAATCAGCATTGCTGGGGAAGAGTGGTGTGTTATGCTGAACTTGTTTGATTTGTGTATGTGCAGTGGTAATATTTGTGACTCTGGTGGCACACTAGATGAGCCCATACCTGCTGCTAGCTTATCTTTAAGAGTGGGGTGGAAGCGAGTAAAAGACTTTCCCATTAGAATATCGTAATGAACAACAGATGTGATAACTGCAATAGACACCCCCTTTGCAAATGTTACCACTACACATTCATGATTCCTTAATTCCCGGGTGCAAGGTGGTAATGACACATATCACTGAACTGGTTACACTGCCACATTATAACACAAGTACATATTTCAGTAGGATGCATMACATCTGCTGAGACTGACTCAGACCAGGCGTTTGTATCCTGGGATATCACTGGGTGGGGCAAGGTCTACTGCCTACACTGCATTTAGTTCCCATGCATATAAAGTCCCTGGCTCTGATTCTGCCATAGTTTTCAAACTTATTTCTATTTTATAAATGTTAAATTCAAGCTAAAGTTTGAAAATAATTTTCCTTACTAACTTTGAGATTCAAGTGAACATCCTTAATTGATTTTAAGAATCGATCAAGAGTGGTTCCATTTACTTTTAATCCATAACTACTAACACTTCTTCCGTTTTTGAAAAATGGCCAGGTCCACTCCTTAGCACTAATTGTTAGGACAAAGCAACTGTTAGATTTCTCTTATGTTAATGCTCTCCATCCTGAGTGGATAGGTGTGACTAAGAATATTAGTATTTCAAATCCTCTAAAGTTCTATTAATGCAACACAAGACTATGTGTTTTTCTAATTTCGAAATTAATTTTTTTTAAATAATTTAAGTAAAACGTTTTAAATAGGACCATGACCTCTAGGAAACAAATTCAGTATGTGCAAAATGAAGACAAACTTTTGCATTTAGACATTTATTAAATGCATCTTTCTAAAATGAAGGCTATCAACCTGGGTTCATCTTTTTAAACAATCATTACCTATAATAAGCCCAAGTTCAGGAAAGCTAGTGAGGTATAAAAGCAAATAACCAAATCTTTCTTTAAGGGATCATGCAAAGTAAGTCCTCTTTTTAATTTGCTGCCTTGTGTGTGTGCCTAGCATGAGCTGTTAGCTTCACAGCCATATCAGGCTTGACTTGGCCAGGGGTCCAAATGACAAGCCTTTTCATTTACAAGAGGCGCTAAAGCCCAGTTCTCCTCTCAAATATCTTTCTGTGGGCAAAGTCAATAAAGAGTAAAAATAAGACCAGGAGATATTCTCTAGAACCCCAAGAAAATTGCACTAAACTACTTCTCACATTAACAGTCTAGCTAATTGACATTTTCCTGAACCCTGAGAGGAAAAAAAGAAATACCAACCAGGACAGTTTTAGTGGGGGAGGGAGGAAACAGGTCCTGGAGGGGTGTTGGAGAAGACCAGGGTAGGAGTCAAAATAGGAGTAGAGAACAGGGGAGAGTAAATGTTTAGGGAAAATGAACATGATTTCTCACAAAGGTCTAAGGAAGACATTCAGTTCCAGTCTGGCTATCACTTATAACCAGTACCAAACCAGCTCATTCACTTACAAAGCATAGTCAATATCTGGAATAAATGTTAGCCATTATCATCACTACACTTTAAAAACCCTCGTAACTACACTGAGCACACATTGGAATTGCAAAATAAAGGTTGTGCTTATGTGCCAATGGAGTGTTGTCATCTGGAGCCACATCAGACTTTCTGGGGTTGTTTTTTATAGATAGGCCTATAARGCAATCTCAGTTCAGTTCTACCCCTCAGGATGACCAAAACCAGGCCAGTCACATGGCAGGGACATAAGCCCACTAATACGCTGTGATAATATGCAAATTTTGTAATAGCCAGATCAGAAGGATTTAATTGTCCTTGGATAGGATCTAAGCAGTCAGTATCCACCTTTTAAGTAAATGCAAAAGAATAAAGAGGGAGTAGATTTTGGAATTGGATAGAGCCAGTCTCAAAGTCTGGTTCTGACCCTTATCAGTTGATAGGCTACCTTTAGTAACTCTTGTGTCTTGATTTCTATCCATAAAAAGGGAATAAGAATACACCTTATAAGATGAGAAATAAAGATATAGAGTAGGCACTTGATACGTGATAGTTACTGTGGTTCATTTATTTCCAGAAACACTACATTTCTCATAAGATTATGGAAATGGATTCAAAACCCACTGATGAAGTAAGCAATCAGCTGGTATCCCCAGATGCCTTCTAAGAGCTTGTAAAGCACCAGCACCAGCAGAACTGCTGCCAGCATCTGGGTTGGTGAGATAATACTTTTGCCCTGTTTTCCCTTGCTTCTTTTGATGCCCTGAATACACGGTGAGGACAATTTGACCAACTACTATCATCTGAGAACTGGGTAAGGAGCACAATGGAGGTACTCTGATCCCTCCAAATCTGTAGGCATTCATTTGCTTTACTCTTCATAGTGAGCGAATGCTATGTTTCAAATGCTAGGCTACAGTTGGGACCAGTTTGATGCAGTCACCAAGTCCTCACTGCCTATTGATAAGAATGCCACAAACCCAACACCTCTGGCTGATTAAGAAAGTGAACTTTGCCCTAGTTGCTGGTTTTGGTAGGAGAGATAATCCTGAATGACCTGGGGGCAGATGAAGCAGATCTGAGCTGAAGCATAGGGTTGGCAAAGCATAAGCCAAGATGTGGATGCACTTTAGGCCTCCTATGCAAGGCTTGTCCTGTTATGTTAGAATTGTGGTATTAAAGCTTTAGGTCATCTCAATTATTCACCACTTTCACAGAAATTCTGTGTTGATTTTCAAGTCTTAACAGTATAACCTTTATCCAAACATGAAAACTAAGTCATAGCCATCCACTGAACTTTAAACAAAAATACAGATTTTTAATAACAAATTTTTAATGGGACGATCTATTGTAGGAACCAACATCTCATATTAAAGAGGAGATAAAGGAACCCTCTAAACTTGCCCTTGCGGCTTTGCACGTGCAACCGGGGGTGCAAAAGCATTTCCCCATCCAAATTGCGTTTAATCATGCAGCTTCTGGGCAGACCTGGGTGCTGATTTTAAGAAATGTGAACTCTTCTCTTAAAGTCACAAAAAAACTACTCAGCTCACCCAGGGGAGGTGAATCAACTCTTCCGGGGTACCATTTCACAGATTATTGCTGCCAAAATGCTAAGGCCATTTGGTAATAAAAGCCCTAACCCACATAGGACCAAAGTTGTTACGTTTTGGTTCCATGGTTGGTACAAATTACAATCTGCCCACAAGCCTGAGTAACATAGGAAGAAGTAATAGGACTGCAGGTGAGCCAAGATTCCCAAGAACATTCAAAATTATCTTACCTGTCTTCCTGACGTTGGCCATCTTGGGAGCTACAGGTGAGGGCGGGATGTTTGAATGTGAGTGTATGTGTATGAGGTTCAGTGTGGCAAAGTGTGGGACAAGCAGAGGACGGGGCAGGAGGGCAGGATGGGGTATAAAAGCAGGACGTAGTTTTGTGAGCAGGCAGGAGTTATGCTTTCCTTGGAGTAAATGCAAATGTTATGGATCAAATTAGAATGCAGATAGGTCTAATCATTTTCTCAAACTATACATGTCTAAACTAAATGGTACACTGGAAGAGAAAGTCCACCTTACATGGGTGCTGAGAGTTAAATATACAGACATATTTTGGTATCTGTTCAGTGCTGACCCAAGTCATGGTCAAAAGTACTATGAAAGCTCATTGTTAACTTGTCCTCAAACGAGAGGGTAATTGAGCCTATTTCTGCTTCACATAATTGTCCATGAATCTGTCAGATACAGAGTGGACATTTACCTTTAGGAAACCATTTTGATATTCTAAAGAGCAAAAAAGAAAAAATCCATTAAGAGCTCTTGGAAATTTTCTCTGATCTCTAATGTTACACAGAGCTGTAACAAGTTGAATAAATTCAACAGTTTCTAAAATGGAGGAATGTTCTTCTCTTTTGTGAGTCAAGAACATGTTTCCTCTCTGCTTTCTGTTCTATCTGATGTGTCAGACAACATTTTGATTTACATAAAAAATTTCTTAGGTGCTTTCTTGAGAATCCATAAAACACTCTTCTCAGCACATGCCTTCTCTGGTAGCAAATGGTTGAAATGAACAAAGAAAACCTAAACTCATTCCACGTGCTCTCATGTGGTCCATATTATCTCAATGATTTTTCAAGGTAGATCAAATCATTGTTTCTTCTTCAAGTGAAATCCACTACATTTTGTTTAGCGTCTTTGTGTGTTTTTTCCTTGAGTTTTTGTATGTACTGTGCCCTCTTAGGCAGTAAGTAGAAAAAAAAATGCATTAAGAAACTGCTAGGTTCTGGAAATTAAATTGTTGAGGTTAATAGTGCTTCTTTATTAGTGGAAAGTATGTTTCATGCCCATAGAACACTACACAGCGTAAAATGAAGAGAAAGCTACTAAAAGCTCAAGATGGTGATAGGGACATGCACTAAATGGCAACCCTTCCAAACGGCAGCAAATAAACAAGGACCCTTTTCCATCTCTAGGAACTTGTATTAGGAGATACAAGATAGAGAACCAGTCACACTACAGTATTTGTATGTGCTGGGAGAGTTTGAAAAGGATATAAAATTAATTTATAAAATACCTAAAGTACGGTCCTTCAGTGTTTTTATTCACATCTTCTACCCACTTAGCTACATTATAGTCTCTTTTGAACCATGGATTTAAATACCTGCAGAAAGCAATGGAAGGAACAAAGAAAGCAGAACAAGATAGAAAATCTGAAAATACACAGCACAAGCTTAGCAAGTGGTCTTCACCCTCCATATGCAAGTGACTATGGCAAATAAACCAGGACAGATGCTGGGTGGTTATGAGGCAGTTTATACAATGGCATGAGAATAATCTCAGCTACAACAGGCTCAGGGCATTCGAGAACGTACTTGACAATTCTGGGAAAGCTTTTTCCAGTGGCTTCCCAAAGTAAATCAGAAACTCACTTTCAATCACGGCACTGTCAGCAGCCCCATTCACCCACCTCCAAAGTGGCTTTGCCCAGGCCACCTCTCATGCAGCAGCTTGGTTTTCAAATAATAAAGGTGCTTTTTGAAAATAYTCAGGCAGCTGCAATTTTAACCTGGCATTTGAGCATATAAAACCCCCAAAACAATTTAAAAGAGCAAAGTTCTCATTACAACATGAGAAGAAGGCTTTTATATGGCCATTGTCTTAGTCCCTGAAGTATATCCCAAGCTGGAATCAACAGATAGGACCCCCCCAGTCAGCACTGTAAAGAGCCAAAAAGGTCCCATCCTCTTCTGCTCCCGGAGCCCCACAAAGTGGGTCCAAACAGGCCTCCATGATATTGAAGCTGGGTTTAGTAATTTAATTGTGGCCACATGTTCCTTTCTCCTCAGTGCATTCCAGATTGAAGTGTTCATGGTGCCATGAAGGAAATGTCCCTCAGAGCTGCCTTCTGAATGTCTGATGGTACACTGTGTGAATGACTGTCAGAGAATAATGATGACCTTAGTGAGAATTTCCCTGATGGATATGGCAATTACTGTATCAGAATGATTATGCAAACAATAAGGGCAGCAATGTCAGAGCTGTAGTTGTATTTTGGCCTAGAGTTTCCTTTTATTTTTACCCTGGGGGCCAAGCAAAAGCACATCCCCTTAGAATTTGCCCTCGTAAAATAATATAAATTTAATAAATTCAGTATTGATAGAATTTGAGGGTTTGACTGGGTTTTCACTTTTAAAAAATGACTTTTAGAGATATGATAGGCAATGAAGATCCAAGCTTTGTAAAATTTAAATTACGTGGAAACGAAAAAGAAGAAATTAAAAAACACATTGTTTGTATTTAACATTTGCTTCTTTCCTCCACATTTAGTTCTTGAGCTGTTTGTAAATATATTTAGATCCAAATCACATTTCCACAGTTACATTAAAAAATTAGATTATTTTTCCATAGCCCTTTCTTTCATTTTTAGCCATAACCAAGGTACTCTACAAAAGAGCATCGTGATGCCCTCCTGAAAGAAGGGCTTTGCAGCTTTTTTAGATTCATAAGACCATTTTTGCTAAGATAAGGTCTCTGGACTCAGGAGCAACTCACACTAATTTTTCCTTTAGCCACAACCATTGCCAACTTGCACTTTTCGCAGAGATAGCCAATGAAAACTTGCATAAAGATTAACACTGAGACTCTGAACCAAAAGAAAAAGTCAAAAAGCAAGTRCAGCCACTGATGAAGGCTTGTGAATGCTCTGGCCTGGGGAAAACTGTAGAAAAAGCCCATGCAGCTGTCATCAGGTGAAACATAGCCCCACAGCAAACTGAGTCTCCCACAGGCAGACGGCCACTTCTGGAGGAGACATTTGTTCCTTTCACTGACAACCTTAGAAACTCAAAGGGCTGGTACCATGATGGTTCCATGAAAGCTACAATCACATGGCTGGTCTTGCAGTTGATGGACACTGTCCTCTGTTTCAGGGAGCATTTCAGAAGGCTGTGATCACGTCACCAGAGCCACTGAAGAGAACTCCAAATTGTTTGGTCCTTCTGGGGACCTGCCCATTAAAGTGCCTTCATAGTGGGCTTCCTAACATCTCTAGGTCATGGTGGCTGCAGTGATGGGATTTTATCAAACTGCAATAAACCTGCCTACGTGCTTTGACTTGGCTTGTAGCGCAACATGCAAAAAAAAAAAAAAAATGCATCAGACGGGATAGGAGAGCTCAGTACATTCTCCAGGATGAAAGGGCAGAGGAAATTTAGCTGCTGCTGGCTGGACCAGGAGCACCTCTGAGCAGACATGGGGGCTCGGCCAAAGATCAAATGACCCTGTTCTCAGCCAAGGAAGGGGCTTGGAGGGAGACTAAGTGGCAGCCCAGAGTAAAGGGGCAGGTGAGACTGACCTGTGATCCAGACTCCCTGTCTGGGGGCTGTCAGAGCCCCCTGGGCTTATGCCTTGGGATGGGACTGTCTGGGCGAGGGAGTGCCCAGGCTCAGGTGCTTGGGGCTCCCTCCTGTAAAAACACAATATATAATACAAAGTCTAAGCCAAAAAAAAATGTCACATCATGTACAACAGTGAGGAAGATGCAAGAGGTTTGAGTGGGAAAATAAAATAACAAATGAGGATATTTTATTTTGTTAATGAGCACAGCATGTATTTGTGATGCATGTTCTAATTTCTGTCCCAATTTTTCATCATCTTTTGGGATGATAAGGTACTTAAGGGAATGTTGAAATAATGGACCTAAAATACCGCTGATATAAAAAAATAAAACAAAAGATGTTTTCCTGTGGTCATTCTCCTGCACTTATGGTCACACATATGGCATTACTATATCTGAAGCAAATGGGATTAGTTGTATATGGAACACATAAAAAATTTGCCAGGTTTATTCTTGAGAGGCTATGTATCAAGATTCCTTTTTATCTTTTTATGATGTTAGGGATCAAACCCAGGTCCTTATACATGCTAAATAAGCACTCTACCACTGAGCTATATCCCCAGCCCAGGAACCCTAATTTCTAAAGAAGTATATAAATGTGTGTGTGTATATATAKAGAGAGAATTCCCATACAAGAAGATATATGAGAATTGTGATCAGCATTACAAACTTGGCTCCATTTAACTAGCATCAGTCATGAAACCACAGCAGAAAATGCTGAAAAATCTGAAGGAATACTTAATATTTCTCCCTAACTATGGTTCTATTATGACATTTTATTCAATATTATAACTGACTTATCTTGTATCAAGATTTCCTGAAAATACTATCAGTAGTATTATAGTTTTTATCTCATGTTGTGGGTGCAAATTTTGCCCAAAATTTTAAAAAATAAATGATTGCTCTAGGAAATACTGTATAAACATTGTTAAACACCAAATGTTCTTTGGGTGCTACACTCATAGCTTTAACATACTATGGAACTTTTTTTTGTCCCCACTAGGGAGTTATTGAAACCTTGTTATAGGAAATATTATTAAACACTAAGTAATATACAGAGGAAGTTCTATAGAACATTTTACAGTTTTATCTGTACTCTTATAAGCAACTGAAAAGCTAAGGAGCTCTTACCAGGTGACCTCATGCAAAACAAATCAAATAACATTCCAAGAAGAGTTTATCCACAATGAGCCCTAAAGCATCCAAGTGCTTTGGGAATGCATAAGATAAACTCTAACAGATTAGTTACTTATGATGGAGTTCTATGATGCCATTCTGGACCATGCAATGGTATCATCTGAAATTGTCTATTGCTTCTAAGGTTAAGGATCCTCCAGTAAACTTGGATAAGTCACTTACAAGACAATATAATTCAGGTAGAAGGTCCAAATTTCAGGGCAATGTTATTATTCCTGGACTGAAAAAGCTAGGGTATACGATGGAAAAAGCTAACATAAGTTTCTGATGAGCAGTTAACAAACACCTGCTATTCAGACTTTTAAAATATTAAGGCATGAAGAAGCAGTAGAGATCCTGGGGATAATAACTACCACTACAGTGAAAAATTAGTGGAAAAACTTGGGTGGCTTTAAAAAGCACAAGTAATTAAAACCAAGTAGCAAGGTGGGTCCAAAAGGTTACTAAAAGTGCATCTCATTCCATAAAGGGAGATAAAGGTTTAAGGAAGCTTTGTTTTGATTGTAATTTCTTAAGTGGAAAAAAACAAAGAAAAAAAGTGCATGGTGTTTACTTCATTATAACAGATTCAAATAAATATATTTCCAACCCCACCTGCACTAAAAAAAAAAAATTGTGGCTATCATTTAAAATGAATAATGTTGCATTTAGTGACAATGATTCAGTTAAAGTGCAAGTTTAGGTAAATGCCCTTTTAAATGTCCTCAGAAGGAAAATTTAAAAGGGAAACTGATTCCATTAGTCTGAGAGAATGCTTAGATTGCAGCCATGAAGACCTCGGAGCGGTGGTTTCAGACCTGAGCACCATCATGCTCTAGTTTGGTGGGAGTTTTCCCCTGATGCTTCCAGGGCTGTGTGAGTATTGGGGAGAGGAAGGGTGACCCTCTGAAATGGCTGGACCCCAGGTGATGAGAAGAAAGGAATGTTATCAAAATTCCCTTCAAAGGGAACCAAGACACCACATGGCAGGTGACTGGAGGGAAAGGCTCACAGTGAGGGCGAGCCCCCCACTAGCAGTGAATATTGGTATGGGCACAGTTGCGGAGATGCCTATGTAAAAGAGAAAAGCCATGGTTAATTTTTAAAGGGCAAAAAGAATTTAAAGACAAAACCAAGACCAGAAGCATGGTTTACTGTTCTTTGATGATCAGCTTAATTAACATTTGACACTAATTGCCCAGGACCTTGCAGTGCCTTTTTCCATTAGAGGTTCAGACTTACTCAGTTGAATTAGATCGAGGTCTAAATCTTTTGCCTCTGATTTTCTTTCTGTTGTCACCCACATTACCTGAAAAAAAAAAAAGGTTTATAGCTAGATTTCCAAATAATAAATGATTGTTCCATCACTCATTATACAGTATTTCAAATGGGTATAATTCAAAATCAGCACCACCCTAGAAGGCAGGGGGCGCTGCACACTCTACAGCCTTCCCAATGTATCCAGTACATTGGTGCTAACAAATCCCGTCATTTCCCATCCATGGAAAACAAAACTAGACTCTCATTCCAAATATGTTTCCTCTCTGTTGGGAGAAGAGCTAAAGAGCTTACAGGAAATAACATATCTTTACATCCAGGGAGCACAGAATACAAAACTTGGGCTGGATCTACAGATGAATTCAGAATGTTACCCTTATACCTTGCCAAGAGTTACTTCGAGGTCGCCCRTTTTCACAGATATCTGAAATATGTTTTGTGTCTGGAATCCTTTCACTCCAAGAATGAGAGAGCCCATTTGACCTGAAATTGAAAATATTTACATATTGTTCAAAAATGTAAGCAAATTAACTTTTTTGAAATTAGTAAGCAAAACTTCTTAGCATTACTGTGCATCAAATAAAATAAATCAAGAAAAAAATCTGAAATGAAAGAATGACGAGAACATGAAAGTCTTCATGAAAAAGGCAGAAATACACAACATTCAATTTAAGAAAAGTCAAATACAATGGAACCCCATTACAATAGTCTATACATGAAAAGTATCAGGACATAATACAAGCCAATTTACCTGCCCCAGAACACAGCAACCACAAATGGCAAATTYGCTGTGTATTTCAGTTACATAACCCCAGCAGCAGCATTTATAATGGGGTCCCACCATAGATGTTTCTTAATTGTAAAGCAATGGATTCCATTCCAATATTATGGGAACATGGACTTCCAAGAGATTACATTAAGATTTGCTTAACTGAACCTAGTTAACCTTTATCAAAGTAATATTTAGTTTTCTGGATTTGGCATTTTTCTCCCCAAATATATTCCAAAGATGTGTAGTACATTTCAGTTAGTTGTTTGATAACTGAACTGAAATCAGATGTTTACCATGGAACTCTTTCTCACAAAGCCCATGTACCATTCAGCCCTTCTGCTAATTGTGTCCTACCATCTTTAAATGAATTAGCTACAAGAAGCAAAATTTATACACCTACCTTGTACCACATAACAAAAGAATTTTGACAAATTACATATACTTAAATGCCTAACAGTTGGATGTATTTTTAACTGGTTAAAAATAGTAACCCACTGAAAAATTTCTAACAATTCAAATGAATATTTCAAGCTCTTTTTTAGGTATTTGATAAAATAGTACTATACTTAAAAATATTTTTCATATTTCACTCTGGTTAGTTGCTAATAATATCTACTTTAAAGGGAGTCTTCTGCTGATGAGTGAAAACATGGAACTCAGCACAACTGGTACACATCAATGCTGTAGGCTGGAACTTTTTCAACATGATTTGCTTCTTAGAGAATGACTCATATTTTGTAAGAAAGGACAACAGAAATCCTTCTGGAACCCACTGATTTCTCTATTTTTTTTCTATATTATATAAAGTTTTGCATTTGACCAAGAAAATACTTATATAATGAGAGAATTCAAGTAAATCTTTGTCATCTTCTTTTCTTAGCCATCAATCCCTCAATAAATTAAAACACTAAAAATTTTAAAACACCCTTCTGCGGGTCAAAATGTAGCATTTCATCTTTTGCATTGAATTCTGATATCTAAGTGAAAACTATCCTTCGCATAGAGTTCCTACATAGAATTCACCAATTCCTTCTATTCACCTTTCTGATCAATGTTGATAAAGACTGAGCACTACTGCAGAAGTTTTACAGATTATTCACTCTCCCTAGAATACCAGAAGAGATCAGATTCCTCTCAATAAACTAGATGTTTCACCCTCACACTGCAAAGCAACAAATGTGCCCGAAGTCAYGAGTCGGGCTACCAAAACGTTTTTCCTTCCCCCTACTTCCATTTCTTTAAAGAAATTCTTCTACAAGAATATTTTAGCTTCCTTCAATGTGGTATGTCTCATTACCTACAACATTCCAACTATTTGTTTCTTCTACACATTTATTTTCAAGCAATTTTAAAGCATGCAGAATTTTAAGTGGTGTCATACACCTTAAGATGCTAGAATAAGAATATATCATCAGAGTTCAAGACAGAAATAATAGATAAATCCCACCTCTATTATTATAAAAATCAGGCAATTATTAAGCATACTTAAATTAATTTGTCAACTAAGGTGTAAGTTATAAAAGTCTGCAAATAATCATTCCAAAAAAAGGCAAAATTATAATATTCAATACATGATTCACAAAGAAGCAATCTTTGTTTCACAGCGAGCTTAGCTTTGATATATATAAAATTAAAAAATAGTCAATGCAGCACTTATATTACCAATTTATGTTAACTGCTTTTATTGAAGCATGACAGTAACCTTTTTCTTTGACTACCAAACATGACATAAAGCTCACCATTTAAAATTATTAAGTACTATGCATAGTTTCTTAAGCTATATAAGAGCAAGACTGAAAGACCCTGAGGTTTCCAAACAGATTTAGAATTATTGTTTATTTTATTTTGTTTTTTGTTTCAATTTTGTGGCCTGATTTATAGGACAAGTGGTTTTGAGCATATGGCATTTTGAAGCAGAGTAATCAAAGAACAAAGGATACTAWTTTTTAACATTCAAGAAAGAAGGAAGAAGTAATCAAACCTGCTGCAAAATAATGAAATGTTCTGACTAATGGAATAATGTGTGATGGAACAGGTAGAAATCTGAAAATGCGACAGAAAAGCAGACCTCTTCTTAGAACTAGATGCTGAGTTTGTGCTGACTCCAGGAGGAATGTCGCTATAAAAAGAGTCGCCATCTCCAGGCTTTTTTACATAATCTCCCTGGGGTAACTGTCTAAGGCATAATAAACATTTCAGAGTCAGAAAACAAGACACACACATGAACACAGACATATACAAATCTTATTTTAGGAAAAAGAGAGGTAGGGATAATGATCTACATGAATCAAATCTATAACAACACRTAAGATTATTAATAAATGTGACAAATTAAAGTCGTTCTAACTGTTGAAGTCAGAAATGCACTCACTGAAGTCTTTATAGGTTGGATGAATAAAGCGTTGCTTTGAGAGGGAAAACATGGGAGGATGAGTTTTGTTGTTTGTTTGTTTTTTYGCTGTAACTTCATTATACTCAGAGATGTTAGCTGAGTATCAATTTTAAAAAATTGATGTTGAAGCACACATRGTAGAACAGTTCTTACCCAGTCAAAGCAATTGGGTTTTGAGGGGTTTTTTTGCACCATGATGAATAAACTATTCATGATTTCTAAACATAACAAAATGAACGTAATCTTAATTTAATTTTAAAAGAACTGATTAATTTCTAAGCTATTTTATAATTGAATCCAGATAAATTCTCATTAGAGTTTAATGTTCCATGTGGAGCTCCATTGTTCATTTAAAATAAAAAAAGGAAAAAAAATTAAAAGAAGATTCAAAGTTGAATCAAAAAGGTAATTTTATAATTGTACACTTGAATATGTGAAGGAAGATCATTTAATAGGAGGAAGAAAGGGTTGAACAGTTAACTGAATTTCTGTGGAGACTATGGAAGGACATCTGTAGGACAGTGGGTGGCAATCCTCCATCTCCACTGTGGTAGGAGAACAAGAACAGCTGTTTAATCTGCACAGGTATTAACCCCATTCATCTCTCTTTGAACAAACTAAAATTGGTACAKATTTTTATTACCTCTTCTAAGTGAACCAGATAGAAACTTTATATAGCCCCACCACCCCCACAGTCAACCCTCTCACAGTGCCAATCCCATCACCTGCCAGTGTGTGTCGCCCAAATAGACCACTTGCACCCAAACCTGACTCAGTTCATCCAGCGCTATCACTGAAGGTGGCACAAACTAGCACTGGACTAAGAATTTTAAACAGAGCTACACTTAAATAAACAAATCTCCAACAATAGCATAAATTTGCTAATTCCTTTTTCATGTTTGGTTTCTCCTTAGTTACTACGATAAGCTTGGTTACTTACTGATGCTAAATATCAACCCCCAAATGCCACTTTCAGATGTCTGCTTGTCTATATTGATTCCCAAATTGTTGTAAATATACAAAATATTTCACCATTTGTTTTCTGATGACTGTACATCCCATGTCATATTATGTCAATGCTATGTGAACACATCTCTACAAATCTCAAAAAGTTTTCAATGGAAATAAAAAGTATGTACTTTAACTTGTATGGTTTAAGCTACTTCTCTATATTTTAATTTAAAAAAGGAATTCTCAMTAACTAGTTTATAATATYGATTCTACCCATAATTTTTTCATACAGTTTCCTCCAAAATATRTTTTTTTAATTCTATAAGTGACTTCAGCTCATGACAGTTACCTTTTCTTTTTCCTGGTTATTATGAAAAAATAATTTTATAGGGAAAATATATAAGCCTTGATACTTACAGTGTTCATAGTAACAACAAACAATATATTTTCCTTTGTAAGAGATCTTTGATCTCTATTCATATTTTCTGTTTTATCCCACATTAGGAACATACTCCTTCAATACTTGAAAAACAAAATGCCCTTAATAAAATCAGAGTTCCATATTTTGTCTCAAGGAAGAAACTTCCCTATTGTATTATATAAGTATGTTAAAAAGATTACTACWGAATGTCAGCATCATATGTCCAATAACAATATTGATGGCCAATATAGTCCTTCTGTCCCTATTACCTTTAATGATGATCCTAGGAAGGCAATGAGATGTGCCTCAACAAATTCAAATTAAACAAAAACAAGCTATTATATAAGAGCTCAGAACCACACCGAACCTTTCTTTTTACTTTCTTTCCCCARATGACCTTTTCTTCACAGATTTTTGGCTTTCAGGTATTTACCCTGGCATTCTGATACTGCATGTGCAGATGGACTACCTCCCACATTGGAACCTAGTTCTGTTTTGTCTTAGACTGAGAATGTTTTACCACCTCTTCAAGGTAACCTCTCTGTGGTCACGGTCACTTTTTACACAGTGCACAAACATCCTAAATGGTAAACATAAAAGCTATGGRCTTCAGTCAAGGAACTGAAAGGGAGTTTCAATTTAATGTACTTCTGGGGCACCACCTCCTTTAACAATCCAGCAAGATTTGATTCTTATCTATGTTCCCTATAAAGTCTCCAACATACAGAAACTAATTTTCCACATTCTCCTGAAAATTCCACAAGGAATGGATGCAACTTGTTTTCATACTTTTTTTCTGTGGTAGGTTTTGAATTTTTTTTAAAAAAAAACTCTTAAGAATAATATTTAATATTCTTCACTGTCCATAAATTTATCTTTTAAAAATATTCATTATGCATTTTTAAAAAACTATTTCTTCTTGTTTTAGAGGAAGTAGAGAATATTAGGTCCCCAGGGTCAATAAAATAATCTTGCATCACTTGTTATGAAACATCATAAAAAATCAATTAAATAATGCCCTTAAAAATTTTAAACTGAACTTTTCCCCCTAATTCTTTATTAATAATTTTTGCAGATTTCTTCCTACATTTTGAGTGTTTTTCATGTTCCCTCAAATCTGAATTTGAAAGTGATTACCTTGGTYGATGGCCTGGCTAGTGGTTTTATAACAGGAAAAATCACCTCATATTTCTCATATTATATGCAAACATTTTAGACATGTACTTGATTTTTTGGTAAATAATAACCAAAATGAATGCTATGTAATTAAGTTCTTTTTCCTCAAAGGTCATCCCTTCCTACAYTAATTACAGATTGTCTTTTTTTCCTCTCTACACATTTTCATACCAATTTGTGCTTTGAATTGATGCATCTCATTCGATAACATTCTTTGAAGGTAATCCTATTCTCTAACACAAGGAACAATCCCTATAACTTAATGACTTTGGAGGAGCTGATTCATACAAACTGTTAATTATTATTTATTTCTAGGACTACAGTATTCATTGTTATTGTTTTCTTGTTCTTATTCTATTTTAGAAGATAACATGTTTATATTCATAAATCATCTAGCTATGTGAKCACTATAAATTTAAACATTCAAAGAGACTTCTGGGATCACCMYGAAAGTCTTTAAGCAAATTGTTGATCCTGTTATAAGAGAAGTCTGATCTTTCCTAAAAGCATCCATTGATCTTTAATATTAATTTTGACAATACTTATGCTTACTGAACATGAAAGAAAAAAATTTAAATAAGTCTCAATCTTTCTCTTATTGAAATTGTTAATTTACTATTTTAAGAAGTATTGTTCAAGGTATACCAATATTTTCTAAAATAGTATATTAACAGATGTATAAATATCACTGAAATAATATTAAAAGAAACCAAGAAAGGTTTGGAAAAAAAGATAGGAAGTCCACAAGCAGAAAACAAAGTGCCTAAAACATGAGAGAGAAAAAGAAAAAGAAATAAAAAAAAGAAAGAAATGGGGGTGGAAAAGAGTAGACTGCTTAAGATAAAACCACAGATCAGAAAGATGATTTGTTATATTCTATTTTTCATTAATCATAGTAATGTATGTTAATTTCAGAAAAGAAAAGGATTTCAGCTGAATAGGGATGTTTTATAAATCTAAGTTCACTTATTATTTCTTACTCTATTTGCAAACAGGCCTGAAAACTAAAACCTACTTATAATTCTTGTCACAACTGCTAAATCCTAAAGCTATTATACTATGATACAAATAATGACATCAAGTGAAAAGTGTAGAGTGTTTTTTTTTCCCCCTGGAAATTTAAAGAAAAAGGATAAAGGAGCTTCTGCATGGCTCCTTGGTTCCATGGATATATGCTTCATAAGGTGACACTGACAGGTTTCAACTGATTGTACATGTGTGGGGTTCTGCCTCCACTGGTCCCAGAACAGGGCTTCTATTTTTTTAAGTAAGCAATTTGTGAACAAAAAGAAAGAAAATAGGCTTGCTTCTCATCTTTTTTGTCAACTTGCAAGTWAACAGATAACACAATCCTTAATATACTTAAAACCTTGAGGACACATTCTCAGGAGGGAAAATTATCAGGTTGTCACATTCAATTACAGAATTACTTGCCTGTCTCCTCAAATGAATTGAAAGTTATGTATCATTTGACTTTTTTAAATAAGAAAATGTTGAGACACTCCATACTTATTAGATCTTGATTTTGGTGTCAAAGCAAACCTTCATGTTCACCAACTCCTTTACCAGCTCAGCTGGTAGGGGTGGGCCTCATTCAGATTGAGGACAGCTACATTCCTCTTTGAGAACAACATCCACCTCTTTTATTTGAAGATCAGAGAAACACAAAGTCTTTAGAAACCACATACAAATAACTTCTCTTTACCATAATGCTTTAAAGATTACAAAGAACTCTTTTTGAGTATAGAGTTGTGGAAACTTGTGATTTCTCAATATCTCATACTAGATTCCTAATTCCTTGTCAACTGCTCCTCCCATCACAGGAAAAACTTAATTTACGACAATGACAACCCAAAATTCTTAATTCTACTTCTTGTCATCCTTTGGAACTCACAGATATTTATTTGAATGACTACAAATAATTGTACAAGACTAAAAATTTCCTAATGCATGCTTTGTTCTGTTGGCCTGACCCCTTCTCCATTATTACATGTATTGTCAGGGATAGAAGTGTAGCACCATAGTTCAGCACTTGCCCAGCATGTATGAGGCCCTGAGTTCAATTCCTGGCACTTGAAAAACAAACAAATGAAACAAAACAAAACAAAAACAACCTAACATATCTTCAGAAAGAAAAATCCTTCAAAAGATACCTATATATTCAYAACTTCCTGATTTAAGTCCATTCACTGTTAATCTCCATTTTGAGAATTATTGTACAAGTCTAACATTCATTAGCTATGGACAAGGATGAAAAAAAAAAAAGCTTTAGGTGAAATATATCAAATATATAAAACAAATACCCACTGTAGTTGTGACAACTCTCAAAACGTACTAGATTCCAAAGGAGTAGTCATTTGAAAATATTCCAAAAGAATAGTCATCAATGAAATGACGACGTAGTAACACTAGAAGATGTGAAAACTTATTAGTCAAATACAGGAGATTCATAGTGTGAAAATGCTTTAAACTGTATCCAYGCATATGTTGAGTTAGAATTAAAAAATTGGTGCATAGTTTTAAACAAAGCATTTTTGTAAAGTGTGGGCAATTTCCTTATTCTGGATAGCATTCTTAGGGACAACAAAACTTAAGGGTACTCTTTTGGCTTTGCTTATGTTATATAATTGAGTCATTTTGCTTTCTTTTTTATATATCCAGCAGTATTAAATTACATTATTGCTTTAGTTCCTCTGGAAATGGAGCTCAAACATAAATTCTCTGTCATATCAACCAAAGTCTGTCTTCCACWGAAGAAAGCTACCAACCTTAGATTTCTGATATGACTAAATCAATTTCAACCCAATTAAAAACCTAAATGGCTCTTTCTCAAGTGCGTATGAACACGAGAGTTCAAAATAGGGGACTAGGGCTGAAGCTCAGTGTCAGAGCATTTGCCTAGCACATGTGAGGCATTGGGTTTGATCCTTAGCACCACATAAAAATAAATAAATAAATAAATAAATAAATAAATAGTATTGTGTCCATCTACAACCAAAAATATTTTTTAAAGAGTTTAAAACAAGTCACAAAGAAATCTACTTGTTTCCAAAATTTAGTCAATTTTGTCTCAGTTTCACATTTTTTATTAATGATGTGTTAGTTACTCCAGGGCAAGGTCAATATTTCCTAAACCTATGCTAACTGGTACCTTGTGGATATCTTAGAATTACAGATAGTCTACAGATATTTATGGCTAAAGTCTTCAGCGGTTTTAGATTTAAACAGAAACATACAGAAAAATAAAGTTTAATTTTTCAATTTGTGAAAAAAAATGAAAGTTGTGGTTAGAGCCTGGAAAAGTATCACCRCATTTATTACATCTTATTCTTAACCTGCCTCAGGCAAGTAATAGAACTATGGAAAAAGATAAGTAGGTAGCAATTTGCACAAATACCCTGAATGCAGAACTAAATACTGTATGATACACAAGACCTGGTCTGAGTTATTAATTTCCAGGACATTTTAATTTTTCTATCCATAGTTAATAGTATTAGTAACTTTTTAAATGTGAAAAGTGAATGGTATGCCCCAGCACTATGTGGCAATTTATATAAAATTAACAATTCTTACAGAACAACAAAATTTCCTTGTATGTCTTTTTATATGGTTGCCAAAGATGGATTATAAAGTTATGTTGAATAATTTTCTCTGTGGGAATTTTTATTTAATAAAAAAAGTATAGGAGACAATCAGAGATTCCAACTATGCAAATTCCTTCTTTAACTACCTATGTGATCACCTAATCAGAGTAAATTGTTTTTTTCTCATGCACAAATAACATTTTCACCAAGTGCCAGAACATTCCCCTGGTAGCTACAGTGTAGCCAAATAAATGATCACTTATGAATGAAAGTTATTAATATAACAACAGTAACAAAGAAAAATAAATTTCCTCAGATAGTATTAGGCAATAAGAGTGTCATAAACATAAAGAAAAGCCAATAAACTAATGTAAACAAACATGACAACTTAACATGAAGGAAGTTTGTTTTTGATGGAAAAATTCAATTTCTGTACATATATAATAATAAAAATAACACAATTAAAACTATTTCAATATCATGAAAAATCAAGATCAATGTARAATAAAAATAAAGTGAATTTGATTTATAATTGCATGTATGAATTCCAGTGAYATGAATCAGGGGTTAAACCTTTCAGTTACATGTTCAGATTAATCTAATCACATACCTCTGTTCTCGATAGTTTCTTTTCATGAACAAGAAGAGAAAGGGGAAAAACACAAGAATTAGTTACCTATGGAAGCACATTAACAGAGCACTCATCATAAAAGCTCTGGCATTAATTGAAAGGACTTTGCTAGAAGATTCTAAATTGCAGAGTTAAAACGGGGAATACACAAAAAAATTCCACTTTATCATTAGGAAAGGTCACACCAAAAGACTGGTGACATTTTTGTCAGATAATTTGTCATTTTTAAACAAATAAATGATCTTTAAAGAGTAACTTTCTACAACATCAATTGWACTACACTGAGCATTAGTAATATTCCAATGATTAGTAAAATTCTAATCTTATTTTAAATACAGGTTTTCAGACACATRTGTTGATTTAAATAATAAAGTTGATGAATCCAGTTACTTGCAAAAATTAATTATATTTTCATAGAAATAATAATCATAATGTATTTCTGTTAGAATACAAACCCCCAACTATAGCTGTTACTAAGAATTTCAAATCAGAAAACATAAATACACACCAGAACATTTGATTTCATCATGTGTGACAAATGAGTGAGTTAATTCACAGCTGTTATGGATGACCTTTGTAGTTATTACTACTTATTCACTCAAGTATCACATTGGAAATACCTGCTCCATGTTTAGTCTCTTTTTTATTTGACCAAATACTAAAATAAACTTATGTTTATTTGCCATATGATAAAATAAACTGATCTTAAAAAATTGTTCTGAAGGGTGTAACAGGGCAATACCAGTGAGTTTCAAGAGCTGTTGACTTTCTCTCTTGACATAATTAGAATATATGGAAGACTGAGTTATTTGGGACTCCTTCCTCTAAGATCAAGGACAATGTCTAAACGTGAATATCCTTCCTGGCACCTCCACCTGTGGATCCATTCCACCCACATTATCAGGATCATAACAGGCACAAGAGGGTAAAAGTGCCCATTTGTTATTAGTTTCAATTTTGAAGACTTTTGGATGGGGGGAATATAAGCCTGGTATCTTTCCATTCAGCATGTTTTGCTTTTTATTCCCTCAAGCTGATTACTTGAGCCATACAGTTCTAGATGAGGATTTCTCATTTCCTATTCCGGCTATTCCCCACCCAGGGCTTCACGAAAGAGTGGAAAGTTTAACAAGCAGACCTAAGAAATGAAAAAAATGAGTTCCCAGACCCTAAATCTGCTTTTGATTTTCAAAGAGAATAYATGAAATATCACTTATTAGTTCAATTCCTCTATTAAAATTTCTAAATTCTCATTCTATTTCTAAATGTATTCAAATAAATTTAGAAACATTAAAGTGTTAATCATTTAGGTTCAAATTACTAATGAGGAGAATACTGTAATATGAACAATATTTATCTTTTTCCTTAATCAACCTGAAAAATGTATGTATTCAGAAGTGTATTTTAAAGAGTAAAATCCCAAATGAAACAAATAGAAAGCAGGTTATTTCAATAAACAGACACAGGTAATTTTATAAGCAAAAGGAAAGTGTTAAAAGTTTCATGTTTTCTGAACAGGAAGTTCTACCAAGATTGGAAAAATGAAATATCCACATGCATCAGTAGGTGGCAGAAAATCACACCCTCCAGAGCTATCAATTATCCTTTCTATTTTCGTGTGACCAAATGAAACCACTGAGCTGCTTCAAGACAGCAATGCTTGTGATGGCAATTACTTCGMAAGTCCTGCATCAGGGAGGTAGAGGAAACAGTGTGACCTAAGGTGTAGCTTACACACCTGCAATTATAAGGGGACGTCATATGATGAAAAGCTTTCTTTTCAGACATATGCTTTTAAAACTTAAAATGTTTTGCTGAAGTCAGAGTGTGCAAATGTAAATGTGCAATATACCAAATGACCTGCACATAAAAAAGGCTCATAAGCATCTGCTATGAACTGGTATGGAGATAAGTGATGCAGATTTAATCAGGGCAGAGCTTACTCCTCTGCTGTGTGCTCCTTCACTATGTCMTCCCTGCTACACTCCGCTACACTCTAGTATGTTGTCTGGGCAACTTGTTAATACAGTCTTCTGTGAGAGTCTGTCTRTCTTTAATGCCTGCTGCATACAACATTTATCCTGGCCGTAAAGTCACTGTGCTCCCTTTTCAAAGATACTCTTTGAAGGTTTAGAGCTTACARGCAATTGCCATATAGTCTTTCAAATGTGTCTCCTTTAATTTGATTACACATCTCCATGTTAAGTGATAATAATTATAGCAATTACATAATGCTTTCTGTGGGCAAGGTATTGAAAGTTTGATACATATCAACCCACAGAACAAAGATGAACCTATTAAAAAATATGGCATAACTTTAAAATTCCAAATATTCTAATTTCCATTTTTTTTGACCCAAGTTCAATTAATGCTGAAAAATATGCTGTGAAATGAGATAATGCCAGGCAGGAATGCCGAGCCAAAGTGCTAGGGCTTCCAAATGGAGAAAAACCCAAGGCTGGTGGACAGGAACATTGTCATTAGAGATGGACAGAATATGACTAAGTTTAAATACTAAAGAGAATTAAAGGTTGACCATATTTAAGTTTTAACTTACTAAACTTAAATTTTTAGTTTTTGTAGACTAAAGAAATTTTTCACATCCTAAGTATTTAAAGAGGAAACTGAACACATTAAATATATAAATAAATGCTTAAAGGCATTTACTTAAGAAAATGTTTAAGAGTATCAAATATTCAAAAGCAGTATGACTTTTAACTTTTTAAAATTTACGTATAGAATCAAAAAGTTGTAAGTTAAACTATAAAACTTAAGGAAGAATTAGGCTTTTGATTTTTTTAACATGGAGTTTTCATTTTAACAAATCAAATATCATGACAGTCTTTTCTTCACATAAACACTCAYGTACATCACAAAAAGTTGTGCCTCTTTCATAATGGCCCTGAGGACAAGGGGTATCACCTTAATGAGATGAATGGCTCATTAAGAGATCTGCTGCTTCTATTCTTTGATAACTGTTATTATTGTGCTTCTCTCTAAYTGACTGTCTTGCCTAGATTTTGAGTATGGTTTAAGTAAAGGAAACCCTGTCATTAAAAACAAAGAAACCTAGCCTTTGTATTAGACACAATTTAAGTTGATTTTAACTCAGTTCAGTGATTTTGGAAAAAAAAATATTCAGTACTTTCAGAACAGAAGGGAATTGTCTCAAAATCTAAAAACTGCTAAAATTATTATTACCTCTAACTATGCCAAAGGTTATCATTGATTGTTGAGCCAGACTGTTTTTTCAATGCAAGCGTATTTATCCAATAAGATAAAACTTTCTAGATGTTTTCATTTAATCAATGTGTTTCAAAGTATGTCTTATAGTACTAATACTGAGTCATTTCACTTACTTATAACCCCAGGCAGTTATTCCTAATATGAGGGCCAGCATTAAAATGGTGCCGGCAATTATGCCTATTATGATATTGATGCCAGCAACACCTGGATGGAAAAAAAAGAAAAGAACATCAGTGAGATAAAATTCCTTCAGAACTTCATTCTTCAGATTTGTAATCATCACATTAAGAACACTATTTGTTTAAAACAAAAAGTAAGATTTTTCAAAGGAAAGAAAAATCAACCATAAGTCAGCAAGCCATATCAATCCTTTTAAAACGAATTTACGCTCCTTTTTAATTCTTGCCCAAGTGCATTTTGCACAGTTGTACTTCCCATGTATTTTTCTGGGAAACCTTATGTCATTAAACTAAAAGATGGAAGAAGAATGATACTAACAAAGTACCCTTTAGGAAGGAATTTTAAGAAATCTGTTCTGTAGGGAGCCATCCATGTGCTATATGTGGGCTACCGTGCATCGAAGCCCATTGAATAGGAATAGCTGATGTCTGGGAACTTCTAGTGGTCATTTCCTCTGTGTAAGACTGCCCAGARACACTGTGAATTCCTATTCCGCTCTGCCATGTCCCACACAACACCTGAGATGGGTGTGACCAGCTAAGATGCCAATCAACCTGCTGACTGCAAGACATCACAAAGCAAGATTCCACCCTTGAAACTTTATCCCTGCCTTTGATGTACCCCCTTAATAAACCACTGGAGCCATTTTGCCTTGTCTAGTTCCAGCTCCCATGTGGACTAAACCTATCAGGGCTCTGCTTTTGAAAATGTGTTTCTGACTCTTTGTCTTTTGTTCTTCACWAATTATTCCACACTTTAATTTCTCAGGTGACTTACACCCTCCTCAGCAGGAAGAAGAACCCCCCCAACGAGAAGCTGTCATCCCCTATAGTGTTCCTTTTGACCCTTATTTCTTTCTCTGAAATTCTAGAAGTKTTATTACTTAAATTACTCCATTTTGACAATTAATGCAAGACCCTTGCTGCTCTAAATTACGTGTGTGATATTTTGTCTCTCAAAGTGAATATAAGCTTCTTAAGGGAGAAAATACATCTACAGGTTTCTATGATCAGTACTCAGGGGTGCAGATGATAGAAGCACTGGTTTATCACTCCCAGTTGGACAACAATGGCTGTGTCATCCTAGGGGAGAAAACCCCAAAGGGAAAAATGGTCTAGTGAGGGGATGTTGGTGTCATTGTGGCACAAGAGGGAGGTGGCACCAGGAGGGCAAAGGGAAGGGGGAGCAGAATACAGGGCAGACAAAACTCAGGACTGAGCGATGGCATTGTCAGCACCCATCAACAGGCAGGTTGAGATGTGATCCCTAAGGGATCCTGGCAGTGAATCCAACCCATAGTCAGTAAGTCCATGTAAAGGACTAAAGGCAGGGAAGGCCCATCCAAGGCCTGGATCCCACACTGCTGATTATGATTTATACCACATTTAATTGTATGCAGGGCTTTCATCCACAGCAGCTTAGACCTTTCCTTGTCTGTTCCTGAGACATCCTTCTAGACAGCAAAGGTTAATGATCAAGGGTAACTGGAGACTGCAATTTCCCATGGCAGAAAATAGCGGTCTCCCAGTCTGGGAGCCCTCAGGAGTCATGCAGGAGAGCAATGCTAGGGCATCAGAGGAGAGTGGACAGCTCCTCTGTAAGAGGGGTGGATGCAGATGCCAGTGCATCTTCCGGGTCACTGGGATTTTCTTATTCCAAGACCTCAATTGTCTGTCCTCACTTCCTTTTCATAAAAGGGTTTTAATAGGGACAAATAAACTTAGATGCTAGTCTTGATTATTTCTAAGTAATGGTATGTCTTTTGGTAAGTCACTTAAACCCATGTGCTTATAAATATCCTCACCTCTGCATTAAGTATGGAAACAAGTTCCACACTACCACTTACTGCTGCTAAGTCTGAGGATCCTAAAATCTTAATCATTCTGTGACTTTCTTTATTAAAGTCACACTAGCTAACATTTCCAATCTGTCTAGATGACTAGAAGTAATATATTTCTTAAGTTTCTCATCCTTTGGAGGCAAATGGACTTCAGGATTTGAGCATTATTTTATGCAAAAGAATATGCAATAAAATGGTTTAAAAGAAGACATTTACCTTTAAGGTATGAGTTACTACAACTATCTGCACTTAATTTCCACTTCTCCACCCAAGCAACCCCAGCTTTAAGAAATGTGCCTCCCTGTTGTTTCTGACCCAAAAACCGCTTTCAGGAAACTTGGCCAACGTATACTTCTAGTTCAGGTTGAAGAAGTGTAGTTAAAGGTTGGTGAGATTTTATAACAAAGAATATTAAAAATAAAATTTTAAAAATCRATTCTTAATTTTTCTTTTTCTTATTTATAAAGTGTGTACATATAAAATTCTCCCTTTACCAGGCACAGTGGTACACACCTGTAATCCCAATGACCTGGCAGTCTGAGGCAGGAGGATCACAAGTTCGAGAACATCCTAAGCAACTTAGAAGGGCCCTGAATAACTTAGCCTAGACCCTGTCTCTAAATAAATAAATAAATAAATAAATAAATAAATAAATAAATAGGCTGATGATGTGACTCAGTGGTTAGGTGCCTCTGGGTTTAATCCCTGGTACCAAAATAGATAAAAATCAAATAAAATTCTCCCCTTAAACTATAAGTATTTTCTTCATTTAAAAGAAATACTAGGTTTTGTTGACAGCCTCAGTTAAGTGGAATACTTGAAAAATTTCTCTGAAGTAGGACATGTTAAGGCTGTCATTAAACAAGGTAATACTCAACATGTAAATAATTATAATTTGATAAAAATGATTAGTTTCATAAGGTGGACCCCACTTGTATAGTATAATTCATTATTATGTATATATAATTTATTTTGAGTTATCATAAAATAACTTAAATAGGGCTGGGGTTGTAGCTCAGTGGTAGTGCGCTTGCCTCAGCACCACATAAAAATGAACAAATAAAAATAAAGTTTAAAAAAGAAAAATAACTTAGATAAAAATGACCAAAGGGAAGTTCTCTATTTACTTGTGCAAAAAGATGACATAATGACACCAAATTAAATATCTACCGTTGCTAGTCTTTGGACCTTCATTGTGAAGTAACAAAGTGCTGCAGTCTGCACCTGTCCAGAGCGTATCACAGACACACTTCAGGTCGTTACTGCACACCTGAAATCCAAAATCAAGCTAGAGTAAGTATCAACTCTCTGGTACAAAGGCATGAAAAATAAACTCTAATTAACTTCTGATAATAATATGCTGAGAATATGATGACACTGAAAAATTATTAATACTTTTTTTCCTACTAATAATTATTTTATTTCTCACTTAGACTAACAGCTGGCCCAAAGGGCATAATAAATGTCAACAGAAGACTTAATTTTACGTCTAAAAAAAGTCAATGAAATTCCTATTTTGACTTTTATTAACTTGTTACGAGAGAAATTTTAAAACTAAGCAAAAATACAACTATTTGTTATTTATCCAATATGAAGTCTTGCTTTTCTTCCATAAAAGGTTCTTTATGCCAAAATTTTATTATTAACTTTTTAGGAAGCAGAATGAGATAAAGAAAAGACCACAAAGAAGCAGGAAGTCCTGGTATTTATTTTGCAGTGGTCTGAGAATAAAGCTTCACAAGGTTATAACCCTGTCAGCTCAACCCAAATTATAGAAGGCAGCTGCCACAGGGCCATGGGAACTAAGAACTCTCACAAACAAAGTAGAAAGATTCACATAAAAATGACAGCAACCACTAAATCATAGGAAAATAATCTCTTCATTTATCCATCTCAGAAAGAGAATCTACACTTAGATTCTATTATTCAAATCAACTGGATGTATTGAGAAGAAGGAAAGAACTAAGTAGGTTTAACTGAGAGGCAGGTTTCACTGCACATTTCTGCCTTATCCAATCTAATGTTGCAGAAGACAACATACATCCACATCTACGTGTGACTAAGATTAACAATTATGCAGGAATAAAAAAAATTTAGGCTTAAAGTCAAAAGGCCTGGACCCGAGTCCCCGTTTCACTACTGCTGCTTTACCAAGGGTCCTTAACCAGGTCACCTGGATCTCTGAGCATCAGTTTCCATATCATATGACAGTACCAGTGATACAGTGACAAGAACAGACAGCGATACCAGTGTACAGTGATTATAATAAATGGCACAGCTGACACCCATTGAGTACTCACCATGTCCTGGGTATTGTTTTAAGTTCCTTACAAGTATTAATTCACTGTTCTTCACAACAATCCTATACAGTAGGAACCATTATCATTCCCATTTTATAGAGGAAGAAATCGAGCCACAGAGAAGCTGTATCGTTTACCCAATGTCACCCAGCTAGTAAGAAGCAGAGCTGGGATTCTAAACCATCTGATTGCAAGCCCACATACACAATTACAAGATATACAGTACATAAAAATATTGACTATACTCCATTTTAATTTTTGTCATAGAGAGTGGAATTACTCTAAGTTATCTGGGATATATCACTTCTGTATTATGCATAATTGTTCTAAATTATGTGGATGTTATTTACCRTCTGATTTATTTGTGTCTATCACTCTTTTACTAAAATTCATTAAACCAGTAGTTAATAGAACTGTTTGGTCTCTGCATTTTGTATCCCAAATTTTAAGATAAAGAAGATATGAAAATTTATTTTGCATAATCAAAAATAATTCCATTATTTTTCCATTGTCCCCTCCAAAAAGTATTTTTCTCTAAAATCCTGTTCATAATTAAGGAAAGATGATTTAACAGATCCCCTTATAGCAGCAGAACTACTTACTATGTGTCTTCCCTTTCTAATGTGCCAAAGGAATTCCTATCCTTTGTCAAAGAGTGATGATTACATTACTTCCCTAAGAAAATTCTTGGCATCTCTCTCAGGGATATTACATGTAATGACCAAGACTGAAGACTTAAAATTACAAAACATAATCTTTCCCTCACCTGGATAATACAATCAGTCCAAGCAAAGAACTGAGCAAAAGAATAAAAAGAAAATCATATCACATGCTAAAAGACAAAGAACCAAAATTTTTGTTAGCATGGAAATTCCAAGCTGAAAAATGACAAACTTTGGCACTAATAGAAGGCAAATACTTAACCTATAAACTTATTTACATAGGAACTATATTATCTGATACATAACTGAAAGAACAGAATAAAGTCTTCCAAACACCATTCTTGCTCTTCATCTATGAGAAACGTTTCCCTATTATTTTATAGTTCCTCAGTTGGTACTAACAGTGGTAGCCACAGCAGTTATTTATGGTCTGTTCTGATAGGTCAGTGCCCAAATCACACCAGTACTTAAATATTGTRGCCACAGTCCCTCCTTTTTATTCTCCTTTTTTTWAAAAAAAAATCCTATTCCAGTTTGTTAAAATTTATTTCCTAGTTCACTTGCACAAAAAAAAATGGCATTATACTATATGAAATCACATTAACATGAGAAAGAAGATATAAGAACTTGGTTAGGAAGTTTATCCTCTTTCTTATTCCCAAACTCTCTCAGAGTACACAATAAAAATTATTCAAATGCCTATGATCAAATGCGTGTTCATATACCAACTACAAACATGGATAATCATGTTTCCATAATTTTGGAAAAAGCATTTTATGATCATGTCTGTTTCTGTGATCTAAAAGAAATGAATAGTTCCCTATGGCAAAGATCCCGAATACTTACTCCATTTCCTGAACAAACAGTGCCTTCTTTACCACTTAAGCAAGTACTAAAGTTGAAGGAAGCCACAGGAAGACACCTGTGTTCCAAGCACATCATTTGAGGACCACAGGGTGTCCCATCCTCCACATAGCCAAGGTCTACATCTTCTTCAAGCTTAACATGCCCACCACTAAAAATAAATGGGGAGCAAAAAGAAAATGGGGTTCTATTAATTCWCATTCATCTTGACAATATACTCAAAAACTGGTGATATTGCTTCTTTTATTTTCTACTTTTTTAAAATTGAGTGATATCATTTCTTCTATTTTCTACTTATTTAATAAAAGCAAGTAGCATGTCAACATCTAAAGGGAGAAAACAATTGAATCTTTTAATTTTTCACATACATTTACATAGCTTAGGATTTAAACATACCAGCCTGAATTGAAACAGTTTTACTATTTTGCCTTGGTTATTATGTAAAACCAATAAGTTCATTATTACTAGATTTGAAATAATAAATAGGTTTCATGATATAGTAATGCCAAGAATAAACCATTTCTTTGCCTGTGCTACTTTTGATTTTTCCTTAGATGGATRTTTTTCATTTGTTTGATGTTTCTTTGCCTACTTTTCTAAGAATTTACCACCAATTAATTCAAAACTAATCCAATGTCTCTCGGCCAAAGTCTCTACAGAAGATGGATCTGACCTTTTCTGTGGAAATCTCCCCTTGAGTTTCTGACCTGCTCCTATCTGTTCTGATTGTCCCCATGTACCTGGCATAGAGCTATAAATCCAGGATTCCCCAAACTATCAATTTGAGGATCTCCATATCTCTCTCTCCCTCCCTCCAACCCCCATCTCCCCGTTTCCTATACCTACTACCTTACTCCTGTGTTTTGGTGGAGCACCATTTCCACTAGCTTTCTGAGAAAGAGTATTGAATGGTACACTTTGGAAAAATTTCCAAATCTAAAAACGTCTTCATTTTCTACTCTCACACCAGATTTGACATTTTGTTATCAAATTCCAATTTGCAAATAATTTGCTCCGTCGTCTTCTGACTCTCAGGGTTCCTGTTGATAAAACTCTTAAGCCATTTTAAGTCGTAAGCCTTCAAGATTTCCTCCTTTGTGGAAACTTCTGGTATTCTTTGCTTTATTCCAAGGTTCTAAAATTTCATAAGGATATGTTTAGATGTGCCTCTAATTACACCCACTGTACCTGATACCCAGTGAGGCTGTTAAAATGGAAATTTAAGTCCTTCAGTTCTAGAGTTACACATTGACAATTTCCTCCCTTCTGTGATCTTTATTATTTCTATTTTAATTTTATGGGTTTTCCTCTATGCTCTCTTTTTTGCCTTTTTTGAATACTATTAGGGAGATAATATCAATTACTGAGTTTCACTTCCACCATTTTTATATTTTAATTTCCARCAGCATTTTTTCTTCTCTGAATATTTCCCCATGTTTTTTTTAAAAGGTAATACCCTATTTCCTTGTTTAATCATAGAAATCTTGTTTCTTTCATAAATATTAAGAAGTAATTTTCTTTTTCCCCCAATTTTTACATGTTGATAACTTTCTTCCTATGTCTCATAGTCTGCTCATGTCTGAATTGGGGAACCAAATAGATTATTGGAAATTTAGGGCATTCTGACTGAGCATCACTGAGATTAGACCACTTCCACACAACCTTGATATCAATATTCCCAGTTAGAAACCTTGTCTCTTATTCTCTGTAAGTACAAAGCCCAAATCAACTCTTAGCTGAGTTGAAGAAATAATCAGTATATCTATTTCACATACATTCATTCATCTATCTTATTTCACCCCTTTCTTCCAAATTCCTTTTCTCCCTCTTCCAAAGGTGGATGTTACTACCAATTTCTAAGTCTTCTGGGAAGTGACACTATATCTTTGATTGGGTCTCAATTTTCTCCATTATTGAGAAACTCATTTTTCTTAGCTCCTGGAAGTTGTCTGCCATACAGTTATTTGCTTTACTTGTTCCAAAATTGCATTGTTGCCTTCTTTTTCTCTGCCTTCTAGTGGACATTAAGCTCTTAAAAAAAAAAAAAAAAAACAAAGACCCACATAGAGTCCTTTTAGCAGAAATTCAGAAGGGAGCAAAAGCATTTGGATATATTTAACAAGCTGATTTTACCCAGAAGTCATGATTCACTTTCCTTCATAGAAAGAAATGCAAGCTAAACCCTGCTTTATTTTACTGACCAACTAAACACATTCCTAGCAACCACATAATATTCTACATTCAACTAATTCTTATCTTCCCTTTATCTCTTTTCTGTTTGAATTTACTCAATCACCTTCATGGATTAGACTCTATTCGGCTTTACTAACAGGCATGTGTACTGAAAACATACACCTAAGCTGCATTCCTAGGAGGTAAGATGACTAATGTTCTCACGGAGTGGTTAGTTACCTGCAGTTTAATGTTCTTCCCTGTTGCACAACCAAAGTGGATGTGATTTCACCATCGAGTTCTCCAAGCCTTGGGATATTGCCAATGTTGGTACACAAAAGGTAACCACAAAGYACATCCCTGTGTTGAGAGAGTACCAATTATTTACTTTACTTCTTTCCCCAAAGATATAACAAACCTTGCACAGTTGGAATGATAATCTTGTCTTATTTTAGGATTTGTTTTCCATCAACAATATTGCTTACTCATATGCCAAGCAAAATAAAATAAGCCCAAATTAGTTTCCCTCCTGCTTTAAAAAGTGTCTTCTCTGAAATTCTTGTTGGTGAATCAAAATTCCAATTGTTTCTTTTTCTGCTCTTTGGTTCAAGTGTTTATCTATGGAAAATTGTCTATCAAATAGACTTCTTTTACATCAGAATCTCTTTGCTTGTAACACATTATTGCATATAATAAACTATTTTTTTAGTATTTATAAGTTAAGGAATAACCTTAGGMCAAGTATATTTTAGAATATACACATTTCTGCCACCTAACTCCCAGAATCAAAGAAGTAGTTAAATATTTTACATGTAGTTTATAGATTTTCAGCCACAAAGGCTCACCAGTGCATCTTTAAAATATTTCAGAGGCTGAGGCAGGAGGGTTGCATGTTTGAGGCCAGCCTTGGCAACTTAGTGAGGCCCTGTCACAAAATGAAAACAAAATAAAAAGGACTGGGAATGTTCAGTGGTAGAGTGTCCCTGGATTCAATTCTAACTATTGGAGGAAATAAATTAATTAATTAAATGAAATATTTCAGTAGTTCTCCTATTATCACATACAATTATAATTTAACTTATATGATATTTTCACTGGTATTAAATACTATGATATATATTCTTTACATCTAACACATTTTAGTTATTGGTAGAGATAATAATAAAATATATTTTAATAAATATCTGTGAAGATTTATTAGCAGTCAAGCCAGACTATACATGGAAATATCAGACTTCATCAGATAGATAAAAATTAAGATCCATATTTATCACAATGTTTTAATTCAGTCTTTGAAAAATAACTTTTAAAATTACATCATCATTTTACTCTTGCTATCATAAACAGTTCTTTTCAACACAGAAGAGATTATCATTTGATATTTTGCTGAGTTGCATTTATAAGTATTAACTTTTCTGAGTAATTTAAAATATATAAGGAAAATTGGATGTAATCTTTATTCTTAAGGAAATCATACACTGGATGAGAAGTTAAGTCACATACATAAACAACTATAAAACATGGAATTGGGGGAAAAAAAGGCCATAAGAATAGCACAGAGGCCTGTTAAAGTTCAGAGGACAAGAGGGAGATGATTTATTTCTAGAGGAAAAAATTAGGAAGAAAGTATTTTCCAACTGGACATTGAGGATGGATGAACTTTTTATTGRTGATGGTATGGGTGGACACACTGCTTCTGAGGAGCTGGGTGTGGTGGTGCACACCTSTAATCTCTGTGACCAGGAGGTTGAGGCAGGAGGATTTGCAAGTTTAAGGACAGCCTAGGCAACTTAATAAGACCCTATCTCAAAACAAAAATAAATTAAAAGAAAAAGAAAAAAAAAGACTGTTTCTGAGGAATTGGTAGCACAAACACGGGTATGAAGGTAGGATAATGTAATGTATCTATTACAAACAGTAAGGTTTCCTAGATTTTGAAGGAGTAAAACAGACCAAAAAAAAATGTAGTTTGGGGCAAAAAATGGAGGAGATACAGATCCAAACTAAGGTTCCATTGTATTCGTTAATTAAGATGGCATAATATTCAGCAAAATGGTTAAGACAGTTCTCAAATAAAACTGCCTGAATTCTAATTCTGTTCCTACTACATCCTGCCTACATGACCTTGGGCAACTTAATTGACTGTCTCAGTTTCCTCATCCATAAAATAAGAGAACTGCCACAAAGATTAAGTGCCATAGTTTATGCAAAGTGTGATACTGTGCTTAGCACACAGTGTGTGCTCAGTAAATATTGGGTCCTATTCTTACTACTTATTAATATTAACTATGTGGAACTAGTAAAATTGGAACAAAAAATTGACATAATCAAAAGGATTCCAAAAAAGATTATTCTGATGGAACTATGCAAGAGACTGCTGGCATAGAAAAACTATTAGAAAATTTTGGGACAGCTGAGGATTGATCTAGGTCTTAATTGGGGTAATGACAATAGAAATAGAAAAGAAGGGATGAATTAAACACAAAGGTAGAGGAGCAAAAGGGAAGAATAGTCATGATTTGGTGTTTGGACAATGTACAGAGGAAAAGCAGAGTCACGGATCCCTCCAGGCTTCTACACAAAGGATAGTGAGACTTGTGACCTTTGGAAAAACCAGAATGGAAGATCAGAACTAGCTAATTGCTGAACAGCATTTTGTATCTATTCTGGCAGCTTTAATTGTTGCTGCTTGTGAGATGCTGGGAGGTGCCCTCTAAATGAGAAGGTTCTACAGGAGCAGCAAGAATGACCTTGGCCTTGGGAGAGAGGTCAGGGTACATGCCAAGATGTGGAAGCCCTTAGGATGCAGGAACCCTGGGAAGAGTTGAAGGGAGTAGGCAAGAGCATTCTTTGTGGGATGAAGAAAATTGGAACATCCTGGTCCCTCAAAAACATACACTCAAAATTGACTGAGGGGTGAACTCTGGGCTAATGTGTCCACCTCACCTTTTGTTGCACTGTATCCATGTGTCTTTGTCTTTCCCACAGTTTCCCTTCTCAGTCCCCTCGATGTTCAGTTTCTCATAGCAGTATTTGTCTGATGCTGTCACCTCTGAAGCAGAACAGAATTTTCTATCAGTGAGGGAGGCAACATGTGAGCTGTTCAAAATGTTTGCAGTGAAGGAAAACTGAAAGTTAAAGAGTCTTCAGTGTTGTCAACACCATAATCAAAAACTGTACCCAGGGCCTACAAGAATTCACCTATATCAGACATCCTTGGTTCAGGTGCGTTTTTCACGAATGCTCATTTGAAATTTGGGAAACAAATATACTTAGATATCTAATGGGATTTAGGCTTTAGACTGTAAGAACACTCTTTAGGATAGGGCTAATAATTACAGGACAACGCTACCAAATGTTTGCTTGAATAAATTCTTGATACTGTAATCTCCTTGCCAAATATAATGCATGAATTTCTCACTCAGAAAACTATTAATCAAAAAGTCAATTTTATTAAAAGTTATGCACTATAATTAGATTCAAGAAATAGCAGTCCAATTTCTACTATGCTTACTCATTATTAASAGTCATCAGAAAAAAAATCTCAGTTTACTGCTTTTAGGTGAGACTGAATTCATATAAAATCTGAGAGTCAAATATCATTTTAAAGTATGTCAGCATTTTTTGTCAGGTTTTTATCTTTTCTAAAGCAAGGGTGAGTTGATGATGTTATCTGAATTAGAGAAAAATGACTTGAAAACTTAAAGACAACTCATTGGTACAAGTTGAGCATCCCTAATCCAAAAATCTAAAATCTAAAATGCTAAGCAAGTGGTCTAGCACTAGGCTACATACCAAACTGCCCTAGGTTCTTAATCTTTTTGAGTGCCAACATGATACAACAAGTGGAAAAGTTCACCCTGATCTCTGTCACAAGTCATAGTCAAAATACAAGCATATGTCAAACACATACTATATAATACTACAAAGGCACATAGTAGATAAAATTACCTTCAGGTTATATGCAGAAGGTGCCTATGAAACATAAATGAATTTTGTGTTTAGACTTGGGTCTCATTCCCTAGATATTTCACTATCTACATGCAAATATTACTAAACTAGAAAAACATTTGAAATCTGAAACACTTCTGGTAACAAGAATTTCAGATAAGGGATACTCAACTTTATATATTAAACAACAAATAATTATGTAGGTAGTTTCTTTTCCTACTTTTCATTGTCAGCTACTATTTTTGCTGAAGTGAAGGAAACAAAGTATATCTCCTTGCTTAGAGTGTAAACTTGCATGACAAAATTTCTTCCCATCTCAGTGTTTCAGTAATTTGAAAGAGCATATACTTCCCCTCTTAATAGGACTGAGGCGACTACCTATTACATCTAACAATGCTCATTATTTTTATAGCTTTTTTTTTTCCGGATGCAAATTACCTTCTGAAAGAGTTTACAACAAAAATTGCTTCCAAAAGTATGAGTCAGTAACACTTCTAGAAAAAGTACATATACAACATTTAAATATAAATTTAATTACAGTATAACTTAAATAATATAAAAATATAATTGTTATATATTTTCCTCTGAAACTGACAAATATTGAAGAGATTAATGATAAAATGTCTTTCTGATACATAAGAGCAACCTCAGCAGAAGGTCACCTGTAACTAGGAAAGCCAGCTAGAGCTTAAGAAAGAGAATTGAGGAAGAAGAAGCAACTCTAGCCAAAATGTTTAGTGCTTTCATTTAAAARATCACATCTGATAATACACCTGGTCCCTTGAAGCCAACTATATGTAAAAACAGAAGAATAAGAGAATGTGAGAGGAAATACAACAACGGGTGCACTTTCCCCAAGGTTGGAAGTCAAGGATGGCCTATCCAGGATCCATGGCCATCCCATATGGTTATACAAGTTTTGTTAGGGCACTCCACTGAGGAGCTGAAATCAAGGTCTGTTCTATTCTCCAAGCTGTGCGCCCTGGCATCGCTTCGCCTGCCTGGCAGCAAAAGCACCTTCTGTCTCTGTCTCGTCCACAGGCGCTGCCAGCTAGCCAGGAAGTGTGCAGTCATGTCTTCTCAAAGGAGGTGTCTTTCTCTAATTTCCAGAAAAGTGCCCACGCTAACACCTGTCATAGCTTTGAATGTCCCCTAGTCATAAAGTAAAAAAATTTGCTTCCAACCCACATGTCCCTATAAAGTCTTCCTGATATCCTACTTTGAAAATGATCAACCCTTATGATTATTATGCACCAATAAAAATATTTTTGAAATAATTATCAAGCCACACTGATTACTTACTTTGTCCCCAGATATATTTGCATTGTCTATCCCTGGTTTTACATCGTCCTCCAAAGCAAATTCCCTAAAATGGAAAAGCARATACCCATTAGCAATGCAATGTCTGTTTATGTCAGAAAACTGACAGAAAAGGAAATACGACTGGGGAAAAACAGCAGATAGGTATTACAAAGCCCTTTTATCTTCAGGATTGATTATGAAACTTTTTAAATGATATTCCTATTTTGACAATATCTCAGTACTTCTTTCATGTTGGTGCCACACGGAAAATTTAGATAAAAGTGAAAATGGCCTACCTGAGTACCATCACATGAATATCCATCCATTTTATGAATATTAGGGGCACACTAGGAAAAGAGAACAAACTATGAACCAAACACAGAGCAAAATATCAGGCTGAGCTAATCMGTTTAGTGTTTACATTTTAAAAATCACATTTGATGATACATTTGGTCCCTTGAAATATCTATATATAAAAACAGAAGAACAAGAGAATGCAAGAGGAAATACAACAACTGGTACACTTTCTCCTAAAAACGGGATTCTATGACAGGCAAATACAGTTGATTACACAGAAGCAAGTAGAAAGAACTGACTGCAGTAGGCTCAGTAAATGACATATTAAGAGATATGTTTCATACAGATCACTATTCCTCTGAGCAAGAAAAGAAAGAACACAAAGCAAAARGTAGCCCAACTTGTTTCCCTTCTTCTGCCATGAGAAGCAATGCAGACCCTTCGCTTCAGGCAATAACTTTCAACTAGAAGTCTGTTTCTAGAATTAAGGCTAGAAAAGACATGGCTTATATATTATATTTAATACTTAAATTAATAAAAATAATATTAAATTATTTTACAATTAATTCATTATATTTTCTTGAAGCAACTAGAAAATTATAGAGCATTTTGTCAGGCTATAAACAAACAGTAATTTTAAAATATATTACTACAATGATAGAAAAATGTCTAATTATGTAGTCATTTGGGAAAAAATTGGAAAATGTGAAAAAAAAAAGGAGAAAAAAAAGAGAGGTCCATCACATTCTACCATTCAAAATTGCTATTTTTTATATTTTAGTATAATTTATCTCTACCTTTTTCTATAAAAATTGATTTTTAAACATAAGTATGGTCAAATTATAGATAATAATTTTTAACGTTTTTTTTTAGTTGTAGATGGACACGGTAGCTTTATTTATTTTTTGTGGTGCTGAAGATCAAACCCAGTGCCTCACAGGTGCCAGGCAGATGCTCTACCACTGAGCCATAATCCCAGCTCAAATTATAGATAATATTTTATATTTTGCTTCTTTGCTTTATTTTTGTCATATAAACTTCCTGTCAAGGTGAACTTTTTATAGCTACCATCTTTAATAAATATAATGCATTGCTTTAAGCTGACAATGTACTACAATGATCACTTATAGTTATATCCAATTAATTTTGACAGTTAAAACTAATGCAAAAGAGCATTTTGTACAGACATCATTTTTAGACTTTTGATTCTTTTAAAATTTTGCTTTTTATTTAATCACTATATATATATATATATATATATATATATATATATATATGCCATGCAGGTAATTATTTATTCATTGAGTCATCATCATTAAGTATTAACTTAGAAAATCCCACTGATTAGAAAGAATGGAACAATACTTTTATATGGAGATCTTTAATCTCTTTGTATGATTCCTTTAAAATAAATCATTTTTAATGGTTAATGTAAGTTTACCACTACTGATATCTTCTTATCTGGAGAAAAAATAAATGTGGGCAGTCTTGACTCAACTATACATGAATTTCAGTTTCTCTGTTTTTGTCCCTCAATCAACCTCCCACACAACATGGTTTCAATTTCAGTTATCACACCATATTAATGTGAGTAATTGCACAAAATACAAACTTTGCTATTAGCTCTTCAGTCAGCTGGTCACTGTGCAAATAMCAGATATCCTTCATGACCAGTGACCCATCCTGTCTTTTCTTTTAAATCCCTATCAGTGATTGTCACCAACCATCTGCTTATTCAATTCACAGACAGCAAAGTGTGTAGTTGTGCTGTCTCTTTGACTTCTAGTAATATTATGTGGCATTTGAAAAAATGGATCATCAAAAGAGGGAATTGGCCAACAAAGATGAAAATGTAGCCAAGAAATGAAAGCGATGACACCAGAAGTGAAATTCAAATTGAATGCAAATGGAATTACAGAAAAAAAAAAACAGCTAACTGTGAGGATGACTATTGCTCAGGAGATTCTAGATATGCAGCCTGAGAAACCTAGTGAAGGAACTCACTGGCATAAATGAAGTGGGCATGACCTAACAGGTGAAGATGTGTCAGAGGAAGCGACGCTGACAAGACACTCAATATGTATGGCTTCACATCCCTCAAGAGATATTTAATGACATTGAAAGCATAGAGGGTAAGACATTGAAAGCAGATTCAAACTTAGAAAGGAGTATGACAAGGTACAGAATAATGCTTACTCTGTATCGTAAAATTTACAAGGAGCAGCACCAGGCACAGTTCAAACTACACTTCAAGTTTTGTATAAAGAAATATAATACTTTAACTCTCAATGTTTCTGTTTTAATTTAAAGTATGCTATATAAACACCAGTTAATATTTTTCATTTCCCTGTGCATTTAACACTATCAGTAAGAGAGTTTTGACAGAATCTTTTAAAGATGACAGAACAACTGTATTTTCCATTGATCCTTACGACTGTGTTGCATGGTTTCAACTTGCATGGTCATTTTTACAGTTCAGCACAATTGTGCAAAGTGAGAACTGATCATTTTTTAAATCTGTGAACCTGCATCACAGATTGCAATTTCCCCAGCATGTTTATCTACAAATAAACACTATTAAATTTAAGGATAACTGTTAATGTTGGAGGTGATGTACTATATCAGAAATGTAAGAAACAAGAGAGAGAAARGGGTCCCCTCTCAGAACCCGGTGCTCTAGGGATCTCTGTCTCAGCTGGCTCCTGTTTCAGTCAGCTGAAGAGAGGGCCTTTTGTTTTATTTCTTAGAAAGATAAAAAGAAAATGCCATTCACCCCCTACTTAATATAAAAAACAAAATACTTAAGGCAACATATAGTCTTAGGGGAATTCAATATTAAAACAAAATTATGCTGAACGTCTGCTCAAGCTTTGATTACTAAAACTAAAATTTCTAAAAAATTAAAAAGAAAGTGAGAGATAATATGAAAGAAACATGAATTTTGTCCATCCACATTTCTCCTCAGGGTCAAGTGCACTAAAGATACCCCTACTTTTTCCACTATGGTTTAGAGTAATTATTTTTGCAGATTACCTGGCTTGAATTTCCTGAGCATGTTTCAGAAATATCACAATCGTTCACTGCTTCTCGGCACACGGTCCCCATAGGCTGAAACTAAAATGAACAAAAATCGATGTGAAAGACTAGAAGGAACAAAAGCTCTCACAGTATCATCTTAAAAAAGCAAAATGAAAAATGTTTGGATAGGAATACCTTTGGCTATTTTAAAATCATAGTGTGGGAAAATTGCAGTTATTGAACAAAATGCTTTTATAATAGTTTTAAGTAACAGTTTCTTGTATATGAAGTAACTTCCATATTCATCACACGTAAGTCTCATAATATCTTGCTAAAATGCTAAAATTGGACAAGGCTTGATGGTACGTCTCCACAAGAATGCTTGGCTTGTCCAAGCTCTTATAATCTTTCTTGCAAGGAGATTTTAAGCTTTTTAGGCTTTATCCTTCTTTCTTATTCACACCTTTATCACATAACTTTTTTTTTTTTTTTTTTGGTCTCTCTTATCTGCCAAGATTGGAAAAGCTACATTTGGGGCTGAATCACAAAAGTTAAGTTTTCTGGCAAAGCCATATCCTCCCAAGCTTTCTCTTCCCTTCTTTTCTGGTGCCTCATTATGCAAAGATTTAAATTTTGGTTATTTACTTGTTATTAATGTTCCTATTATTGGTGTCTATGAACTGGAGTCTGGAGTTCTGGGGTTTATCGGTTGGTTGGTTTTTTTTTCTTTTTTTTATTTGTTTATTTTCAGCCAGTGGAAATACTTCTTGGAAGTATGCATTTGAACAAATAAATTTTTAACCCCATTGGATTTACAAAGTGCAGGAATACTCATGGTAACAAAATCGAGCAGAGAGAAATAAAGCTATACTTCTCCTTTCCTGTGCAATGCCTCTCTTTTCCCTCTCTAAAACTCTGACATTTAGGGATGGATTCTTCTGTGCTTTTCTCTTTGTTTGTACAAACATACTTATTATCAGGCTTCCCTGACTTCTGTGCAAACCACACTTTCTTCCCCCATTCAGAACCCTCCTGGCACTTGAGTCTTCTCTGCTTCTAGATCATGTGCAGCCCACCAGCTCCAATCAGGATTTTAAAAGATAGTTTTAGATGACTCAAACAAAATTTGTGCTCATTCAACAAGGATTTACTAAGCACTTAGGATGTGCCAGGCACTGTTCTCGTTGCTGGAGACCCGGTGGAATACAAAACACAAAAACTCTGCTCACAAAAACCCTGCATTTTAGTGGGAGTAAATGGGCCATAAAAATAAGGAAATGGCAAAGTAATTTAATTTTACATGTCTGATTCTCTTCTTTCTCAAAATTGGGGCAAGCCAATTAGAATATAAAGCAGAAATATGTACAGATTTGAAGTACAGTTTAGATGAGACTATAAACATTCAAGAATTTCCAAGAAACTTTAGGAAAAAAAAAAAGCACAGTAAAGGAAGATTTGCTCTAAGTGCTGGGATACAGCAGTAAATAAATCAACCAAAAATCCTGCTGTACTAGAGCTAGAGCTTATAATGGGAAGGGGGAAATAATAACCAAGTAAGCAAGATATATCTTACTGCAGAGGTCCACAAATTATGGCCTGAAGGCCAAACTGGCTGACTACCTAACCTTACAAATAAGTATTACTGGAATTACAGCCACACACATTGTTTCTGCATTTTCAATGGCTGCTTTCAAAGACAGAGCTGAGTAATTGTGATGCTTTAGGAAAACCTATTTACTATATAGTCCTTTATAGGAAATGTTTGCCAACCCTCGGCTTATACATTATTTATATATGTTATATACATTATAATATACACACACATTATATATGTATGTGAGAGAGAGAGAGAGAGAGAGATACATACAACTTCTCATCTTGATCCTCTCTTCCCCCTCCTCCATTTACTATCCTGCCTCTGGATCCCCAGGGTAGGGTGAAGGGAGTTTTGGGGTAGAGAAAGTGGCAAGAATTATTTCACTCGATTGGTATACTATATTGTAGTACAGTAATTCATTGTGTCATTATATTTTAGGTATGTTATTATTCTATACTTGTTCCTTGTAATGATTCTATCACAAAGAGCCTAATTCTGTATGCCAAAGGGGGAAAAAAGGTACAATTACACGTATTTAACAGATGGGCAGACATTTATTTAATCAAAGATTAAAATAAATGATTCAGGATCCCTTGTTATAGCAGTTGGAGGAGCTGACAGAGCAAGCAATTGTGGTCGCCAAAATGAAAGAATGTCTGTTTCACATTTGGTTGAATCTTCCTTTTTTAGAGATTGCTTTCAGAGATCTCTGCCAGTGCCGTGCTTGTCTTAAAAAGCTGCCAGAAGACACAGCAGTGCAGTGGAAACAACAGAAACTGCTGCCAGCAGATCTGGGATGGAAGGGCTGCCAGCAGATCTGGATGTGACTGCATATCCCTTCCTTACAAGCTGAGTGGGCCCCTGCAGGTGACTTAAATTCCTTGGAACTTGGATTGCTYGATTATAAAGATCAGGATAATAATGCCTATCCCCAAAGTGTGCTTGTGTGCATTCTCTAAGACAGTGGTCTCAACCAGGGGTGATTATGTCCCCAAGGGTATATTTGGCAATGTCTGGAGACATTCTTAGTTGTCATTCTTGGGAAGATTGCTTCTCACATCTAATGGGTAAAACCTCAGGATGCTGCTAAACATCCTGCAATGCACAAGACACACTCTCACAACAAAGATTTATCCAGCCAAGGATGTCAATGATACCAGAGTAGAGAAATTCAGATGTAGGGTGATAATAAATTCAAAGTACTTAACACAATCTCTGGCACACAGCGGAGACTTACTGTGATAGCTTTCTATCTCACCTTCCTTTAACTCATTAAAGATATTCAATCTGCAAATAATCACAAAGAGAGTGCTGTGCCTATTTATTTATTTGTTCAACAAATATTTATTAAGAACCTATAACAACAATGGTGTAAATTCTTGGCTCTGCTCCAAAAAAAAATGTACAAACTGGAGACAGATGTTAAACCTTAGACATAATACAGAATATTATATCAGATATCATATGAGATAAGAAAAAAGAATTTCATTTCTTTGGGAAAAGTAAGTTCCAAATTGTGGGTCTTGATGTAAAGAATTAAATACTTAGAGACAGGGATGAGGATGGTATTGGGAAGACGAACTCAGACAAAGTGTATAAAAATGCATTCTCAATTTCCATGCACAATAAACTATGTAAGGTACTATCATGCCTGAAGTATTCCTTTCACTCCCTCAACAGCTAACGCAAGAGATATAGCTGGGCACAGTAACGCACATCTATAATCCCAGCTATTCAGGAGGATGAGGCAGGCAGATCCTGAGTTAGAGGACAGCCTGGGCAACTTAGGGAATTCCTGTCTCAAAATAAAAAACAAAAAGGGTATAGCTCAGTGGTACAGCACCACTGGGTTTAATCCTCAGTGCTCCCCATAAAAACATGAGAAGGAGGACGAAGAAGAACAGGAAAAGGAATAATATAAAGGAGAGGAGGGAGAGGAAAAGAAGTAGGAGTGGAGAAGGAAGAAAATAAGAGGAGGGAGGAAGAGTGGGAAAAGGAGGAGGAGGAGGAGGAGGAGGAAAGATATATCTGAGTGAGAAGAAAAGGAGGATCTCTTGAATCCCTACTTGGCTTCCCAAAGAAATGTAGGCATATTCAAAGATAAGTAACACCTACTTTAATTTACTGTCCCTGCTCCTCAGGGAGGTTGCAGAGAGAACAGCCTTGGGATGAGCATGTTCAGCAAGAACCCTGACTTACTTGGTGTCAGACCTTGGGAAAACTACCATTAGAAGGGAAAGATGTTAACTATATCTCACAAGATTCTACAAGGGTCCTGTAAGCATCTGGCATTCAGTCATTAACTATGTATTAGATACTGTGATTATTAGGTGCGATTTACCCAGCCTTAGCAATTAATCACATGTGTCCTTCCTTCTGTCCATTCGTCATTAAGCAGCATTCATTACCTTGCACTTTTTACAACAGAGACCATCACTGCATTGAGAGTCCTGAGTCAAGGTGCATTTCTTACAACACTCTGCTCCTTCAAGGACACATTCCTAAGGAACATAAACATTTGGCCAAACATCAGAAAACAACATCATTTCCTAAAAAGTAGCAGCATGTTTCCTAAAATAAATGTAAAAACTCACAATAATCTCTCATCCACAAATACTATAAAATTTCTAAGCATAATACTTGCTCTGTTTTGTCTCAATGTGTGTGGACCAGGAACAACCCTGAGTCACCTGTAAACCATCTTCAAAAGCACCACAGACTTACTGTAGGGGTTCCACAGTCACACTCTTCTCCAGTTTCAATGAAGCCATTGCCACACTCAGGAGGGTCGAGCAGCTATGGAAGGAAAACAAAAAAGGGAACTAAAACATAGAAAAGTCAACAGCAAAGACTTTGAGAGACCTGAGAACTACACCCGCACCTCTGCGTACCTGCCAGTCATCCCAAATATATATTTATTTAGCTAAACTAGAAAGCATGTTTTTTTTTTACAACTTATAAGTGTCTCCTCCTGTTTCCATTTCATATTTAACATGTGTATATACTTTACAAATATTTATATAACATATACACCAAATAGCATCTGGTAAAAGTCACCAAAATAAAAGATGACCTAGTCATTGACTAAAACTAAGACTGACTGACGCCTGAAATTCCATTGCAGTCAGGAAGTAAGGGGTTTGGAGTCAGAACATCTGTCATATTGGCACATGGCTGGAGAATAGCTCAGTGGTAGCACATAATGCCTGGTACGAATCAGGCCCTGGGTACAGTCCCCAGGATCAAAATAAAATGAAATAAAAGCTTGGAACAACTACTTAACATCTCAGAGACTTTACTATGTTAAACAGGAATAATAATATTTGTGGGGAGCCACTCTGAATGATTCACATCTTCCATCCTGGAGCGGAGATGCTTTGACCGTCACTACATCTTGTAGTGACCCGGACATTGCCCCAGTCCCAGAAGTTGAGGGCACATCTACAGAGGTAGGCGGGTCACCCCATGGCCCCTTGGGTCGAATTACACTCACCTGTCCTTTGTAACCCTGCTCCTTCTGACCTTTTTTGGATAGAACTTTCTAAGAATAAGGGTCTCCCCAATACAAGCCCATTTCCATGTCACGCTCTCTCTGGCCAGCCTCTGGTGACTTTCTCTTGCTCTCCCATTTGGAGAGCCTGAAGCCKAGAGCGGAGAAACTGTCCTGAAGCTTGTTTAAAGGTAAAGTGTGTGTCTATGGTTTATTTGGTGTCCCTGGAAATTCACAGGAGCGACCTTAAGTTCACCTGCCTACGCAGGTTGGGGGCAGCAAATATTAACTGTTCATCAAATTAATCAGCTGTCCAAAAGTTTTCTGAGAATCAAGTTTAATCATCCGTGAAAAGCCCTTTATTGATCATCTTTTTCTCCAAGTTACTTCATCAACAACAAGAAAAGTATCACAAAGTTAATATACTCACTGAACTATTCAATATAAAATATAACTCCTACTATTAGTATATAGCTTTTCAGAGAAAAGCAATAATAATTTGTCCCAGATATTAAAGCAACTTTTGGACTATCCAGGAGTACATTTTAGGTCAGTTTTATTTTTTAACTCTCTATCAATTTTATTACCTTTCAAATACAATTTATCCTATGGTGATAGGCTGTTAGAGTCTATAAACAAGTCAGGATGGCGCCTAGCAAATGTTAGAGTCTGTAAACAAGTCTGGATGGCGCCTGGCATTTTGCCAGAGGGAGAGGTTTGTGAAGTAAYGCCAGCGAGCCATTAAGTGTGGAGATTTCTTATTGGTTGACTGCTGTATCTATTTTATGTTAATTAAGATAAGCTGTATTGAATGTATATATACCMCTCCTGTCCTACAATAAATGGCTCCCACTCCTGCTGTATCAATCTACACAAGTTCCTCGTCACCCCCCGGTTATTTTGCCCAGCCAGCCGGGCTGCAGCAATAGGCAGTTGGTAAATAATGATTAATTACTATTAGCTAGGAACATAATATTCATTCAAAAGTTAAAAGTTGCCAGGCACAGGGGCACTTGCCTGTAATCCCAGCAACTCAGAAGACGGAGGCAGGAGAATCACAAATTGAAGACCAGCCTTAGCAACTTAGGGAGACCCTGTCTCAAAATTTAAAAAAGGGTTTGGGGATATTGTTTGGTGGTAAAGTGTTTTCCTAGCATGCACAAGGCCTTGGATTCAATCCCCAGTACTGAAGAGAAAAAAGCAAAAAGGGCTGGGAATGTGGCTCAGTGGTAGAGTACCCCTGGATTCAATCCCATACCACAAAAAAGAAAAAGTTGATCAAGGTGTTCAGACTATAAAATGGAAGTGTACACACAACTGTCCACACACACACACACACACACACACACACACACACACACAACTGAATAGAATAAAAACTCAAAGCAAGATAAAGAAAACATAAAAAACGAACTCATTTCTGCTGTTATCATCAGAATAGGCCAAAATGCCCAACATTAAAGTTGATTTTGAAAATGTAGACAGACATTTTAGCATATCTAGATACGTATACATATAGGCCAAATTGAAAAGCTCTCTTTTATACACCCAAAGGCTAAACAATGGTGTGTACGAGCATGTAGAAAGATTAATCATTAACATCTCTGCTCACATTATTACCTTGGAAGGCTTGTTGAACAGGCAGGCGCCACCCCCACTGTTCAGGAAGTCATGATACTCTTCAATGTTACACTGGGTGAACTTTTTAGGAAGATAATAGCTGTGGGAGAGAGGAAAATCAATACTGGGATGCAATGTGAGTCKCCCTTGCTTGTTCATTAGTCTTAAAATTGAACATTATTAAAATTATACATTATTCTTTCAAGATGAAAGAATAAATTCCTCTTAGGTACAACATTTGTATTCAACCTACAAGAATTTTTATTCAACCARTATATTTCTAAATTCTTCATTCAGTCACTAATGGTGACAAGATAGTAATGGTTCATTATTTGTATATGCAATCAAAGGAAACACATAAAGCAGCAACTATAATTTAGAAAAAAAATATTTCATAGTCTTAAATACTAAATCTGGGCTGGAATCCAAACAACAGAGAACTCTACAAAATAATTGACCTATAACTTATAAATGTGTCAGGTCATAAAAGTCAAAGACTGAGGAACTACTACAGACTGAAGGAAGCTAAAAAGACATAAAAATAAATGTGATGCCTCACTCTGAATCCTTTACTGTAAAAGACACTATTGACGTATAGGCCATTCTTGAATGAGGGCTAAGATTCAGATGATTTTACTGGCTAGGTGGTAGGAGGATATTCTTGTCATAGAAATGTAACCTATGTATCTGAGGGTAAGAGGGCACAGATTGGCAATTTATGATTCAAGGAACCAAAAGGATCTTTGTTATTCATCTTGCAACTTTTTTCAAGTTTCAAATTGTTTTAAAAAATTCATGCCAGAATAAAAAGTAATAAAGGGCAAAGAGAAAAAAGAAACTTGGTCAGATACCTTCAAAATGAGCACAGATGCCCTTAGATCTAGTAATTCAGCTTTTCAGAAAATTTTCTTAAGAAATAACTAGCTATTACACAAGGATATATAAACACAGATATTTGAGGTAGCACATAACATAAAAATAACCCAAATATTTAATAGTAGGAGAATGATTAGCTGAACTGTGATATGTGGATAAAATAGAATAATATGAAATGAATTAATAATCATAGTAATAAAGAATAGTTAGACTCAGAAAAATGCTGACTATATAATGTTAAGTAAAAAAAGGTGAATAAACATCATATAACCAACAGGAACAAGATTTTACAAAACAACAATAAAAATGAAAAAAGAAGAATATGAGTTAAAATACACTAGTATTTGAATATCAACATGGTTATCATTGGAGAAAAATAAGAATTTTATTTTCTATATTTCTCTAAAACTGTTTTTCTTTGATCTTTATGAAAGTGAAAAAATAAGATAATAATGAATGATTTTTATAAAGTCTTTCCTGCTAGCCACAAAGACAGTGTCCATTTATAACCATACCTCTATCTAGCACAGTGGTTAATGTTTCATAAATTATAATGGAATTTATAATGATTATTTAGGCTAAACTCATTTTTTTTAAGTATTTCATGCCAAATTCTCCAAATAAAGCTGTCTTGGGTATAAGTTATCTAATCTATTCTGTTTCTGTCCATGCTTTTTTTCTAATAAGACACAGACTTTATTCTTAATTTTAAAAGTTTCTTTCATATATTATTCCTTTCTTCAATGCCTGCCTCGTTAAATTCTTATCACCTTCCCTACCAATCCATCCAACACATCCTGCCACAGTTATCAAATGTAAACAGGACTCTCTCCAATTTTCCCTTTTCATTCAATTGGTCAAAACTTGGGAAAGTTCTCTACTACTGAAGTAAAAAGTCCAACTTTTAGGACTCTTAGAAGTCAAAGTCTAGTTCTACCTCTGCCCTGCCAGGATGCCTACAGCTGCCACAGCTCAGCCCATTCTCCTCCACACCTCACAGTGGGGAGCTCAGTCATTACCCCATAACTGGGGAGTTAGAAAATCATTCCTTTACAGGGAAGCTCTTTATATATGGATACTTGAAGTGTATGAATTGCTCTTACCCTTTATTTTTGACACATCTGACTTCTTATAACTTTCACACACACATTCTTAACTGTACCAAATAGAYATTAATTCCTCTACCATTATAATATAACCCTTCATGCCTCTGAAGGCAAATATGTCTTTCCCCTGTCTCTGCCCTCAAACTTCCGTTTTACAAGATTGTACATCTATTATATTCAGCCATTCTTAAAAATTTAGTTTTTATATCTTTAAATAGAAACTGATGGTTATTCATTTCAACTATGGTTTGCAATATTTAGCAATATAGAGGAAGTTCAGACAGCGAAAATGGAAGGGATATACTCATGGGAACTATACATCCATAATTAGTAATGTTAGGTGATACTTGGCATAGATCAAATTTATAGAGTCATATCAGATAGTATTTTTTTATAAAAACAATTTTTCTCTTGCTTCATCTACTTAATGTAGGAAGAATTCCAATTCAAAGAGCTATACATATCTGAAGGTAACCATTTGATTTTTTTTGGTGGGGGGGTAGGGGGCTGTACCAGGGATTGCACCCAGGGGCACTTAATCACTGAGCTGCATTCCCAGCCCTTTTTTATATTTTTTTTAGAGACAGGTCTCGCTGAGTTGCTGAGGCTGACTTAGAACTCATGATCCTCCTGCCTCAGTCTCCTGAGCTGCAGGGATTACAAGCATGTGCCCCTGTGCCCAGCACCATTTGATTTGGCTTAGTACTATGCAGATTGTCTATAAAAGTTTTAATAATTAACCAGAACAATCAAATAAAAGATATTAAATAGCTTTTAAAGAACAGGAATCTCCACCATAACATTCAGTAATTGTTGGAAAATTATAACTGTACTACTTCTTCTCATTATTAAATAAATGTCCAAAGAAAATTTWAAAAAATTTTAAATGCATGTTTGCATACACATTCCCTCCATCATTTATTTGCCTTGTCCTGATAATTCAAAATTCAAATTTAATCAATAAATATTTTTTAAAATCAAGTTTGTACAAAGGATTATGGTATACGGTATGAACTATAATTACTATGAAATATAATCTCTTAAAATGTGTAACTAAATGGTGAGAGGAAGCAGAAGAATGTATAGCATTAAGTTATAATGCAGGCATTAAAGTTATAATAAACTTCAGATGGTTAAAAATGTGGTTAGAAAGAGAAAAGGATGAAAGACGTTACAGAGAACATATTTAGGAAACCAAAAGAAGCTGGAATTAAGACAAGCAAATTTTCATAAAGCTAAAAATCTTTGTAGGATATGGTTAGTAAGTCAGAAAGCTGAAAACCTATGTCCAATTATGGTAAACAAATGGATCAGAATAGTAGGAGAAAATAAGATTTGAAATGAGGATAAATAAAGATTGTGGGCATCTAACTAGTGATAAGAAATTTGAATTTTATTCTTCAGAAAATAGAGACTCACAAAAGTTCTGAACAAGAGAATGGCATTTAATGAACAATGGCATTTAATGAACAGCATGGATTAATCTCACAAACAACGTTGATCAAAATAAGTAAGTTGCAGAAAAATACACACAGCATGCCACCTCTTACCAACTGCAAATGTGAAGCAAGGCTATGTTTTACACATATACACATTAAATGTATAAAGAAGGAACTGAGAATAATTTGAACCAAATCCAAGATGGCGGTTACCTTGGCAAGGGCTAGAGACTAATAAGGACGAACACAAGGGAACTTTTTACCATGTAGGCAATTTCATTTTTCTTTAAATGGGTGATACATGGATTCACGGTTTATTCTCTATATCTTTTTAGTGATGATGGAAGTAGGGTTCAAAAGAAGAGAGACAAAGCCTGAAACCCGCCTGATGTTTGTAATGTTATTTGTCTATTAATAGCACAAGAAGATCCAGAATTTAAGGTAGGGCATTGGAGATTAAACTGGATTAAARGGAAGGGTTGTAAAATTYATTTAGAAAGAATAAAATACAAGAAATGATGACTGATTGTGAGCAAAAGAAGGAGAGTATAAAAATTAAATCTTTCTGAAAAGAGGCAACTGTACACTTCTCTTTCCACCTCCTCTTTAAGTGACRTCACACTGTGGAACCACCAGTACTGACCTGAAATCAGCCACAGTGGGATTGTGTGCACCATAGAACTCTGAGAAAGTGACAAATCCATTCCACTTTCTTGTTTTTGAGAGTGAACTTACCAACACACTACTACTTATAACCCATTAAACTGAAACTAGAGATAGTAAAAGGAAAGGCAACTTCATTGAGAACAATGTTGTTTCTCATTACACTTGTAGCTTAGATTCAAGGCTAACAAATTTTCTGAGGTTTACTAATTTAATTCACATCAGTTATTTTCTTAAATAAGGGACTATTCTGTGATAATATCATCTACATAGAGCCATTAAAAATATTTACTTCTGATTTTTCTCATAAATTCCTGTGGTAATAATCTGTGCGATAATTTATTTAATGTTGTWTTCCTAAGAGGATAAGAGCACAGCAGGTAAAGGAAAAGTGAGTTATTTCTGAATAGAAGTGGCTCACCCAGTGTCTCCCATTATGCATCCGGACCATGTGTCCTCACATTTGCACTCACCTAAAAAAATAAATACAAATGCCTTTTTATAAAGTAAATGCAGCTGCATTCAAGTAATTTTGTTTTTAAAACAAACATTGTTCTCACGTTATTTTAAAATACTTTTTTTTAAAGTATGCCTGCTTTTTCATTGTTATACTTGAGGTTTTCTACACAATGCATGACAACAAAAATACGCTTTGACCCTATCAAGATAATATAATTTTTACTTAAAAATTTCCTGATAGCTAAACAAATTACCATATTTTTTAAAAGTCACTTACAATGACTTAAATGAAAGAAAATCAAGTACCAATGAGATAGTGAGAAACTTTGAGGAATCAAGATAGGATCCCAGTTTCACAGAACATTGAGGGAATTATTACCATTTCATGTCCTGTTTTTTGTTTTTGTTTTGTGACTAGGGATTGAACCCAGGGGCACTCTACTCTAAGCTATACTCAGCCTTTTTCACGTTAAGACAGGGTCTGTCTGGTAAGTTGCTTAAGGCCTCACTAAGTTGTTGACACTAGCCTTGAACTTGTGATCCTCCTGCCTTAGCCTMCCAAGACACTGGGATTACAGGGGTGCACCATCACATACAACTTCTTGCCCACTTTTAAAAGCCTCTGTGCATACTGGCTRAGCAGAAGTGCCTCAGAATCAAGAATTCCTGGGTTTAAAGCTTAGTTTTCCACTTAACATATGTATAATCCTGGAGACATTATTCTTTTTTGAATAAATGATGCAATCATTTCCTCTGTGAAATAGGGGTAAAAATGGGCATCTTGAAGGACTCTTTTGAGAACTGAGTGTAGATGTACATAATATAGCTTTCAGTCATCTGGWAAATAATGAGTACTCTACGAATGGCAGAAGTTATTATTATAATTTTCCCACCATATTTATATTATTTGTTACTAAAATAATAAAATGGATATGGTTATAATCAACTTGTTACAACAAATACATAGTATTTGACCATTAAAATAACTGGTGAAATAATTTTACCTACTTGCTAAATCTGGCATATTTACTATGTCTATATTTTACTACTCACGTGATAAGGTCTGATCCTGACAAAGAACATTCTAATTCTGTGGTCACATTTAGAGTTGTTTCAAATAAATCAAAATAAAACACTATGTCTGAAACTTATATGGCTAGGATTCTCAACTAGAGCATCCCAAAATGCCAAAATGAGCCTATTTTGCTCTTTATTAGGTTAAATTCAGCAGTGAATCTATTATCACTTGACTTTAAGTATTTATCATACAAGGGGAGGTTTTCATCAAGAATGTAAATATAACCTTGCATTACTTTTGAAAATAGTATTTTGTGTCCTGGCTTATTTCTTATACTATCTCCCACATACTTTTGATCAAGCAACTGAATCAAAGAATCTTATTCTACAAAATATGTAATCAATATTCTTTGAAATATAACTAAACTAGCCAGATTTAATAAATGTTAATATTCAGTCCTTTATCTTAAGAAATAAAACATGACAGAGTTTTAAAATATATATATATAAACCACACATGTACTAAAACTTACCACTTGCTAATTTTCTTTTGTCTGAGATAATACCAATATTATGGGCTAATGATTGGGCAAGTGTAACTGCCATTAAATCAGTTTTCCCAAACTGAAAAACAAAAACAAAAATAAAGGATACATAAATACAATCTGGTTTTAAGATGAGCCAGAGAAAAATGTCGCAATATAATTAGAAATAAGTAGTTTCAAAGCATTTATTCAGCAGAGGCTAAATACCTTGTACCTAGCACTGAATGTCCGTATGGGATGAAACAGCAAGAAATAAATCCATATTTGATTAGATCTCATAGGAAAGACTAGAATTCTAAGAATCATCAACTCTTGAGTTTGGAAACTTTAATCTGAGTCCACATTTCMCCCAGTAATGTTACTGAAAAATTTAGTACTTGCATATGACCAAGTAAGTCTTTTGAATAACACAAAATAAAAATAAATGTGTAAAAATTATTTGGAACTTGTTTGTTTTTAGGTGTCTATTTGACACTTGAAATTCCCCCCTCATGGAATAGAAAATAGTTTTAGAAAACAAACATAATGAGTAACAGAAAGTAGTCATGATCTCTGGCCTAAAGAAATTTAAGAACAACTGAGGAATTTTGTTTTTCAATATGCAGCCTTCCAAAGATTGAGTTATTTTTCTTCTAGATCATTCCCATCAAATTAGTGTGTGTAGGGGGTAAAAGAAACCCTTTGGTAATGCTCCTCTATTTTTTTGTCTCCTAAAATTTGTCAAATAGTGAGGAAAAAAATATTTAGTTGCATTGTTAGGCAGCAATCCAATGCTTCAGGGAATTACTCAATTCTCTGGGAAATCATTCAATGATAAAGAGGGCCTTATTTCCAACAATGGGTAAAGTAAAAATTCTATRTACTTTTATTCTGTAAACTGCTTGATCTGGAAATTATTCTAAGTAGAACAGGAGCAGAATTATCAGGTATSGTCTTCTGTTATATGCTTGTTCTATCCTTTGGTCATGTTGATCACTAATAAAACAATCTAACACCTGAAGCACACGGAACACCAAGAAATTATCTCTTAAGTATGAGGAAAACATTTTCAGCCATCATACCACTTTGTACTGTATAGATGTTCACACCTACTTCATTCACGCCTCCTCCTTTCAGCAACGAGCAAATCCCACCAATATAAGCAGCCCCGCTCCGGCTACTCTCAAATTGACTTCCCCTTTTAGAAAAGGAAATGAAAAAATGCTTACTGCTCACAGTTCAAACATTATAGCACCTCTCATTATTAATTCACCACATAGTACATTTTCTCAATGCATACAAAATTTCTATATTATATGTTCCTGAAGTTAGGGAGGAAAGCAAAAACTGTACATATAGAACCAAAGAAAAAAGTTTCTGAGGGATGTTTTCCTACATGATCAATAAATATCTTCAATTGAAGAACACCTATTGAAAAAGAATTTCTGATATGATGCACTCTGAGAAGGATACAAAATCACTGCTATAGTACTACTGCCCAAGATCAGATATTCCCACAATGGAAGCAGTCTATAAWGTAATGGGCTTACATTCTTTAAATGTGAGAAAGGCTGAGAAAATCTTTCTCAATGTCATGATCAAACATGRTCTGTGATACTGGATGGGGAAAATGTAGCTATAAAGGAATTGTTGASATACTTGGTGATGTTTGAATATAAACTATGGCGTACATAGAAGTACTGCGTCTATGTTAAATTTCATGGTTTTATTGATTTACTATAGTTATGTAAAGGCATGTCTTTCTTCTTAGACAATATCCACTGAAGTACTTAGTATAAAAGGCCAGTGGGTAGGCATTTCCAACTTATTCTGAAAAAGTTCAAGAAAAAAAAATCAATGGATGAATGGAAGAAAGAAAGGGAGAAAGGAAAAAAATCACAAAATCAGTGGGATAAACATAAATAATTGATGAATCTAGGTAATGAGCATGTGTAATTTCTTTGTAGTACTCTCACAAATTTTCTCTAAATTTGAAATTATGTAAAAATTTAAGTTACCCCAAAACTATATCTTTCCTTCCAATTGTAGCTGTCTTCAACAGCTCAGGCTTTAGATGATGGGTTCTTAAAATGCTACTATATATATATATTTTTTTTTGCTATTATATCAAATATGTATATTATCAAAAAAAAGAACACACAAGTGAGAAAAATTAAACTCCAGAAATTTGGTTATTTTTGGTTAAAAATAAACCAAAAACAGAGATGACATTAACATTTAAAAGGCAGCAACCTTAGGGAATTTAATCTGTTGTTAAAAATACATCAGCAGTATTTGTACCAGTGAAGGCTGTGATTAAATCTCTTGAAAAATTAAGTGAAATAGATATGCAGTGATAAAATAGCTCAAAATCAAATCACCTAAAATTTCACAATAATTAAAATAATCTATACTTTAAACCTTCTTCCAAGTATATTGCAATGTCAATCCCAATTGTAAAGGATACATCTCAGTCACAAGTAATACAGCATTTAATATGGAACCATAAAAAAAAGGAAGAAATCATTGCAAAAGTTACGTACGAAAAAAGGTGAACTGCATCACTTTTCTCTTTGATAAAATCCCTTCTGTATTTCATAAACTCACGTAGGGTGATCAATGGATTTTCAGATATGGCAAACTTGTTGTCAGCCGCCCAGGTTTCCATGGCAACCAATACTATCCTTGTCTTAAGTTGGTCTTTATATATCTAGTATATTAACAAAATGAACACACCAGCTATACATGYGGTAAAATCAAATGGTTTATGAACAGGGTACAGAGTTCTTTCATGGAAACTCTTTTGAGTTTTAGTTACAGGTACAAAATGTGACTATTTTTAAGGGTGATAATTTTTCCTCAAATTTGCATGCATTTTACTTGAATAACAGAGAATCGAATTATTTACCAGTAAATACCCAAYGTACAAAACAGTTTTTAGTAAACATAAGCTCCCCTTTTGACAAATACTTGCATCYAATTCAAGGTTTCCCTTGAGTCCATTTTTGGGCACCCTAGACAAGAGAATTTATGCATTCTTGAGTTCCCCTAACAAAAAAACAGAACAATGCAGATTCTCCAAGGAAACTATTTCTATACAAACAGACTGGCCCTGACTAAACCTATGGGRCGGTACTGGCCCTGGCACTGCCTTGTCAGGGACCACATGGAAGGTGGYCCTGTGGACTGACTCCGTGGCCTCATCACCACAGCACCAGGTACCATCAAAAAGGTACAACTAACGCTCTTCAAGGGGGCAGTTCATGTAGTCTCAGCACTCAGAGATGAGGTGGAATTATCACTTGAGACCAGGAATTCCAGCCCGGGCATCCTGGTGAAACTTGGTCCCTGTCCCACGCCCTACACCCCTATCCCCACCAAGAGGAGAAGAAAAAGTGGCCAATTTCTCCACCTTCAGAAGCACACACATCTCTGCTGGGGCTATGACTCATCCTTTGTCTTTCACAGAGTGAAAAACACAGGAAGGAATTTCAGGGCAGGCCTATCTGTGGRTGACCACTTCCTCTTTCCAGAAAGAGATCAAAGTCAATAAATTCCATTGCCAGGTCACCAGGGCCTTTTAGGACAACTTGGCTAACGTGCAACTAGAGCAGTGAAAAGGTAAGAGCCATATTGTCCCTTCTATGAGCAACCGTGTATGAGCAAATCACCGTGATACTTACTATATCTGCCATGTTCACCACAGATTTGGCATAGGTGTTGGTATGCACAACAGAAAGGCGGTGCTTTTTAAACTGAAAGCAAAAGAAAAAAGTGATGGGCTTTCGAAGTCATCAGAAGTAATCATACTACAGGGAYACAGCCACATCAATGTTTATAACAGCACAACTCACAATAGCTAAACTGTGGAGCCAACCTAGATGTGCTTCAGTGGATGAATGGATTAAAAAAAGTGGCATATATACACAATGGAATTTTACTCAGCATTAAAAAAGAACAAAACCATGGCATTTTCAGGTAAATGGATGTGCTGGAGAAGATAATGCTAAGTGAAGTCAGCCAATCCCAAAAAAACAAATACCAAATGTTTTCTCTGATATAGGGAGGTTGACTCATAGTGGGATAGGGAGGGACAGCCTGGGAGGAATAGATAAATTCAAGATAGGAAAGAGGGGTGGGAGAGAAAGGAGGGGTTGAGGTGTGGAATGTGATGGTCATCATCATACAAAGTACAAGTAGGAAAACTTGAATTGGATGTCAACATRCTTTATACACAAACAGGATATAAAAAGTGTGGTATTTATGTGTATTAAGAATTGTAATGCAAAAAAATAATAATAATGTTACCTTAGGTTAGGTAGAGGGAAATGAAAGGAGGGGAAGGCAGGGGATGTGGGGGATAAAAAAATAGTAGAATGAAACAGACATTATTACTGTATATATGTATGTGACTGTATGACCACTGTGATTCTACAATATGTATATTCAGAAAAATGAGAAATTATATCCCATCTATGTATGATATATCAAAGTTTATAAGTTCATTCTACTACCATGTATAACTAATTAAAACAAATTTTAAAAATGTGAACCAAAAAAAAAAAAAAAAAGAAGTAGTAGTAGTAATCACCAGAAAAAACAAGGTGTAACAGAAGATTCCTAAGACTTCCTGGAACAAACATCAGATCTGAGACCTAGTTCTTTATCTGCTCTGTAGCCTGAAGCCAATCTCTTAAAAGCTTGAGACCTCTATTTACTCATCCATGAGATAAAGTAAAAAAATTTACCCGCTGCATGCATTTCWCGGGCTTTTTTGTCTTTTTCTTTTTCCAGGACTATTATTCAAAACAATAACATGGAGGACAGCTGTCTACAAATTGTAAGACATACAAATCTGAGTAGGGATATGGCTAGAAAAAGTGTCGCGAACACTGCCACAAGTATGAACATTTACAAGTTCTACAAGACTGTTTCAGTAAGAAGAAAGCCCTAAGATAAAGGCTTCAAGGATGTGGCTTACAAGCCTAGTAAATCACACATACGTTTTGTTTGGCCCCAATCATGTTTTAAAAATCAGGAAATGATATGGAAAAATTTGATTCTGGCTTCATTTAAAAGTAGCAAGCCTACCAAGGTGATAACTGCGAGCAGCAAGAGGTATGGGCCCCCTCACAAACACTGGCTGCTACCCTCTCACCTCTCCTGTCTCTTCATTTACAGTTTTCCTCCAGATACCGATGGATAACTGAGTTTGTAACTATTTAAAATGTTCAGATTGCATGGTCTTGCTGTTTACGCTTAGTTTATAAAAATCCTAGGGAGGAGTMACATTCACTGAATTCAAATACAATGAAAGAAAACAGGCCYAGCCTGAACAAGAGAACATTACTCAATCATGATTATTATTACTATTATTAGCAACAATAATAAAGAAGAATGTTATTATATATGTAATCATATATAAATTGATCAAATTTTCCTTCAAATTCATAAAGTAAATTAGAATGGACTTGTACCCGAAATTAAGTCCAATTCAATACTGAATATTTGTAGTTTAAAACTATTTCCATGGAAAATTAGCATTATAACTTACTGCCATGCTAAGAATGCCACCATACTGCAATATGCCCATTAATTAAATACACACACTGAAATAACGTGACTCAACAAGAAGGAGGCTTTGCCAGACTCCTCGGGCTCCTGATATGTGCTTTTTCCATGTGATTTTCTGCATGGCAAGGCAGAAACAGGAAAATTGCTTTACTTTTATTATGAAGAAGTCGTACACWGCAAACTAAAGTGTCACATAATTGATGCCTCACTTACTTTTTTTCACATAAAATGAAAATTTTTGCTTTTCTTAAGCCTTGTCACTTTAGAGATTCAAATATTAGTACCCATATTAGTCAATCAAATGCAAAGAGTTGACATTATGGGTCACAGAAACATTTTTGGAACCTCAAAAATTATTGCTAGTTACTTCTACCTAAGAGCATTTTCCACTTGTGGTTGACTGCTAGTTAATAAATACGTTTAGTTAGGCTAAAACCTCCCCCAGGACCAATAAAGTAGAGGAAGGGGATCAAGAGGAAGGGAGGAGGAGAGGGCATGGAGAAATAGCAGGGAACGAAATCTACCAAACTATGCTATGTCCATGTACAAATACACCACGATGAATTCCACTTATATATAAGTATAAYGCATTAATTAAAATAATTATAATAGAAGTGAGATCTGTCAAGTACAGATCAGGAGGGTAGGAGGGAGGGAAAGGGAAGGAACTGGGGAATTAGATTGATCAAATTAAATTATGTACAAGCACAAATGTGGCATAATAAATCTCACTACTATGTATAATTATAATGCACCAATAAAAATAAGAAATACAATAAATTCTAAAAAAAAAGACCCTCTAGATTACAACTTGAGAGCTTTCTAAATTTCTCTTAAACAAATTTTTGCAGCCTCCAGTTTTACCCAAGGCATGGACAAGTTAAAATAAACAAAACCAAATCCTACCATGAGGTGATCATTCACAATCATCAGTTCGATGTATTTGGTTTCCTCTTCTACATTWCGAGGATATCGAAGCTGCAGTGTAGTAAAAGAAGCAAAACCCAAATAAGCCCTTCTAAACTTAGTTGTGAAAAACTAAGAAATACATAAGAAGTCAAAAAAACAAAACATTCACTTTTTATTCCTTCAGATTTTTTTTTTTAAAAAAATTCATCAATTTACTTAGTTTTTGAGTAGGTAATAATAATACATTTGCATGACTCAAAACGTCAACAGAGTATAAAAAGACCAAGCATAAAAGTTCCCCATCTACCCAGTTCTTACTCCTTCTTCCACAATCAGTATTGGGAGTTACCAGCTTCTTCTAGAAAGATTTATACATAAAAGATTAATATGAATCTACTTTTTATTTTATACTTCCACTTACTTTACTCTCTTCTATATCAAGTTATTTTCATTTAACAGAACATCATGGAAACAGTAACATATGAACAGTAACATTAAATCTTCCTGATTTAATTTACTTTATTCTATAATCCCCAGATCTGGGACTGAGATGTGCCTCTCTCTCCTATATGGATCAAGGGATCCCCCAAATGATACAGGGGTTTTCCCAGAATAGCTTTTAGAGTTCTCAAGCAATATTGATTATCTATAATGGCAGGATTTCTCTGCTCAACAAAAACATTTTCTCTCCTTTCAAAATCCTGATCAATGACTGTGTCAGGGAAGAGCCACTAAGATGGACATTCCCTTGGTTTTCTATAGTTTATCTATAACAAAATCTTTAACAAGACCTCTAAAATTAACTTTTTCCCTTATGCTACGGTTCAATACCCGTGTTTTTTTTTCCCAGCATATCTTTTTGTTCATTTGGCTAAGAGATATTTTTGTGATGAGGACATTTAATCAAATACAAATCAGTACATGTATGTTGGTTTTGAATGCTACATTTAAAACAAACTAAAAAATATGTTGCCAAGCGGATTTCATTTCTTGCTAAATGCAACCTAAACATAAAATCTTTTTAAGAAAATCTCTTTTGGGTAGGGTGGAGGGTTAGGTACCTGGGATTGAATTCAGGGGCACAGGACTACTGAGCCACATCCTCAGCACTATTTTGTATTTTATTTAGAGACAAGGTCTCACTGGGTTGCTTAGCACCTCACTTATGGCTTTGAACTCTGATCTTCTTGTCTCAGCTTTTGAAGCGTCTGGGATTACAGGTGTGCACCACTATACCCAGCTAAGAAATCTCTTATAACACCAGATTGACTGGGAATAACAGATTATATTTCTGAGACTGGAAACCAAAGAGTAAGATAAGTCTTTTTATAAGTGGATTATCAGGATGATAGGATCTGATTTGCCAACTATGTGGCTTACTAATTAATATAGTAGCACTTACCAATAAGATCCAACATTTTTTAATGTCACAGAGTTGCCATATTGGCTACATAATTTGATAGCCCCTTAACTTCATGGGTCTTTAAGAGAAATCAAGGGTTTACCTACTTAGCAAATGACTAGATGTTCAGATGTTTATAAAGAACTTTAAGGTACATTCTTAAAGAACAGTGTTGTATTCTCTCAATTCATAAATCATGAAAAAAAACGTAGTTTCAATTTAAAACCTGATGGTAAGTATTTTATCTATCTAACTGATCCTCAAGATATATGTGTCTCTGTATCTGCACCACATATATAAAGCTCATGGTAGTAATGCATAGAACACACAGGCTTGTGAGAGGCAGTACACAGAGCATGTGTTTCTATGAACATCTCTGAGGCCAAACTTCCTAATAAGAATAACAACTTCACTACTGAGTGACCTGGGCAAGTTCTCTCAGCATCTTGTGCTTCCTTATGTTTTTTTAGTGAAATAGGAATAATAATAACACCTTCCTCATAAAGTTGTTATGAGGATTAAATGTGTTGCAACAGTTACAAATTATTACGATAGGGCCAGGCACATGGAAAATATTCAATAAAATTTAGCAAATGTTATATACGCAAGAATCTGTTTATATACATAAATTATTATAAGATAATAAAAGGAAGATAACTGTATCCTTCAACTGCTTGATCTTACTAGGTCTCTATTCCTTTACCCTGTGTAGTTTTCTGTCACATAAACACATTCACAAACCACCACCACCACAGTGTGTGGATATGTTGATTCTGATGGCCAGAGTTATTTTTTTTTTTTTTGTCTAAATCATTTACAATTCAGTGATTCTGGGTCTTTTCCATATGTCATAGCTATCTTTCCTTTTTTTTTTTTTTCCTGTGAAAGGGCAATAAGAGTACCTACTTCATATGATATAAAGCACTGTCTGAAGAGTTGTGATTGTTGTTACTCAGTCTAAGGTCTGGTTAAGCAATCATAAAGCTTATGTCCTAATTTTATATCTGGATGCCAAAGTAACTTAAGTGAGAAAAAAAGGGCTTTGTGCTCTCAGAACCCAATAGGTTTACTCTTACGGGGTAAAAGCTACAAAGGRATAAATACAAGGATACCACTGAAGCAGCCTGCATGATGTGGTGCACATCTGGGCAGAGAAGAGGCCCATGTTAGGAAGAACCTGGGATGCTGCCAGCCGGGACCTGGTAGCTCATTTACCTGATGAAGAACTAAATTATCACCATTATTTTGAATCTTTTTTGAAACTATACAATAATATGGTCCATTTTTACTGTTTCTATACATCTGTCACCTGTACTGCCTACCTCACAATGAAAAATACCTGAAATAGTACTTGCCCTCTCAAAAGACCAAATGTGGATTCAAAGGATAGGTTTAAAATATCATGACATACACCTATGAATACATACCTGCCGTTTACTCCTTTTGGGTCTTGGTTTCAAAATAAATTTTGGTGGAGTGATGTTTATTTGCTGGAATTCTAGAAGGAAATAAAAATAAATTAAACTTAAAAGCACATTTGTCAAATTTCTTTAGTACAAAGCAAAGTTTCACTTGACTCTCTTATGAATTTTATAATAATGTTGCATTTAATGATTATGCAGAACATTAAACTAATTGTGTTCTATTAGTTCGAAATAAATATATAGTAAAAAAAAACACAATTCACAAAATCTCAAACATCATCTCTGTTCTAATTTATATTGATTATTTTCCCTGTTTCTCCTATAAACACCATCACATTCTTTATCAAGAATCTTCAAACAGCCAACTTGACCTTCACTTCTGTCACTAACATTCTAGGGAAAGCAAAATAAATTAAAGAAGAGAAACAGTAAGAAGCAAGTAGAATAAATAATCACACATTCATAAGTTCATGACTTATTTAAAAATTATGATAGGCCACCAAGGTTTTCATTTTTTCCAATTCATTCACATTCTCCTTCACCCAGGGTTTGTTTGCTCTTGGGAGCAAATGTGAAAATCTGAACCTCTCTTAACTTGCAGGTCAGAATTAGACATCAATTATTGATGGACACAAATTCATCTCTGAATATAAGATTAGGTTATTTGGGGCTGGAGTTTTAGCTTAGCGGTAGAGCGCTTGCCTCGTATATGTGAGGCACTGTCTTTGATTCCCAACACCACATATAAATAAGMAAATAAAATAAAGGTCCATCAACAACTAAAAAAATATTTTTAAAAAAAGAGATTAGGTTATTTGTGTAGGATGATTTCCTACAAAGTAAAAATGCAATCATCCCCTGTGATACAGATTTCCTAAAACATTGATGGTTGATTGAACAACATGTAGCAGTCTGATGTRAGCTTCTTATGGGAGGAATGCTATATAAAAGGTACAGTAAACTATTATCATGACTCTTGAGTAGTTTGTACAAACTGAGAAGTTCTCTGAAATCACAATACTGTCCCCAAGTATGTTAAAGTGTTTTTTTTTTCCTGATCCTATGAGTGAATTATTTTATTTATTAAAAAGTCACTATTTTATCAAAAGAATTATGAAAGTTCTTTTTATCTAAACTTGTGGCCAAGATTCATTTAAGTGAATTCATCTAGATTTCTTTCTCATTACCTTAACTGGATTGGTAGGCAATAAGTAATGGAATTGATTTCTGATTTTTTCTGAAATTTTTTATATTCATGAGATAGCAAAGCAATCCTGTCAAAAGGAAAGATAATCCTGGTTGGAGAAATCTGAGACAGAAATGATGAATAATGAAATCAGAGTAAGAAGATCAGGATCTTGGATATTTATTAGTTCATTTTCAATATGCTTCCATCATTCTGCTTATGAAAATGTTTGCCAGGATACACAAGAAATTTGGTTCAGATGGTCAAACTTGTATAAAATGCAAGGCCTAATTACATGCTGAATATAGGAGATGCACTTTAAATGTAGAGTACTGAAGAAAATATGTCTTGCATACTTTAATCACAGGAAAGCTCTTCTAGAAATATTAATATCAGATCATGTCATTTTTAAAAAAATATTTTTAGTTGTCAATGGATCTTTATTTTATTTATTTATAAAATAATAAATCAAACCCAGTGCCCCAAACATGCTAGACAAGCACTCTATCACTAAGCTACAACCCCAGCCCCCAGATCATGTAATTTTAGGGCAAAAAATATTATCAGGCAGAACAAGGAATATTTCATAATAATAAAATGATCAATTCATCAAAAAGATGCAACATTCCTACCAAAAACCATATGACTATACTTAGAAGTGAGTCCTTCCAAGGCAAAACTTAAAAACTAATTGCTRACCCAGTTAACAGTTACACTACAAACCTATGAGAAATTGTGGGCCAGGGGCACCCGCTAAACCACACTCAGATCATTAAYTCTCAGAAATGGTGAGATAATAAATGTAATTTATTGCTTAAAGACACTAAATTTTAGAATAATTCATCACATAGTAACAGATAACTAATGGAACTGCTGTACTAAAAATGACCAACACTAAGATAAATTCTAAAAGTCCTAGGAGGTGTGGTGGCACACACCTGTAATCCCAACAATTCAGGAGGCTGAGGCAGGAGGATCACAAGTTCAAAGACAGCCTCTGAAATTTAGCCAGGACCTAAGCTACTCATAGTGACACTTGTCTCAAAGAATAAAAAAGAGCTGGAGATGTGGCTTAGTGGTTAAGCACCCCTGGGTTTAACCCCCAGTTCGTTCTCTCTCTCTCTCTCTCTCTCTCTCTCTCTCTCTCTCTCACACACACACACACACACACACACATAAAATAAAAAGTTCTAAATTATTTTATTTCTTATGATTCAAAAGATCTGAGTGGGACTGAGAGTTTGTGTTTTGATCTGTTTTGCCGGTGCTGGGATTGAACCCAGGGCCTCAGGCATGCTAASCATGTCTTTTACCACTGAGCCATATCCCCYAAGCCAACATCCTAAAAGCACAAGAAGATCTCCTATGCCCATGGATTAGAAGATTCAATTCTGATGTCTGTTTTTCCACAATTAATCTATATGTTCAGTTTTAATAAGAATCTCAGAGGATTTAAAAAAATTGAGAAGCTGGTTCTAAAATTGGAATGGAAATACAAAGGATTAGAAAAGCCAAAACATATTTGAAAAGAACAAAATTGCCGAATGTATGCTAYATAATTTCAAAATACACCATAAAGACATAGTAAGAAAAAAGTGTGGTATGGGCAACCAAATAGAATGGTGTCAAGGAAAAGACTTATTATTAATAATTTTTGACAAAAACATCAAAGCAGTTCAATGAAGATGAGAAACTCTTCAATAAATAGTGTTATAATAACTGGATATCCATATTCAAATTTCAAAAAAAATTCAACTCCTACCTTTCACCATACACAAAAAGTAATTTGAAGAAGATCACATATCTGAATATAAAAATAAAACTATACAGTTTTTGGAAGAATAYGTTGGAAAATATCTTGAAAACTTGAGGACAGAAGAATACTTTGTAGAATAAAGAAAGCAATAATTGGGCTGGGGTTGTGGCTCAGCTCAGCGGTAGAGTGCTTGCCTAGCATATCCAAAGCTCAGGGTTCAATCCTCAGCACCACATAAAAATAAACAAAATGAAACTACATATTAAAAAAGAAAGCAATAATCATAAAAAAAATGATGATGGGTTTCATCAAAATCAAAACAACTGCTCATGACAAGATACCATTAGAAAAGTGAATGAACGAGCTATAGACTGGCAAAATACAGTCATAAAATAAATCTAACAAAAGCCTTACATGCAAAATATGTAATTACTTCTTGGCCTTTTGACTAAGATCAAGGAGAGAATATGTAAGTACTCCTACAATCCAACAACAGAAAGAGAAAAATTCTTATTAATGTCTAGTAAGCATATAGATGTGACCAGACCCCACCAAAAATGCAAATTCAAGTAATGTGAGATACCACTACACACACTAGAATGGCTAAATGTAGACAACAACAGCACAGTGTTGGTCAAGATATAGAGCAATTAGAACTCTGATATAGTGCTGATGTGAAGGTAAAAGGATTTAACCACTTTTGAAAAAGGTTTAGCAATTTCTCATAGAACAGAGTTCTCAAAGTAGGATCCCAGGATCAACAAAATTAGCATCATCTGGGGACTTCACCTGAAATGCAAATTCCCAAAACCCACCCARGATTGAAAACTCTCAAGATGAGAATACCAAGTTAAAAACTCTCAAGATGAGAGTACCAAACTGAAAACTCTCAAGATGAGTCCTAAAATCTGTGTCTACTCGGCCCTCCCCATGTTTATAATACATGCTAAAAATTGGAAATACTGTTATACAATTAAACCTATATCCTATGACCTAGCAATGTAATTCCCAGGTATTTTCTAGGAGAAATAAAACATATGTCTACAAAAAAGACTTGTATAAGAATAATCACAGTTGCTTATTTGTAATAGCTAAAAACTAGAAACAACCCAAATGTTCATAAAAATAATGGATAAAAAGTTGTGGTGTATTCATATAATAAAATATACTCAATAATTTAAAAGAATAAACTATTACTTTTGACAACATAAATATCATAGGCATATGCTGAGCAAAAGGTGCTGGACACAATATATGATTCCATCTATTTGAAGTTTACAAAATGGCAAAAATAGAAAAGTGATTGCAGAGGTAGAAGACACTGGGAAAGGCACTAAGAAGTTGCTGAGATAATAGAATTGCTCTGTATGTCAATTGGGGTACATATCAAAATTCAAAGAATAATACACAAGATTTGGGAATTTCGTTTTTTAAAAACTGCTAAGGAGTCCACAGGAAATAAAATCAGCTTTTCCCAAACTGTGTTCCTAAGAACACTAGTCCTCTGATATGTGCCACATAAAATAAAAAGTTCTAGAGTCAAACAAGTTTGGAGAAGACTTGATTATACTTTTATYTCTCAGGAACACATGATATACAGCAAGACGGATGTGCTGAAATTCCATATCTGTTAAATTTCATTCAACCTAAAAAAATAAGCTTATTTTGAGCTTATTTCACAAAAATTGCAATTTTGACATTAATTTACATCATCTTCTTCTTCTAATTTATCATAATAAATTATAAGTAATCTTGAAAGACCACTCTTAAAATTGACAGTGCCAATTTCCTTCTTTTGAGCAGGGGTGGAGGGGGACCAGGGATTGAACTCAGGGGAATTTGACTCCTGAGCCACATCCTCAGCCTAATTTTGCATTTTATTTAGAGACAGGGTTTCACTGAGTTGCTTAGCATCTCGCTTTTGCTGAAGCTGACTTTGAATTCATGATCCTCCTGGCCTCAGACCCCTGGGCCCCTGGAATTACAGGCATATGCACCCCAGTGATAGTGCCAATTTCTGATGAAAAAAGAAAACTAGAAATTGATTGAGACAGACCTGAGTTTCCAAATAATGAATCTAAAAAAAACTCAATTACAACAGCAATACTGCAAAGTCACCTTCAAAGTTTCTTCTAAAAAAAAAAAATCCTGAAYAATTTTTTTAAAAAACTGTAAGTTTGAGCCATAGCAAGCCTACAATCAAGTCTTTTGGAGGAATCTTTACTTATTACTTTAAAAATTAATGATGATTGCTTCCAGTAATACCTATTAAATTGTAGCTTTATTCTCATACAGCTAATCATGATTTACTTTCTGGTCATAATGGGCATAAAGGTCACTGAAAGAACAGTCTAACGAGTTTGTGTAAAGTCAAAGCATCTGTGTGTCCATTTGAGAATTTTTCAAAATAGTGCATTCTGTGAAATAAGATCTTGTATCTATTTGGCAGTAGGTGAGAAGGAAAAATAACTCATTTCTTTTTAGGGGAACTGCAGGAGACCAAGGACATATATACTTATTTTAGAGGAAGGTAACCACAAAACACTTATTTCATTTTTCAATGAAGAGGCAATATGAACTTATAAGTGATTTTCTAAGCTGTAATTTGGGATTTGCTCTCAGGCTGACAATTTTTCCATTTTGTCTTGTGACTCTATCCCATGGTACACTTCTATAGTATCATTATCCAGTGCCCCACCTTGTCCCTTATGAGCAGTAAGACCCTGGAAAAGACAAAGTATTTAAGTCTCTTCTTCATCTATTAAATACGGATAACATTCATCTTACAGAGTTGTTGCAAAGTTTGTATTATGATTAATAGGTAGTATGCTCAGGGCTCACTAAATAGAGGAAGGAGCATCTTTCTACCACATATTCAGTGTGCCCTGTTTTCAAAGGAGGGAAACAGATGAGCCCAGCATAAACAAAAGTGTTGCACGTACATGATCTCCGCCCCACTAATAAGGCCCAGGTATGAGAAGCTGCTCTGACAACTTGGGTGCAATTCTCAAACCAAATATATAAATAAAGAACCTACATGCAAAGAAAGGACTAATTTTACAAATAGCACATAATAATATAAAAGGTTAATCTAATTTTTTATTAAAATATTGATTCAAAAAAAGAGATATGAAAATAAGAATCTGCATAAATAATTAAGAGTTGTCCCTTGAGGGGGAATAGGAATAGGAAAGGCAGTGGAAAGAATCTGACATAACTTTCCTATGTATATATATGAATATGCCACAGTGAATCCCACTGTTGTGTACATCCACAAGACTTGGTCCCTAATCAGAAAAAATACATTCCATGCATGTATAATTTTGTCAAAATGGACTCTACTGTCATGTATAACTAAAAAGAAACAATAAAAAAGACTTCATTCCTGTTTACTAGAYAATTATTTCACCAAACATGAATTTTACATACTTTATGCAGATCAATTCTTACTCTAATATTTCTCCTCTAGTTCCTTATTTTGAGTATTGAATTTTAAGTTTTTCTTCAAAGTGCTTGAGCCATATCTTTCCAAACTTAACTATAAATACAAATCCAGTTTGCATTTTATTTTTTCTCCTGTCGCAACTTGACTTTCCCTCTAAAAATGTCACAAGCAATTGTGGGTTAATAATATTTCACATATAGATTAGTTCTAAAGTAGTAAATGAATTACTGAAGTTGTCCTTAAAACAAAACAAAACATTAGACAAAAAAAAAGTCACTCTATGAGTAACATACCAGATGGAAGATCATCCATGGGAAATTCAAAGAGTCTGGATTTGTAAACCGAATGAAAATGGAAATCCTCCTGAAATGACACAGCAACAGAAATTAAACATGCATAACCAGATATTTCTAGCCTCAAGCAAAAATAGATGGAACCCTAAGAGAACAGTAACTTGACTACACATTTCCCTTGGGTTTAAAGAGGCCAGAAGCCATTGCACAAGGCTTCCAGCTCACAGTGCATTCCCCCAGCACCAGAGCTATACCCAATTATAAATGCCTCACAGACAGAGAAGCCAGAGCTTACAGTAATGGAAAATAAATGAATGGACTTATCCCCCCCCAAGGAAAAGTAAGACATCTGGGAAAATGGGTTAATGTTTTTTTACAACTGGTTCCTTTCACAGATCTCTGTGCCCCTGGAAGAGCCAGATAACTTTGGTAGAGAAAGACTACAGAGCTAGAAATCTCTCTGGTAATGAGCAGCAGGATGACTCATACAAGGAGATGCCCAAAGTAGACCCTGCTCCAAAATTCAAGTGTTACACACAGTTCTCCTAGGAAGTAAGAGATTTTAAAATCATATTCTTCTTTTTTAGAAAAATTAATGAACACTCAAGTAATTTCATCTGGCTTCATCCAATTACTGAAAAAAAAATGAGAATGTCATAAATAGGAAAGTTTCATGATATTGCTTTTTAAAAAAAAAATCACACTTGAAATAAAGTGACAGGGACAGCCAATAGTGCATACCCAGACAATAATACACAATCAAGATTACTTATGGGGACAAAACAATCTGCATTGTTTGAAATTACTGGCCTCTTCATTTAACCAATGTTGCATGATACAAGAAAGAACACTTGTATGTACAGAGCTAGAATGAATGCATTATATTTCTCTCTAAACTGTAGTCTTTTTTTTTTTTTTTAAACCAAGGATTGAACCCAGTGGTGCTTAATCACTGAGCCACATCCTCAGCCTTTTTTCATATTTTAGAGACAGGATTTCGCTAAATTGTTTAGGGCCTCATTAAATTGCTGAGGCTGGATTTGAACTTGCAGTCCCCCTGCCTCAGCCTCCCAAGCTGCTGGAATTACAGGTGTGCACCACCATGCCCAGCTCTAATCTATAATCTTTATTCAATTCTTCTCTAATTCGTAGGAAATATTTCACCTAAATTAAGGGAGGAACTTTAATAAATCTTGGGTTTCTCTAAACTCCATTGGCACAGAGCCTTAAAAGGAATGAACAATGGAGAAAATTTTAAAATCAAGAAAAGAAAGGATGGGTTAAAAATCACACATCTGTGGGTTTTATCTGTATGGACTAAATGTCCCCCAACCCCCATCAATTCACATGCTGAAGTTTTAGAGCTGCCCTAACACCATACATGGAGATAGGGCCTATAAGGAGATAATAAAGGTTAAATGAGATCAGAAGAGGGAGCCCTAATTTAGTGTGACTGATGACATTACAAGGACAAGAGGAGACAATGAGAGATCGATCGATCCCCTCCCCCAATGTAAGCACATAGCAAGAAAAGTATCTATCTGTCACTCAAAAACAGAACCCTCACCAGCCACCAACCCTGCCGATTTGGACCATGCAGACTCCAGAAATGTAAGAAAAAAAAATGCTGACTTTGCCACTCAGTCTATGGTATTTTAAGGTAGACCAAACTAAGACAGATCAAAGCTAGAAATGGAGGCTTTAGAACATTTCACAGGGAAAGTATTTCCAACATAAAAGAGAAAGAGACAGAATAAAATAAGACTTTTTAAAAACTTGTGGCTTTGACTTATCTACTATTTAATTAAAAGAATCTTAATGTGTTTGTGTGTACTATCCTAGCCATACAAAATATGAAAATAAAATTTAGGGAAAAAGGGAGGGAAAGCTCTCAACATCAACATTTCCATTTGCTACTGCAAATACAGCACTTACCTGGGCCGTCTCATTTTCTTCTGGCTCAATGAGATATGTGTGGTTCCCATCATAGAACATTCCACTGCCAAGGACAAGAAAATCATTAGGCATGACGATTAACTCTCATCTCAGGACAAGATCATTTTAAAATCAGCAGCAGAGAACCAGTTACTTTCAATGCCTATTTCCCAGTCCCATCCATCACCTCCAGGTAAACTACACATCACACACCACACATACTCTGCTAAGAGGAAAAGCCCCTTCCTCTGAATCTCCCTGAAATGGGCTGCTCTCTCATCCTGAAATTGCCATTCTCTAGTTGTTATGCAGTACTCCTCCCTCTAACTTATAATTCCAAGATTTTAATATACAAAAGTTCACCTAGAGTTTTAGAACCCTTCTCAGATTTCTAGGCGAGGACTTAGAAAGGTACATTTCAAACAAAACCCAGAGGATTCTAAGGCCGTCGGGACCAAGTTGACAATGGCTTCCCTACCTCATACCTGAAAGATGTTCTGCTAATAAGAACTAACACATATTAATAACTTGCCATGAGCGAAATATTTGTACTCATTTAATTGTTCCCACAAATACATGAGGTAGATACAATGTCTACCTTCATTTTATAGGAAAGGAAACAAAAGGCTAAAGAGATGAAGTAACTTTTGCAGATTATATAACCATTAAGGATATAGGTAGGAATGGAGCCCAGGCAGATGGGTCCATGAACTGCCCATTTGCAATCTGCTGCCCTCCTTCATTCATGCAGTCATTCAACTTGTGTTTACAGAGCACCTGTGCACTGTTCTAGGTGCTGGGATACAGTAGTGAATGGAACAAATGAATGCTCTATCCTCATAGTTTTTTGTTTGTTTGTTTTGCTAATATGCAAACTATGAAAAACAGACAATAAATATGTAATAAACAAAGAAATATATATTAGATGGTGATAAATTTTAGGGAGTAAAGCAGGTTAAGGTCAATAAATGGTTCCAAAAATTGGGTCTGGGGGACCAGAGAGCAGGGACTGTTGATTTATATAGGTGGCTAAAGCAAGGCTTCACAGAGAAGAAGGCATTTCAGCAAAAACCTAAAAAAGGGATGATCCATAACTATGTTTGTACAAAGAACATTTCAAATCCAAGGAAAGAGAATCTTGGAATGGGTGAGGGAAAGAGTACCATAAAATGAAATCAGAGGGCTAGTGGGAACCATATTAGGTCAGCCCTTGTTAGGGCCTTGACTTTTACTCTAAAAGAGGAGAAGAGTTAGGCTCTGTAGGCTTCTCAGCAAGAGAAACACAGTCTCTGCTATTTAAAATGATCATCCCAGCTGCTGTGTGATACTAATATTTAGAACAGCAAGGACTGAAGCAGGGATTACCACAATACCCAGGAGAAAGAAGTTAGTGGCTTAGATCAGGACAGTAATGGCAGAAGTGGAGAGAACTAACCAAATTCTGGATATATTTATTTATTTTTTAGCTTTCTTTTTTTTGGTTCTGGAAATTGAACCCAGGACCTGGCACAGACTCAGCACATATTTTACCACCAAGCTATACTCCCAGCCTGGATATATTTTGAATATAGAACCAATTTGTTGATAGATTTGATATGGAGTGCAGAGAGAGAGAGAGAGAGAGAAAAGTCAGAGATGGAGCTGTCATTTAACAAGATAAAAAAGGTTATGAGAACARCACAATAGGGCTGGGTCAAGAAAGAAAGGAGCAAGGAGCAGAGCAAAAATCAAGATTTGGTTTTGGACATTTAGGGTGCATGTGGCTCTTTGTCATCTGAGAAATCCTCTGATTTCTCAGTTTCCACTCAGAGAGATTCTGATAGACACTCCCTTTTGAAGGCCATGATCCTTTTATTGAAATCAAGCCTTTTATGATACTAAAAAAACTTGCCTTACCATTCAGGCATTTGAAGAAAGCAAAACTGTGATCTTCTGCAGTAATTCTTCAGTTTGAGGTAGAAATGATTGTATGACAACCAGGCTCTTAGGCACAGAATGGTATTTGTCTTCCATAGAAGCCTTAATGAAATCAGTTGGTTTCCCTGAGCTATAATTATAATGGCTTCCAGTTCTGCTTCAATCCAAATTTTTTTCATTCCTGCTATAACATCTTCCACATGTCCTAAAATTTTATATATTCATGGGATGGCTATTCTCACATCTGTACAGTTTTCAAACACAGTGCACTTTCTGAATTTGGATGACATTGCATTTGAAATTTAAAGATAAACAGATGTCCTTAGTAAAATAACATTGGAGATATATGCCTAAGGAGTCATAAGAGGGATCCTTTCAAAACAGTAGACCAAATATGGTAGTGGACATTCTCTTGACCCCTGCAGAGAACTGAAAATAAAACCATCACCATTTTCTAAAGTTCACATGGCAACAGTGATTAAGTAGCAAGCAGATTATTTTGTTTAAATAGGACTGGGTGTTATTTGCCCTTGCATTAGGTTAACATCCAATGTGAAAATTGGTTCTTTTTATTGAATCTAAACATTATGTACACAACATATGAAAAGCAGATCCTGACACTGTAATTGGAAGATACTGATTTCCTGTGAAAATATGCCATTATTAATTCCTTAATAATCAAAAGACATATGTGTTTTATTTCATTTGTTTGAAGATTGACACCTTTTTGTTATAATACTTTCAATTCTAATGAGTATATTGAGTCCATAACAATATATTCTTGATAAAAAATCTGTAGCTAGGACGAAGTCATTACAGACCAATTAAGCTAAAACTTTATAAAGCTGAATCAAAACAAGATTTTGGAAGGAAACATCAGCTATTCTCACAAATTTCCACAAGAGGGCAATAAACTATAAGATTTTGTCATAACATCAAACATCCTAGGACCAAAATATTACCTATTAGTCCTTTGATTTTTTTTTTAAGAAATGTGCCCTCACATGCTTCTTATGGAAAAGACATATGAATCTGATTTTTCCCTTTTTATATTCTTTAAACGAATAAACTTCAATAGGCACTTGGTAATTTATAAAAGATGAATCATGTATAAACTAATATATCTCATGTCTAAATCACTGGAATCGAGACAACCTGTATTATTTAATGCTTAGTAACAAAATGTTCCTGAGAGCAATTTTTATTCAGAAGGTAAAATCAAGATGAAAAGTAATAATTAATAAATAACAAAAAGGTACAACATCTAACGTGCTCCAAAATATCAAGAAAGCCCAAACATGGTTTTACAAAATTCTGACAGTGTCTCTAGACACAAGTTGACTTTTCTGTGTTCAGTTTTGCTTAGTTTTAAATGAAAGTTTCTAAAGGTAGAAGTAAATTTTACTTAGTTAAAATAACTGAAGTCCAAAAGCAGAAATATGTGCTCTACTCCTGATCCAGACTCATTATAAAACTTCCTGAAAATAATTATTTCATGCTTTTTTTGGGGGGGGGGACTAAATCCAGGGACACTTTACCACTGAGCTACATCCCCAGTCCTTTCTTGGGGGTGGGGGGAGGCGGGGTGTGTGCCAGGGGTGCTCCACTATTGAGCCACATCCCCAGCCCTATTTTGTATTTTATTTAGAGACAGAGTCTCACCGAGTTAATTAGCACCTCACTTTTGCTGAGCTGGCTTTGAACTCACAATCCTCCTGTCTCAGTCCCCCAAGCCACTGGGATTATAGGTGTGTGCCACTGTGCCGGTTTCCCAGTCCTTTTTATTTTAGTGACAGGGTCTCATTAAGTTTTTAGAGATTGGCCAACTTGCTGCGGTTGACCTCTCTACCAGACTGAGCTCTCAGGACTCAGCTTCAACTGCCTTAATATCTTCCTAGCAGTTGATAAACAGCAAATACTCAATAATTGCTTGTGAGACAAGAGAGCTACATTTCTAACTTAGCAAACAGCAAATACTCAATAATTGCTTGTGAGACAAGAGAGCTACATTTCTAACTTAGCAACAGAAAGAAAATATTTTAAAGTTTCTCAATAAAAAAAATTTAACAAAACTAAATTATAGTGCTAACTTGTTCAGTACCAAAAAACATAAAACAAACAAAAAGGAAAAGAGACGATTCAGTTTAAATAGAAGGCCAAGTGATGACACATTAGTTTACAAGATGTTGCGAAATAAATAAGTGATGGCCACCTGTGTATCACCATTATTGACAGGACGGAGGAAAGAGATGTATTCCCATGTCAAACATCAGAAAACACTCTGTGATCACAAAGGTTATGAGAAAGGAAGCAAAAAGGATGAACTTCGTTCTTTGGAGATCTCTGAGAATATACGGATCCTCCCACAATAGCTATGAGGTAGGTGGAATTCTGGCAGGAAAAAAAAAAGGGGGGGGGCTCTTGAGGTCACTTGCAGCCTTCTGTCTTTATTCAAGGAGYCCAGAGTTTCCATTTACTGAAGTTTCCATTATTCCATGAACATATAAAAACTCATATTAAGGAAGAGTGGGGTAAAACTGGTACCAAGGGGCTAAACATCCACAGAAACTGAAGTTACCAAACCACTCCTGTCGGAATTTGGATGAAACCTGAAAAATGTCCCCTATATCACTGTTGGGCATCATATTTATAATTCCAAAGACTCTGGTTTCTATAATTTTAATTTTAATTTTTTTTTTATTTTTTAAAAATACTTATTTTTTAGTTGTAGTTGGACACAATACCTTTGCTTTATTTATTTATTTTTATGTGGTGCTGATGATCGAACCCAGGGCCTCACACTTGCTAGATGAGTGCTCTACCACTGAGCCACAAGCCAGCCCCCTACAACTTTAATTTTAAAATTTCCTTGGTTTAAATACCCCCCCCACACACACATACACATACACACAGAATTATCACTAATTTAAAATTATTTATTGAAATAAAATAGAAACTTCTATTTAAAAATTTTAAAAATATATATATTGAAAGAATGAATAAAAAGTAATCTTTTGGACACTTACTGAAGTCCATGACATGTTGACAATGCAACAAATGAGACAGGATTTCCTCGGATCTGGCCCTGGTAGTAACAGTGCTCTCCTCCCTGAAAACAGAAACAGAGGACAAGGAGAACCAGCAGCATCATTTCAGTAGAGGTTTCTGCTCCCACTGCACTTGCATGTACCATAAAGTTCTATGCAATATGTCATTATTCAGATTAGCATTATCAAACCACTTCTAACAGAATTATTCAGAAATATTCCTAACGAGATGACTTCAAACCCAAAGAAAGGGAAGAAAAAGTTGACTTCATTTTCTTTTTATGTATGTGGTAGCAGAGAACAAAGAAACAGATATTAAAATACATACATGTTCCATGCAACAGAGTAAGTTTAATCATCTATTTCCCGAGTTATGAGATATTCAATCTCAAGCAGCAGTAGAGGAATGCTTTCACATGGAGCTAAGTAAAATGGACTATAAATTATGTAAGAGTTACTAAATTATAAAGATGGAGAAAGAAATTACTGTTTTTATGATGTTTATCTCAAAACTTGACTGCTACACATAAAAAAAAGAAATTATATAAAAATATTTTTGATGAATATAGATGCAAAATCCTCAACAAAATATCTGTAAATCTAATTCATTAGCAGGGTGAAAGATCCTATACCATGATCAAGTAATCCCTGGCTTCATTCCAGGGATTCAGGGTTGGTTTAATATATGCAAATCAGTAAATGTAACTCACTACATACACAGAATCAAGGATAAAAGTCACATGATCATCTTAATAGCTGCAGAGAAAGCATTTAATAAAATCCACCATCTCTTCATGATAAAAATCCTGAATAAACTAGGTATAGAAGGCTCATACATCAACATAATAAAGGTTACACATGACAAATCATAGTCAGCATCATATTGAATGAGGAAAATTGAAAGCATTTCTTCCAAATCAAAAACAAGGCAAAGGTGTCCACTCTCACCACTCTTACTCAACATAGTACTAAAAACTTTTAGTCATAGAAGGAAAAAAATAAAATAAAAACATATAGAAACACAGGAAATCATATTATTCCTATTTGCAGATGATATGATTCCATATCTAGGAAATGCTAAAAAGTCCACCAAAATTCCTTAGAACTGAAAAATAAATTCAGTAAAGTAGCAGGATACAAAATCAAAATACAAAAATTAGTAGCTTTTCTATACACCAATAATAAACTCACTGAAAAAGAAATCAGGAAAATAATCCTATGTGCAACAGCTTCAAGAAAATAAAACAAAATACCTAGAAATAAATCTAACAAAGTGAAAGACCTCTACAATGAAAATTGTAAAACACTGAAGAAAGAAATTGGACACCAGAAAGTGGAAAGACCTCCATKATTCATGAACTGGGAGAATGAAGATTGTTAAAAATATCATACCACCAAAAATGATCTACAGAGTCAACACAATCCCCATCAAAATAACAATGACGTTCTTCACCAACCTAAGAAAAGCAATCCTAAAATTCATGTGGAAGCACAAAGGACCCCAAGGAACCAAAGCAATCCTGGGCAAAAAAGAACAATACTGGAGCCATCAAAATACCCAATTTCAAAATACACTATCAGCCACTATAAGAAAAACAGTATGGTACTGGCATTAAAAAAAAAAAAAAAAAAAAAGCCTAAGAACAAATCCACACATCTTTGTTTATATAATTATTGACAGAAGAATGAAAAACCTATGTTGGAGAAAAGATAGCCTCTTCAAAAAATGGTGCTAGAAAAATTGAATATCTGCAAGCAGAAAATTGAAACTAGAGCCCTATCTCTCACCCAGTATAAAAATCAATTCAAAATGGATCAAAGACCTTAAGAACTGAAACTTGGAAAGTACTAAAAGAAAACAGGGGGGAAACACTTCAAGATATAAGCATAAACAATGATTTCCTGAATAAGACTGTAGTTCAGAAAATAACAGCAAGAATTCACAAATGGGATTATTTCAAATTAAATAGCTTCTGCATAACAAAGGAAACAATCTACAGAGTAAAGGAACAGGCTAAAGAATGGGAGAAAATCTTTTCCACCTATTCAGCTGGCAGGATTATTATCCAGAGCATATAAATAACTCAAAAAAACATGACACCAAAAGAACAAGTAATCCAATCAATAAATTAAAAAAAAATAAGCTGAATAGATACCTCAAAGGAAGCACAAATGACCAATTAAGTGAAAAAGTACTCAATGTCTTTATCCATCAGGGAAGTGCAAATCAAAACTATACTGAGATTTCATTCAGAATGGCTATTATCAAGAAAGTAAAAAATAACAAACACAGGTAAGGACATTGTGGGTGGCAGAGGGGAAGGAGCTCTGAGACACTGTTTGTGGGAATGTTAACTAGTACAACTACTATGGAAATCAGTATGTAGGTTCCTCAAAAAAACAAAAATAGAATCACCATATGATCTATTTCTAACACTGCTTGGTATACACCTGAAGAAACTAAAATCAGCACACAATAGAGATATCTGGATACCTATGTTCATCACAGCACTAGTCAAGTTATGGAATCAGTCTGAATGCCCATCAGTGGATGAGTGGATTTTTTAAAAAATGTGATATATACACTATGGAGTATTATTCAGCCATAAAGAAGAACAAAATCATGTTACTTCAAGAAAATGAATGAAACTGAAGATGATTATGTTATATGAAAAAAAGCCAGAGTCAGACAAGTATCACATATTTTCTCCCATACACAGAATCTGGAGGGGAATAAAAAGATGACATTAAAACAGAAGGGGGGATTTATACCCCGCGGGGCCCCACGGCCCTGGCTCCCGGCTCCCGCCTGCCAACTGAGCCTGCCCCTCGTGCTCTCGAATCCCGCCCTCCCCTTATCGCCCAACTTCTCCCAAACCCAGCTTCTCAGGATCACTAGGCAATGCTGAGCTGACGTGGATCTGGGGCGAACAGTCTGGGCCTCTCAGAACACACACCGAGCCCGGATCGGCTGAATTCAAGCTCC